GAGCTTTGAAGTTGGGAACTTAATCTGGAATGGTCACCAAGGTTGGATTTCAGACTCATAAAAAAGGAGGAGCTATACCAACCCTGACCTGAAAATCTAATGTGTGATTAGTACTAGTAATAAAAGCTCTATCGGTTTGATAGCACTTTTGACCCACAACAAAAACCTGGTAGCTTTGATAAGGTTCCATAAGTGCATCGTCCATGGTTAACATAATTCCCTAAAATGGTCGAAACTGACCGCACAAAATCATTCTTTAAAAGTTATTGACGTGGTGATCAGATGTATTTTTTGTAAGAAAAGAAGAAGAAAGTTAAATGTTAAAACCTAATTATACTACATTTGAGAGCATCTACTCAAATCAAAGAGTTGCTGCTTAGCAAAGTCTGGCTTTTTTTTTGTTTTGAAATTGCTGATGTAATCACAGTTGTAGAAAGTGTTGGAGTCTTCTTTTCAGAATTGAACAGAAGCCACTACCAAGGGCTCTATGCAGTGTGTTAACTAACCAAAGTAAAGGCCGACAAGAGAAGGTAAAACTATGCTCACTTTCACATCTCTGCCATTCTTGTCTGGAGAATGGGTGTAGCACCGGGGTGGCATCTCAACTTTCATTTTGGTGCTGCCCTGCAAACGCTGCAACACTGAATAGTTGCTGATACGACACCCTGGACAATGAAAAATCTCAGCAGGGGTTGAGCCAAAGTGCAAACTGAGCTGGCCTCCACCCTGACACTTCATTTTGACTTATACAAGCCAACGTATGTTTTGTGAAAAACAACATTTTCATTCTTTTGTCTGGTTCGAACAAAGTATTGCACCACGCTACAGCAGAATAGCTTGCATCTTAGCTTGTGTGCTCTCCGGCCCAATCGCTCGTGTCTCGCCTGTCTGTAATGCTTAGTGAAGAACATGTATGTGTCTGTGTGTAAATAAATCTAAACTGATACAGCTTACGCAGCTTTTAATGCCCACATCCCCTCCCTCTCTCTCTCTCAGAAACACACACACCAATAGATGTGGAAAATGGGCAGCTGTAAAGTGCTCACTCAGTGCAGCAGCTGCATCAGCAGAGTCAGACAGAATGGGAAGCAGTGTCTTTTCTGTGTGTGTGTGTGTGTGTGTGTGTGTGCGCGGAGGAGAAAGTGCGCATGTGTAAGGAATTAAGGGTGATGGGGTCTCTGAGCAGACAAAGAGGAATCACTTGTACTCTCAGCATCCATTAGCCTAACCCAGTGGATCAATATTGATCCTTACCACCACCAAGCTTCGTCTAATAGGCTTCTGTCCTCCCTGATACAATGACAGCATTAGTGCCCATGCCCAGATGGATGGATTCAGGGGTGGAAGGATGAGTAACAGCCAGAGGCAGAGTACGAAGGAGATGAAGAGGCTAATTTATACATTTACAAGTCCAGAGGGGAGAGTATCCTTGTCACTAATGCTGATAATATGTGCCAACCAGACAACAAGAAAGAGGGAAGTCCAGAGAAACACAGGAACAAGAGGAGAAAAATCACATTTTGCTTTCATCAGCAGTTTACAGCAGGAAAAGAATCAATGAGAAAGTCTCTGTTGATCTTGCAGTGTGTCAGTCACTCACCGCAACTGCCTCTGAAAGTTTTACAGATGGAAAGAGGAAGTGTGTACGGTCATGATAATTAAAGCATTAGGCACCAATCTATGCGCTTGTGTTTCTCTCAGGGATGAAAAAGAGTGAAAAGGGGAAGGATAGGTCTGTTTTTGTCCTCGTCCGGTTGGGGTTCCTGTCTATACATCTGCTCTGCCGCCCTCCTGTTTCAAAAATAAATAATGATCAGCTGTTGTTGTAATTTGGCCACCTGACTCCTATTATCTTCTCAGCAAGCCGAGTGTATGGAACAGGGATCTTCCATCACAGAGCAGTTCCGTATAAGCAGTCTTCCCTCACACACTTGGGCTTTTCCAGATTGGTATTTCAATCATAAAATCTACCAAATCACTAAGTGACTTGGTGAAAGTGCACAGGGCTTTGGGTTCTCGTGACTAGTCTGCCATCTGTATCCAAAATCTCAAGAGAGGATTAGATGGATCCTGGATTTTGTCTTTATTTTAGAAAATGTATGCATGGCAAAATTCATTCTTTTCTTCATCTTACGAGCCATGTGAGATATTTTTCCAAGCCAAGAAACTAAGGAAAGTTCCCCCAAAAAATCAACATTTAAAGCAGTTACTGGCGTAATTGTACCAAAATATTTATCCTATTTTTTATTTTGTTTAAATATTCATGATGTGTAATATAATATAAATAATCATATATAACACAAATCTAAATAAAAAATAACATCTTACGTTCAGATAAGACAATATATTTAAAAAAGATAGATATATCTCATAAAGCATTGGTGGAAAGCAACAATACATTTCTGGAAGTTGGTTGGTTTCATTTGGCTACTGAGTGAGTAATGTTAAGCCACATCTCATACAAACTGGTTACTGGTTATTCTGGGGTTTACTTAAACAAACAAATGTGCAGCAAAATATCCCACTAAAAGTTAAAGATTAAGCCATGTTAACGAGGAATACATAGAAGAATTTTCCAAGGTGAATGAGTTGTGTCTCTGTTGAAGGATATTTTTGTTTGCCATGAAAATATGATGGATGGCTCTGGATTTACAAAGGTAAGATATACGGTTAGGGTTCCCACCACTGCAGGGGTGGAGAAGAGATTTGACCTAGTTTGTAAGTATTAAAAGAATACAAAATAGCCTATACACTATTTTAAAGTAGTGTTGTCTTCAGAATTGCTAGTGTATCAGATGTTAGTTTAAAGTTTTAGTCTTTCCTCAGTGTTTCTTTTCACACATACAAACATTAACATCTTATCAACTAGTAACATTTCTGTCTTATGAAACTAAGATAGATTCATAAATGAAACTCTGCTTTTTGATCTGGTAGATCAGCGTCACAAATTTAGACATTAAATTTATGCCTTGTTTACATTTTCTTTTTCCGTCTTTGCTTCCCAGAAACATCAACTTAGTACAGCGAAGACCTACAGGCTAGTCTTCACACAGGGAGAAAGGGGCCGGAACACAGTCGGAGCTTTGTGAAGGAGCCTGCATATAGAGCACATAGTGTTGGGGTAACCAGGCAGTGCAGCTGGCCCCCCACAAACATGCAACTTTAAAGCAGTGTGTAAATCAAGATCCAAAGGACAAGGGCTCTGTTCTCCAACACAAACATACACTCTCACACGCACATACAGAAGTTAAATCTAGTGGGTGAAAGTGAATGAGGAAGATGTCGAAATGATGAGCTTTTAGTGGTGGATTTCAGTCATTAAATCAACCAAAAGCTTATCAAATTATCCCTTAAAACAAATTATTACCACTTTTCTTGACCCAGACATCTTTCATAGTAATCCCAGATTTACTCATTCCAAATTTTTCAGTGAGAAACCTTTGAGAAATCTGCTATTCTAAATGATTAGATTAACCATTTGATAAAAATGTTATTTTTGGATGACACAATCAGTATCGGTACACGGTTTCATTATGAATCATTAATAACATATAAAAGGTGAAAGACTCTTTTGAAATTACTAGTTTCAACTCAATGAAGCGGAATCACCTTTGCTTTAATAAAAAAAAGATGGCATTTCTCGAAAGCTGAAATGTCACTAACTTGAAAAGCATATTATCGATTTCAGTGTAAAGTCATACACAAACCATCAACCAGCAGCGTCAACCCACATGCAAATTGAATATTTTGACACAAACGCTCCATAAGACAGAGGAGAACATGCCTGTAAGCTCTGCGTCTCAGCCCTTAAACCCTCTCCACAACATTCCTATCATAAATTTGCAGCGCTGGAGTATTTTCGTAAGAAACTAGAGAGAGCTGGTATGCGGATGGACCCATAATGGGGCTGCTTCAATGGGAGGTTTTCTGTTATCAACGTGAGATCTCTTCTCATGCTCTGAGCCATGGTCCACTAGTTTTTTCAAGGATGGATGACCATAGTCTGCCAATGTTCCCCCTCACCTCTCACCACATGCGTGTACAAAGGTCCCCACCACTGCTCTGTACATACAGGAACTCCTAGTTCTGAAGAAACAAGAATGTAATTTAACTCCCACCTGTTAATTTCTATGTGTTGGCACTTGCGTGACAACGTCGAGCTGGTGTGACATTAGTGTGAGCCGGGGGTGTGGCAGCATTCTGCTAAGGGCCCTCAGGTAGATGTCAAAACACATTTACCCCTGTCGAATACCATCCGACCGTACCCGCGGCAATGTCAGCCTGTGAAATACTCTGAAAGTGCCCTTGACTAGAAAAGTGTCATGTTTTCTTCTTTTTCCTCCATGTAGCATCAAAGGCTTTGAGCCCAAAACACCCGGCCCCAGCCCCCTCTTGCTTTTCTCTTGCCTCCTGCATGCATTCCTGCCCCTCCCCCCCTCCTTGAGCTTCCCTTGCCGGTATGGATCTGTGAAATGTTAGCAGTGTGCTGTCATGGCAGCAGGCCTCAGTAATAGATATGAGTAAAGATGTTACCTCAGAAAATTGACTGATTTTTCTTGGTAGTGAAATAGCTTGGGTTTTTTTTTCTTCCCATCTTGATATGGGAGAGTTGTTATGTTTTCAGCAATCAGTGACCTGATGGTCTTCGTGGACACGAATGATCAGCTAAACCCTAACCCATTTCATACAAAAACTCTTGTGACAGGGAACTCCAAGAAAGAGCCTGGAAAATTAGATCTTGCCGCAGGCTAGATTGCCAGCAGTAATGGATTTCATGGGTTTTAAGTGAGCTAATCCACTACAGGCAGTCACTATAAACGCATGCGGTTCATCCATTTCCAGACCTGGATAACAAGTTTTAAAATTCTAGCTAAGACCCAAGACAATTTGTTAGATAGAATGTGCTGGTGAGATTTGCTCATTTCATCTAAGATATTTATTTTGTGCATCATGCTTGATGGTTTGAAAAATAAAAGAAAATAGGGGTCAAAGTCGCAGTGGCTTATGTATGAATCACATGCAAGCACATTTTCCCCCCCCTAAAAGTAAACTCTTTTGTGAAGTTAAAACCGATGCTCGACAAAGTAGTGGTGGTAAACTAGAGCCTGAGGCCATTGTGACACACTTGATTGCTTGGAGAATGCATAAAAAGAAGATCACTGTGGACTAAACAATCTCTTTATTCTCTATTCTGAACAACCATTTTAAAATGAACAGTCTTTACAGGTACCATTATTACAAAAGGTCATAACATTTATGTGGTGGTGCTTCAAATGGTAATAGAAAGGTTATATGATTTTCTAAATCCAATAATATGCTAACAATGAATGTTTCTCAAATTACCCACTTTGCATGATCTATCTGCCTCGAATACACAAAAGATTTTTCCATTCATGAATTAATACCATATTTAGTTCCGTATTTTTTGCATGCTGTCCAGCTTCACTGTCTATCTGCACTTAAACAGCAAGTCATTTTGCTCTCACTCTGTCTGTCATTTTCTATCCTCAAGTGGTTGCATTTCAATTTTGGTTACTCAAAAGAAAACACCTTCCTGAGTTACCGTGAAAGACATTTCAGTGGTTGCAGCATTTCAGAAAGCCTAGCTGTGTTTGTGATGAATGGATGACGCTCTTTCATCACTGAGAGATTGAACTGAATTCACAGGAGTGTAAAAAGATGGCTTCCCTCTCAGACCGCCTGGCTGACCTCAGTGCCGAGACCCTCCGCCATATCTGAGACCGCATCGAGACCTCCCTGGACGTCCTCACAAACATTCAGGTCCTTTTTCAGTTCAAAGTCATTCTGCTCCTTCGCGGGCGTCTCCTCTAGCTTTTCGTTCCCGTTAACGCACTCCTCTGGATGCGTGGCCGTAGCAGCGGTATTATCCCCGCACTCCCCGTTCACTTCTGGTACTGCATCGGGGGCATCCTCTGGAACAGAAGGACTCTCCAATTCTCCATTTTCTATCTTGCTCTCCACCTCGGGCTGTGAGGTAGGGGTCTCATCCACGCAGGCTGCAGCTGCCTGTCCGGATTCAGCAGTCACGTCGTTTGCTGAGACAGACTCAGAGATGACGATTTCGGGGACAATTTCTGCCGCACCCTCAGAGCCGGGGTCCCCAGCTGAGGCAGATTCCTCTTTTGGACACTGACTTTCTTCAGATGCTACCTCCACTGCAGCCCCCAAGGCCTCGGTACATTCTGCTTCCAATGTCTCGGGCTCATTGTTGTCAGATGTGGCCACCGCTGGCTCTGGTTCGCCTTCCTCTGCCGGTTCCTCTGCCTTCCCATTTCCTTCGTCAACCTCTTCCTTAGAATCTGTCTGAACCCCTTGGTCTGGTACGGGCACTTGCTCTGGCTCTGTGGTTTGTTCTGGTTCAGGTTCAGGCTCAGGTGCTTCCACAGGCTCTGACTCGGGTTTCTGTTTTAGTTCTGGCTCTGCCACACTCTCTGCTGCTTGACCAGCTTCTTGCTCAGGCTCTGCTTCGAGGGCTTGATCCTGAGTGCTTTCTGATTCTATCACAGCTTCAGCCACTGCTTCTGGTTCAGAGGAGGCAGCAGGCTCTACCGCTTCGTCCGCACATCCCTCTGGCTCAGGAGTGGACTCCAGGATGGGCTCTGGCTCAGGTACTGCTTCTGTGCTGGCTGGAACAACATCTGGCTCTGGCACTGATTCTACATCAGGTGCAGACTCTGGTTCAGGTTCCCCGTGAACGGGTTCTTCTGATGCCGAACCAACGGCTTCTTCTGTAACTACTGTGGCCACTGGCAACTCTTCTGTTGCTTCTTCCTTTACTTCTATGACTGGAGTGGGTTCCTCTGGCCCTGGTTTCTCTGCCTCCTCCTTTGCTGGAGCTGCTTCTTCTGCCACTGCCGAAGGCTTCTCTGGGACTGCATCTGGTGAATGTTCAACTGGTTTCTCAGCTGCTGCCGGTGTCTCTTCTACAACAGAAGCAGCTTCCACTTCTGCGAGTGGAGCCTCCATAACTGGAGCTGCTCCCACCGTTGACGATTTCTGTTCTGGAGCCGTCTCCTCCGGAGCAGCCGGTTCCTCCGGAGGTGCAGCTTTGGGCTCTTCAGGAGCTTCTACAGTCTCTGCTACTGCTGCTGCTGGTGGCTCTGCTGCCACTGGAGCTGCCTCATCCGCCGCTACGGCCTTTTCCTCCTCAACCGGAGCCGGTTGTTCCGTCACCGAAGCCTTTTCGGCCGCTGCTGACTCCTGTTCCGGAGCGGCCTCCTCTTTAGCCGAGGCACTTTGCTCTTCTGGTGGTGCAGATTTGGTCTCCTCAGAGGCTACAGCGGCTTCTATTACCGCAGCCACCGCGGCCACGGCCGTCTCTTCTACAGCTTTGTCGTCCACGGCTGTCGGCTCTGCTCCTGTGGGTGTGGCTCCATCGTCCCCTTTAGCAGACTCCTCTGGACCGGCTTCTGCTGCAGGGGCCTCCTCTTTTTTTTCTTTGGGGTCACTCACATCATATCCTTTTCTTTTCTTGCTCAGTTTGCCTCCCATGATGTCTCCTATGAACACATAAGACATTGCATATTTTGTCCTTTCTCTTTATCCATAGATTTTTAAACAGTGGTCAAGGAAAATCTGACATTTACTGAAGTTTCCAATTCCTGACACCTACACATCTGAGGACTTATCTAAAAGGCAACAGTTGCAGTAGATCCCTGGGGTTAAACCTTGATGTGAGGCAACAGTGTTGACCCCTGAACCAATCTAAGACAAGTCTGTAAAGATAGTTAAAGTTTAAACATGGGAACAATGAGCACATGTCATACATACAGCTGTGCCTTGTTGTGTTAGTCTTATGTCAGTGTTTTATATATATATATTTGTATATTCTTAATATATACAAATGTGGGTGTGTGGTAAGAACAAAAGTTCCGATTATGTTTTAACTAAAAATATAGTGGGGCTTTGACTTAGTTCTGTAAATTCTAAAAAGAGTTTTCATTTCAGTAACTGTCTGGAGAAGTTAGAAGTTTGGCTGGGAAATGAACTTTAAAACATGGAACCTTGCACAGGTCAACCAGCCCCATGGATGCTCTACCCTTTAAGGAATGTCTGCTAAGGCCTAGTGCCAAATGAGACCATAAGTCAATAGTGTGCCTATTAACAACTCTTTCTCTCACTGTATCACAAACTACAAAGTATTTCATCGCTTTTTTAGCACTCATAGAAAAACCACTTAGAGGCTTCGGTGACTCATGTAATAGGATCTAATCAAAATGAATAAATGGGATCTTCTTCAAATCCATGGAAAACTGCCATGTCAAGATGATCCATTCTTACTTTTAGCAAATATGTACTACAGACACAAAGTTAATTTCAAAACCCTGAAGCAGCTGTAGAGGAAGTGTATCGTTCAGTGATTGCCACAGAATGCAGCAATCACAGGATGGAGAACAGGAAGTTCAACTTTGTGTTACAGATTATTTTAGCAAACCTGAACAAACAAACTCGCGTGAATATTTGTCTTTAAACACCATGCTTTTGTGTTGCTTGTAAATAAGGCTGTTTTACACCTGTCTCAGCAGTTACATTCTCATCATTTCAACAGCCAACTGAAGCCAACTATACAAGGAGAGTTTTCATGTTAAAATGCCAAAGGCACGGGCACAACGTGAGGGCACAGGTAGGGTCTGGGAACTGTCCATAGTGCTGCAATGGACCAATCAGGACAGGATGTGCCACAAATCAGGCTGAACATGACTTCATTCATTCTAATGATACAATAAAAGACCTGATTCTATTCTAAAAAATCTGCTTTATCGGATTTCACATGTTACATCTAACTGTTTACAGCCTAGTTTTCATTATGTTGTTTATTTATTTCATTATTTTTCCTTCTTTTCTTTTTTTTTCACCACACCTCTGGGCGTGGAATCCATATAAAAACTCTTCAGTTTGGACACAAAACGTTTACATTTTAAGATTGTTGATTTCAAAATTCACAATGGCGTTCTCCCAGTTTCAGGCTAAGTGGAATTCAAAAAGAAGACACGTCTCTTGACGATTTTGGAAAAAAAAAAGAAGGGAAGGACACATACAAATGCAAATGGAGCCTCCGGCATGAACCAGCCCCGCAACAAAGGATGGGGGCTCCTCTCTAGTAGATTTCCCCCACTTGTGGGGCTGGGCAAAGTTGGCACCAAAAAAAAAAGGAGCCTGCCCTAGGCATATACTATTATACAGCTCATGCAAAGCAGGTTTCTACACAGCAGAATTAAATCAAACACCGGTCACGATCACTTGGGTTTCGAAAGCTGTGGAGAGGTCTCCATCCCCCATTTCAACCCACCCACCGCTGCCTCCCTCAACCGCACGGCCCTTTTTTCTCCACGAGGATTAGGAAAATGTGGCACAAAAGAGAGCATGTGAAATGAAATAGGCGATAACTTTGAAGTAGACGATAACTTTGTTAATTTTCTACTTTCCTTCAGAATTGACTTTGTTTTTTTTTTTTTCTCTTTTACTCCACAAAGCTTTCTAAAACAGGCTCCTGCCCAAGACGCATGCACCAAACTGTCCATTCAAATTCGGAACACACAAAAAAAAAGAAACAGCCAATTGATGAGCAGAGAATGAAAAAGTGCCTTAATCCCCTCAGGGAAAAAAAAAGAGAAATACAAGTGGAAAAATCAGAAGGTAAATTAAATAAACTTATTTCCTTTTCCCTTTCTATCTCTTTCTTCCTTTCTTTCTCTTTCTTTATGTCTGTTAACAGTGTCTAAACGACATGACATGCAGTTTTAAGAGAGACATGATAAAGAAAGACGAAAAAAAAAGTAATGATCATGTAACTTTACTGACCTGTACTTTTTGATTTCTACAAAGGAATGGCTCGGGCGTGTGGTCCAGTGTCCGGCTGGATGCGATAATGGAGGTAACCCGTTTGGAGTGACAGCTGCGGATTCCGCCCCTGCTCTCCGCGGCGCAGTGTGTTGTAACTGAGGAGTGCCCCCTCGCAGTTTTTCTGGACATCTGTCGCTATCACGGTCCAGCCAACCCCGCGACTGCTCCTTCTGCAATCTACACCCACCCCAATCTTTAACCCCTCCTCTCCCCGCGCACACCCACCGCGCCGCAGGTTTCCATGCTATGCAAATTCAGCTGGTTCAGAGGATTATTTTGTGCACGAACCACCGTTTGTTGCGCTCAAGAAAAACTGCAAAATGTTCTTCTTCTTTTTTTTATTTCACCTGCTCTTGATTTGCTTGAGACATTCTTTGGGAAATCGCTCCAGTGCTCTCCCCGGGAGTATTGCAGCTGTATAAATTATGCATAAGATGTATAATGTCAGGAAAACCACTTGAGTACCAAACACGCACAAACACACACACACACACACACACGCGCACACATACACAAAGAGCCGTCAGTTTCCATGTAAATCTAAGCTGCCTGGTCGTTTTTTTTTTTTTCCCCAAACCCGTTTGTCAACTGGATGGCTTTGGTGCTCTTTCTGTGTTGCGCAAGTCACATCTTCCTAGTGGCCCTGTGGATGAAATGAAATCGGAATAAATGCGAACAGATTTTCTTGAGTGACTCAGAGTTTATTTTTTCAGCTGTAAACAATAAGTTGCCTTCATGACACTGTGATCGTACAGGAACGGTCTCTGTGCACGTGTGCACTGACTCTGGAATTCAGAAGTCTGTACGTTATGTCACAGGGAGGACTAAATGTTCGCTGTAACCAATGCAAAGTGATCTGAGGCGTTGCACCTCTTTGCTATTTGTCTCTTAGGTGCTAATGGGCCCAGATGGATCGGGGTGAGACTTTATGAAATTCAACAACGAGCCCCCTCCAGATAATCATGTTGTCAACTTAAAAAAAATTGATCCTGGTCGAATGTCACTGGAGGAACTGAAAAATCAGGGTGTGTGGAAACCCCTGATCACTGACATGTGTGGAGGACATTTTCATATTACTGGAAACATATTCTCCAAAGAAGTTACATGCTTAGTAGGGGACATCATTGGGTTATTTGATCTAAACTATTGGAATGCACTTTCCCCTAAAAAAAAAAGGGATAAAAGAAAAACTAAACATTATGTGTAACAGCAAAGTTCACAGCAAATCTTCCAGTGTTAGAGTAACACTTAAAGTGTTGCATTGACATAATTTCCGAGTGTATTTGGTCCCACTCTGAATTAGTGTTAAATCAACTCTTTCTTTAGTGGTATCTTACTCTAGCTAATGTTGTAATAACTCTGAAAGAGTCAGTGTACTTTGACACTGCATATTTAGCAGTGTGGAATTTAGAAAAAGAAAAATTGGTTGTTTTCCTGCCTTGTGGTGTCTTTCAGAAAACCTGTAAAAAAAAAAAAGAATAATTAAAGTGCTGATATTAGCACAACAAGGGCTGGCAACATGATTACATCACTCAGCACTGCCCAACCCGGCTATTCAATCGCAAATGACTTTGAATGCAGCCAGTAAGGTGAGTTTTTACAAGCTTTTGACCTAATCATGGGTCATTTTTCAGTTTCAGTAACAACAGGAGCCGTTTACTGGGGAGGTAAAGTGCATAAATGCATGAAATCTCTTAATTTCACAGTACAAGTTATAGTAAACCATATTATTTGTTAAATTAATTATACGTTTTCATCCGACGCAAGAAGAAAAATCTGACTGAATCCATTGGATAGAAGTTCTTCAGATCAACCTGATAAATTTGTAAAATATGTGTTGGAATTTTTGGGATGTATACATTTCCCACTGTGGTTCCCTGATCAACAACACATAAGTCAAATGTTTTTAATTTATAAATACATCCTACACTCAGTTTTTAGAGAATAAAGAGCAGTTGGATAGAATTACTGATGAGACAGCCCCCTCTACTGTTAAAACAACTGACAGCACAAAACATCATCTGTTGAAAAGGATAAAGACCATTCGGCTTTGAGATAATAATGGCACACAGTTGATCCCATTACTAAAAGAAAAGCAGTTTAAATACTTTACAGTGATAGAAATATTTCTTATTTGTGAGATTTTGAGTCTATTTTGGTGCCAACCTGAAAACATCTGCCTCTTTAGTTTACCTAGCCCCACTGGTCCATGCAACACCGTATCTTTAAAAGGATAGCTGTTCTAATGACAGCAATATTCTCATTAAAGTAACGTTTTAAGGGATATTTTGAGACTTGAGCAAAGTTAGAAAGACTCGACTACCCTCTTATCAGCTGTAGAAAACAAGAAAATAAGATCTGTTGTGTTTGTTTTCCCTGCTGACAGCAGGGCTGAGCAGTGACAAAGGGGCTGACTTTCACATGATGCAAAAGCTCTGGAATGCACTCCCAGGAGTGTAACCACCATACCAGCCGACCAATCTGCTCCACATAGACAAGGCTCAAAGACGTCAGGGTAAGCCTAGAAAAGAAATCCCCAAAAGCAGTATTTAATGTCTGAAGCTCATATGTCTGCAACTCCACATCCAGATGACCCTTACCGACATTACAAAAGAAACAAAGAGAAGTAAAAAACTGGTTTGTCACACTGCAGGCCTGCAGCCCAACACCAGGCTGAGTCTGTGCAGGAATGTGGCACATAGTGTGGTCTCTGTGCAATTTGACATGATGTGTCTTTTGTCTTCTCATGTTTTTTTTTACATGTTTATATGTTGTATAAATGTAAAAAAGGAGATGTTATCAAATCATATTTTTTGTCTCATCCAGGGTTCAGGTTACAATTGAGCATAACTTGTGTATTGCATAGACAGCTCACCTCCCAGAGACAAAATGATAGAGGTTTTGTAAAATACAGTCACTGAAAGACCTGTGCTTTCTCTTCCAAAGAAGTGAGAAGGTTTGCAATGATACAATTGGTCAAACTAGCTAATGTTAAGGTTGGTTTCCCATCTATAACCGTACATTTTATCCAAACAATACAGCATCTGTGTTCTGTTTTGTTCTGGACAGGGTAGCTTCGGATTCGAGGAACTCCTGAATGCACCAACAGAAAATGGCAGAGATCTGCAAACACAGTTCCAACAGATCTGATCAGAAAGTACACTTGATATGACAAGTTCAATTGCCGCAAATGAAAAAGGTATTTTCAAAATTAAAATATTAAATTAAACCGAAAATAACATGCCTTACTCACAAATCAGAACTGTGTGGTTTCTCATGATTGTGTTTCTGAATCTAAGCAGATCTTATCTGTCACAGCAAATAGAAATACTTCACTACAATGAACAAGCTCTTTAAAAAACGCACAAATTGTACCCTCTACTGGAGGTTTGATATTGTACAACATCACAGAACAAAACTAAAATATTACACTTTTTTGGGTTTCAAGATTTCTAAGACAGAAAACTCACAACCCCATTAATGAGTATATCCATATGTGATATGTATGAAATCTCTTTTGACAACTCCCAAAAGTGTCATCTGTCAATACTTTTCTTTGGAATTTTTTATATTAGTTTTCTCTTATTCAGAATGACGTCTAGGTTGGGCTACCTTTAGAAATTTTGATTTGGATATTGATCGCATTTTGACAAAAATATCTACACACAAACATTAAAATCGCCATCACCTGAATTTCCCCTCTTGCAGTACAAAACAGGCTGTTTCTATTCTATCCTGTACTTAGTTTTTAGTTCTATAACTTTACATAAACAAGGTTCATGTAACCACAAATGTTTTTAAATAATTAGCAAATTGTTCAGTTAAATAATCCCCATCCTGAAAACTCTTGTTATGATGGTGAGTATAAGTAAATGCTTTTACTTTTGCATGTGTACTATTCGTCCATAAAGTTCATTATCCTAAAAGAAAGCATAGGTTAGATATAGAAGGTTTAGAATACTAGATTGCTAAATAAGATAAAAGTGTGTACAATTGAAGAATCCTGAGTAAGATGACATCGGAGTGTGAAAGTAAACGTATGCGGGCCACGAGGGAATGAATTAGATCACATTATTGTCCACCATCAGCTGGCAAACCTGCAATGACATCACTTGTTGGGACGAAGCCAGAAGTTATGTTTGATAGTTTGACCTCATGTCTGAAGGACTGAAAACACTCCACCGGATACCAATTATCGTTCAGAAATAAACAGTTATGAATATTATAATATAGTCAATGTGATTTCCTCATATAATTAGTAAATTAATTTCTGATAAGGAGTTTTATTAAAACACACGGCTCGGTACGCTGGGTCCCGACGCGGCGTGGCAGTCAAAGAATGTAACGTACCCTTGGCTACTCGGATGAAGGCGGTGCTAGTGGAGCCCAAGCAGCAGGGCCTTGCCTTTGTGGGTGTAGAAAGAGAAGATGGCTCCCGTTCTGGAGAAACAGCACCCGGGCGCAGCCGGGTCGGCCGACAATAACAACGAAGATGAAGAGGGACAAAACCTCTGGTAGGTCCTGCTGTTGTTTAAATGAGTTAATCTCAGCCTAGCGCTGAGCAGGAATCACAACAGTGGCTATGGTTGTGCTTTGTCACTACCGGGTGCTTGCTATCAGACACCGGCCCGGCTAGCAGTAACGTTAGTTCTAACTGAAAGCTGGGCGGTCAGTGTGCTAACGTTACTTCTGCTAGCAAACAAGCTAACGTCAGCTAACTGGACAGTTGCCGACTAGCTGTCGTTACATTTCAGTTCACAAGTTTAGAATATGTATTTTTGAGTTTTAATACACTCTGCCTATTCTTTATGTGCTAGTTTATTTCCACATAGCTGCTCGTGTCACATGAGACTGTGACAGTTTACGTAGAGACAAGTGCTAAATGTTTGGATAGCTTCTGTATGGGAGAAACCTCAAGCTAACTGACGTAAACGTTAACCAACAAGCCAACACTTAGAGAAGTGTACAAAAAGTAAAACAACTGTTATTGTTTAATGTTTATCTCACATGAAACTCTGTTAGGGTGCAAATATGTGCTATTCTAAAAAATCCAGATAGCTATCTACTCATATTCAAGGTACCGGTCAGTGGTGATGAATGGTCGTTTCCTGTTTTTATGTTGTCGTGGACTCATCTTTGGGATAGCTCAGGGAATATTGCCAGCAATAAAGTCGCAACCTGCAGCGTTAGTTAAGCAATGGCTATTTTGATCGCAGCGTATGTCAAGAGATTGCAAACTGTTGGTCTGTGCCACTTAACCATCTAACTTTCGCTGCCTGCTACTTATGTTGTGCATGTTTTTGTAGGTCGTCAATATTGAGCGAAGTTTCGACGAGGTCGAGTTCAAAGTTGCCATCTGGAAAAAACATCCTGGTGTTTGGTGAGTATCGGTGGTCTTTGCAACATTGCTGCAAAATGTAGCTTCTTCAGTGTTTCTGGTGGTCAACCCTGATGAGAGAGGAGGGCAGACCTTTATCAGCTGGGAGAATCACTGCAGCTCTAGACCTGAGTTTTCAAAGATTTAGTAGTCCACTTCCATACTTTGTGTACAAATTGTAACAACAATAACAACAAAAATCACTTGGAGAAGTCTTTAGGGTCTGGTTAAATTTATTGGCAATAGCTCAAAATTGTAAGAAACTATTTTTTATTTTTTGGGACCACATAACATTATTGTCTCCTCTGCATTTGAAATGTTAGTTTACTCCAGATTTTGATAATTTAAATTCTACATGTACATGTGATATAAAAAACATGTGATTTGGAAATCACCTACCTATTCTTGGTTATTGAGCTTCACACCGTGAAACAAAACAATGAATAACATGTCAGCAATCTGATTTAAAGTATTTAAGTTAAGTCATAAATGTTTAATGTTGCTTTGGATGTTATTTGCCTATTAATGTGATATGTTTTGCAGGCGAGGATGGATCAGGAAAAACGACACTCATGGGCAAACTTCAAGGCACTGATCACAACAAGAAGGGGAGGGGACTGGAATATCTGTACTTAAGTGTCCATGATGAAGACCGGGATGGTGAGTGTACCTGCTTTTAAACTTTTCTGTGGATGATTTACAGCATTTATCAGTTAGAAATAACACAACTGTAAAATGTGTATCATTGCGCATCTAACCAGCATTTTGTGTTTTTGAAACTTTTTTCATTTATACTTTTTGCCATATAGACCTTACTCGCTGCAATGTGTGGATCCTGGATGGCGACTTATACCACAAAGGCCTTCTTAAGTTTGCTGTTACAGCCCAGTCGCTACCCGACTGCCTTGCCGTTTTTGTTGCGGACATGTCCCGGCCCTGGACCATTATGGAGTCTTTGCAGAAGTGGGCCAGTGTGCTCCGTGACCATGTGGACAAGCTCAAGATTCCTCCAGAGGACATGAGAGAACTAGAGCAGAGGAGTAAGTAATGGCTTCATTTGCCTATATTTGAATAAATTGACGTTAGTCTAATTAGATACCCAGCTAAACCCACCTGACGTTCATGTTAGAAAAAAATCCTTCCCTTTTAAAATGTTGCTTCAGTTTGAAATGTTCTCTTTAGCTGAAAAATCATCATTGGTGGTTGTGATACCCGGCCAAAAGAAAGTAAACATAAAAAGACCACAACAATGAAGATTCAATTTTTTTGGGATCTGTTAAAAAAGTTGAATGAGAATATGTAATTTATAGATCCAATTCAACTAGCATCCAGTTTGTTATAATACAATCTAATCAATTCCAGTTTATTAATTTGTCAAACTCATATAGTAAGAATTTTAAAAGTGTGATGTTCACAAGGAATCCTAAATGAGTCTGCCTTTCTTCTAAAGCTGACAGAGGACAGATGTAAAATGGCGATTCTCTGCAAAGTAGAAGTTATCGTTTTAATGCCAACAGTACCTGCTTACATTTCACTTACTCCTATGTTTGAGGAGATGAAAAGGTGCCTGCAGCATCCCAGGGTGGAAGCAATGTGAGTCTTGCATAATAAGAACAACCAGCTTCTGGGTGGGGGGTTCGTTTCTTTTGCAGCATGGATAGCAAGCGCTGTATAACATTACACACTGTCACAGAGGATTCTAGGTCATCATCAGAGAGGCCCATGATCCTCAGCTGTGTGCTGTGGCTGGAGGCGAGTTCTGCAGATCAATGGCTGTGATGCATTCAGACGATGTTCTTCTGATAATTTTAGAACTGGTCATCTCTCGCTTATGAACTGTTCTTTTGTGTTTGGAGAGATAGTTGCTTTCAGACTACTTAGTTCAGCCTGCAGGGTTTTGTAAAAGGTTCCAGTTTTCTTGCTGCTGAGTTAAGTCAGTCAAGATTTCTTGCAGAAGGGTACATTTTTAATGGTTAACATGTTTAGAAATGTTCTTTTAAAAACAAGCTGAGCAAGTAACTTGAAAGCTAATGTGTTGCCAGAAAGCGGAAGCCACTCAGAAGCTGTCAACCTGAGGCACAACAATAGGCACATGGGTTATAATGACTCTGAATTGGCCCAAGTTTAAACTTGCATTATTGGGTCGGTTGTCTTCAGTGTTAAGTAGAGTTAAAGTAAACCTACACTATGCATTTGAAAAATATGCTTTATACATTTTTCCCCTTTTTTTTTAACGAAGGGGCAATTGTTTCTTTTTTCTGAAGTTGTTTGAGCCTTTAAAACCAAGTTTCTGATCTATTAACTTGAAGGCTTTTGGTATGGCATGTCTCTGTTTCCTTACCCACTTGCATACCCAAATTACAAGTTTAGCTGAAGCATTTCTTCCAGATTAAGCACCTCTCAGAATGTCATAGTGATGTGAGTAGCACAGTGGTGAGAGCTAGTCACATTACGTAGTGGATGGAAGACAGGCTGACAGTCTGAAAGTGTGTGTGTGTGTGTGAATGGCTTTTGTCCAGTGTCTTGCAGGAGTGTTGCATCATGGTTGCTTCCCCTTCCAATAGAGCGATGGGGCTGGAATAGGAAGTCAACACTGTTGGTCTGAATTCAATCAGTGGGCTGGACATTCTGTCTGATGTGGCGCTGCAAGTAAAAGTAGGCTGGATGTTTGGAGAGGTCTCTAGTCAAATTACAGGATCCACATACTGCTGCGGGTCTGCATGTTTGAGGGACAGATATATAACTTTGGGTTTTGGTTGTGAGGATACATGGATTAATGTAGCAACAGGATGTGGGATTAGTCTGCAAACAAACATGTTAAATGATTCATTTGAGCCAGAATTGTGTAAGAATGAACAGTTAAATGTTTTTCTCATAGGAAGCAGGTTGGTTGATTCTACATGTAAGTGGTCAGCTTTAGTACATTACTTTATATTTTTTTTAATGTAGGGTGAGTACAGATGTGTTTGAGCCTAACCTTTGTTTGAGGAACAGATAAGTGGAACTTGATGGGGCAAAGTCTGTCTGGCTTTGTCACTTTCATTCAGTCACTCTAAACAGTCCTTTGTTATCCGCTTCAAGTCCTTGTCCAGTCCAAAAACTTATGGTGTGAGTGAGAAAGGACTCGATTAACTCAAACATCTTCTGCATATACACTTAAATGGCTCTTGTGTTCCTTATGAATCCTGCGGCTAGTGTTAATTAGACTTGTAATTGCTATCCTTAAGCCATAATGTGCATACTTAAGCTTTTTACGCATATTCTCTGGATTTATGTAATCCTGTATTCCAAGAAGGATTCTCATTTCATTGCTTATAACACCAGTTCTAGCACCATGTAAAAAAATTCCACGTCTGAAAGTAAAGGGTTTGACTTAAAACGACAAGCCAATCTGGCTTTGTGGGCTGTTCTCCAGCTACATTCTCAAAGCTCCCGAGGAAGTAGGCCAAAGCTTCCTGCTCACAAACCCCTACCCCCAACCTCGCACAGCAGCTTTGAAAATGTCCTGGCGGTAGAGCTACTACTACAGGGATGTTTTCTGCTATTGACCTGAACTGTACTAAGGAACTGTAACATCGTCTTCTCCTTTAAAAGAAATCCAGAGTGGGATGTGACGTCCTCTCACTTGCATTCAGATTTGGGATGTCATGAATAGGAAGCCTTTTTAGTTCACTTCAGAAAGGGTGAACGTGTACGGTACTAAAACACTCAGCCAGGGACACGTGCTGAGAAAGGCTAAATACTAGCTCGTAACGATAAGTCGGTTATCATTACATGAGTGGAGAGGCTTCTGGCTGGGACGGATGATGTGATGTTGGGGAAAAAATTCAGGGTTGGGCACAATTAGAGCAACCGCAAAAAAACAGGTTAGATATTATTTTGCGTGAGGGTGTGAGAAGTGCTTTATACTCATATGCTCTTTGTTAGCTTTAAACTCAATTTTTATTTCTCCTAGTGGTGAAAGCTTTCCAAGAGTACACAGAACCAGAAGATGCCACCCCATCCTCTCCACGACGAGCCCCAACATCAGGGGAGGATGAAGCCATCGTGCTACCACTTGGGGACAACACACTCACACACAACTTGGGCATTCCGGTGCTAATAGTTTGCACAAAGGTAAACAACATAAAAAGAATTTAGTTATTTCATGATTTTTTTGGTTGCCAAACAGCTGACTACATTTATGTCTATATACCTACAGAGCAGGGCAGTGACATCTAACACTAAGTATCATTTCAGATGTATGTGGACGCGTTTTCTTTTTTGTTTTTGTTATAGGTTGTAAGCTTAGGGAATTCAATCTAGAGAAACCTTTCACTGATACCAACAGTTGCCCAGTGTGCTGTTTTCATCTGCTGTCCGACCTTTCCATCACATATTTGTGTTAAGTTTTGCTTTGCCGGGCAGTATCTCCTGATCAAATGCTCCCATTATATTTGCTTGTTAAACCTTCAGCTAAAAGCATCACATGCAATCTGTGACTGGAAAATGGAGATGTATTTTCAGCAGTTGATGCTTGTGTCCTGCCCCCCACCCCTTTTTTTTTTTTTTGAAAGAACAGATGAATTGTCAGAATGATTTTTCACTCACACACACATCTCAGCCAAGTGTACAACCCTGCACTGTTCTCATGTGGCTCCCCTGTACCTTGTTGCTCTGTATTGTTCTTTGTCACTAAACCAATGATTTCTCCATTTCTTTCACTTGCTTTCAGTGTGACGCAATCGGCGTACTAGAGAAGGAGCACGACTTCAGAGATGAGCACTTTGATTTCATCCAGTCCCACATCAGGCAATTTAGTTTGAAATGTATCCTTTAAAAAGCACAGTTTACATTGGTCTCTTTATGTTTTAGGAATTAGGTTTGACATGATTTGTTTCTTTCTTCAGTTACCTTTTGATCATCTGTCCACAGTCTGAGAGATTAGTTACCGTTACTACCCTAACTAAACGAAACAGATGGAGCTGGCTTGATCTATACTTCAGTCAAAGAGGAGAAGAACATGGATCTACTTTACAAATACATAGTGCACAAGATGTATGACTTTCAGTTCGTTACGCCTGCCTTAGTGGTGGAGAAAGATGCAGTGTTCATGTAAGTGACACATGAGTAAATACAACTTAACAGCCGATGAATTTTCAAGCTTTCAAGTATAATTTCTTTAGAATATTTTCAACAACAAATCATTGTAGTTGTGACATCCATTTCTCACCCATTATTTTTAGTCCATCTGGATGGGATAATGAGAAGAAAATTGGGATTTTGCATGAAAACCTCACAACAGTCAAACCAGACGATCCATTTGAAGATTTCATTACAAAACCTCCTGTACGAAAGGTAAGAGACAACCAACTCTGACATGCATGGTAACGGGATGGTTAGCGTAAGTTTATCGTAATTGAATTTCTACCTAACATATATTTTTTCTTTTAAAAAAAAAAAAAACGTTTTCCATGTGCATTTGCACCTGTGCACCTCTTCAGCTGGTTCATGACAAAGAGATAAATGCAGAAGATGAGCAGGTTTTCCTGATGAAGCAACAGGTACGTGTTAGTCTCTCTCTTCTAATTCTGGAGCCATACTGCTAAACATAAATCTTAAATGTAGATTTAGTGGTAATCATTATTTGTATTGTTACAAATTACCACACATTATTGTTTCTGAAAGTAATTTCATCACTGTGTAGAAAAGAAAAAAGGCAAGAGCCTTTAAAAAGCATTAATGTCTGCACTAATAGATCCTATCTATTCTCTACTTCACACTTGAATGAGTTGTGACGCTGCGTTTATGCTCCAGGAAGTGTAAAGTTAGAGAGGTCATAGAACAGCGTTGATAGAGATTTATTATTAATCTTTTTTTCTTTCTTTTTTTTTTATCATTTAAGTCTTTGCTAGCAAAACAGCCAGCCACGCCAACAAGAGGAGCAACAGTAAGTAACTTAAAGCCTTTCAGATTGGGCTCTTTCCTTCTGTGGAGTGACATTCTAACCAGTTTTATTCTCGTGTTTTAGGAGTCTCCAGGGCGTACGACCTCGGGGTCTCCCAGGCCTGCGGGTCGTGCTGGACAGCCCACCATCACCAGCAGTTCACCAATGGCTGCAGTCAAAAAGCCTGACCCCAATATGAAAGGTCAAAAGAGGGCATTTTTCATACCTTATTAAGAGTAGTATTGTCCATTCGGGTACAACCTAATTCACTGGTTTCCCGAGAGAAAAATTCAGTATTATATCCTTTAAAAATGGAAAAATCAAACTCATCACAAAGATTGCCCTAAGCTTGTGCTGTACTGCCTCCAAGTGGGTGATATTAGAACTATTACCCTAACCTTCTTTTTAAAGAAAAAAGATACATGTTAATAATGTATGTAATTTCATAGGATTACAACATTTTCCTTTATTGTAATTATTTAGTCCTAAGTAGGACAATGGGTACTAATTGGGAGTCACTATATCATGTTAAGATATTAAACTTTCGGTAAGGTGAAAGACACGGACATCTAAATAATACAGAAACATTTCTTCTGCAGGGGGGGCTGCAAATGAGGGAGTTCTGGCTAACTTCTTCAACAGCCTGCTGAGTAAAAAGACCGGGTCCCCAGGAAGCCCTGGAGCCGGAGCAGTCGGAGCAGGAGTGCAAGGCTCTGCCAAGAAAACAGGTACAAGCCCAGTAGTTCAGAGCACTTTTATGTGTGACCTCGTCCCTCCACAGGAAAGCAGCTGTCATTTATCAAAGGAGGTACAAATACAGACCTCAGGAAAATTTTGACGTTCCACAATACCTACCAACAGATTCTGACAGCTGAACTTTTTAAACAGTAATAGTATTGAATGAGCACAAACTACCAGCAAGCAGTGGGCTTATATTTACACCAGTGTTTGCCACAGAGGCACGTAAACTCTGCAACAATGGAGGAATGTAGAAAATCTTAATGAACTTTCCTGACCTGCTGCTCTTGGAATTCTTTTGTACACATTTGTGTGCATTTTGTTAGGTTGTCTTCTCTGGGCAAGTTGTTACAAAAAGGAATTTTTCGTGTCCTTGGGCTTCCATTGCGGTTGTCCAGATTAGTAAAAAAATTCCACATTTCTTTCTTCAACGGCTTTCCGCACAGAATGTAGATGGAAGGCAACAGCATGAGAGACCTTTTAAGTTTGAGGCAAGTTTTGAGAAGGAGAACCTGCCCGCAGTGCCACAGGGAGCAGAGTACTGATGATTCGGTACACAAAATGACATGTTTTTATTAAAACAAAGTCCTTTCTGGAGTATTTGAACCAATAAAGAGAGGAATATGCACATTCTGAATGGCAACAAGGAAACCTAAGACACTAAATTAGTCTTACTGGGTGTATGAGCAAAAACTAGAGAGACAGACAGTTGTTCAGATGCTGTGGAACTTTTTGCTCTCTGGAGTTGTGTCTCTACGGTCTGATTTAAGATGGTTAAAGCAGGTGGAGAAGTAAAGGTGTCAGCTTTGACTGATCTTCTGACAGGCCTGTATGCTCTGAAAACACCTGCATGGAAACTAATGTCTTCCACCACCATGTCACATGCCACTGCTAAGCTTAACTAATGAATATTTCTTTCTTTTTTGTATCTTCAGCTGTTGTTGATAACTTCATGTTTTCAGCATAATCGCCTTTTCTTTTGCCACATCTGATATAACAACGTCTGATTCTGGGATAGCTGGATGCACCCAGTTGAAGAAGTCATCGCATCACTCATTTTTCTGTCCCAACAACACTGACATTCACAACACTGATACTTTTTGTTCCAGTGTTGACCTCTGGGACTGGGAGACAATGCATGTGTACATGTTTTTTTAATTAAAATTAATTCAGCATGTTAACTGTGCCAGCTGCCAATCACCAGCATGGGAACGCATCTCCATCTGACTCCCAACCATCTGCTTTGCTGGCCATAGAAAACTCTTATAAGCGCATACAGAAGCTACAGGAGATTACTTTTGGGCTTTGTCTCCTGTTTCTTTTCCAAGGGCAGAAGCCGGGTTTGACTGACGTACAGGCCGAGCTGGACAGGATGACCCGCAAACAAGACTCCGTGGTTTCAGCTAACAACGTACCGCCGACAGAGAACGAAGCGTGAAGGCAACGCAAACAGCTGCATCGTCCACTGCGTTAATACTCTGGAAAATATATTTACATGTGAGCATAGACAAAAAAAAGAAAAATATTTGACCAAATTCCCAACGCCTATATCAGTCTGCACACAGTGGTTTATCCAAAAGAGCTTCAGATGCTATCAGATGTTTAAGGTGAGCTGGGAAGGGACGGATAATGGAGCTGGATGTGTTAATGAGAGAAGAGGTCCAGAGGGCTTGGCTTGATTTCTGTCCTCTCTTCCACTGTAAATGTTATTTTGTGAGCGATGTCAGTTTCTGGAAATGTGTGCACACTCCCAGGTGGCCAGTCTGAAAGCGCTGCGCTGCAGGGCCCCCAAGCTCTGGGCTGAAACACTCTTCTCATGGATTTCAAGAGTGGCAACATACTGGCCCTGTGGCCTCTGGCTTAGCTTATCTCATGGAAAGAATTTGGTCATGATTGGAAGGGTATTTAAACAAAATATTGAAAAAGGTAATTGCAAACGTATGTAGTATTTAAAAAGATGTCGGGTATGATGCTGATGTATTTATACAAAGGTCCTCCTTTTATCTTATTTTGTGCACCATTTCTTGGTTTAAGGAAACATTTATCTGAATCACGCAACATGTTAAAAAGCCACTGACATCATGACACTAATGACATGTCCTCATAGCTGATAGCATATCATATCATTTGCTCTTGTCATCTCGAAGGATTCTGTAAATATAAATGCACACAAAAGAAAACAAACATTCAGGTTGACTTGATTTTTGTACAAACTGTCCAAATTGTGAAAATGGCTTCTATAACGAAAGTGAGACTGGTTGGGATTTGACAGGATTGGAAGTTGCATCGGAACTGCTTCTTTAGCTACAGGTGTGCATGTTTAGGGAGCGGGTTGGGCAGCATCTTTGCTACTTTAACTCCTAAGTGCCTCGCACAGTTAGCTGTTTGTGTCATAGTGGAGGTGCTCGTCTACACTAGAGGAAATGCACTGTAGCATCACTGGTTAAAGTTTTGTTCTCGTTTCAAATTTCTCCTCATCCAAATAATTTATTTTGTTTTACATTTTTGTAAATGTACAACAAGCCTGTGGTCTTTTTTTTATTTCAGGAATAAGATTTCTGTGGCTTAGTTGATGGGGTTAAATAGAGTCAATGCCTTCGTATGAATTGTATTGGCTGAAAGAAGAAACTAGGTGAAGAACTTTTTTTTTTCCTTCCACCCCCTCCACCAGACCTACTGTAGTTGAAACCACTTGTTTGCAACCAAAACACACAATTGTCTGCTGTGGTTTGAACAAAGTCAGAGCTTGTATCCTTCAGTGTTTGACAGCACTTTTCTCCTTTGGTTTCACATGTTTTATCAACACTGTACTTTGCATGTCTGTTAAAACATTCCCAGTTTCTACATGACGTAGCTGTAGAAACACATCCCTGTAGAAAACGTATTTGTCCACTCGGTTCCCTTTTATTACTTTAGTGCCCATTTGAAATGACAGCCTTTGCCTTTGATGCACAGCTCGTCACACAAGGCGCCCTGCCTTCACGGGAATGCTCCTGATTTGTGTGTCTTTAAGGGGTTGCTTGATTGTCTTATGTCATTTGTTCTTTTTGATTGCAACAGTGATACTGTACCATATCAAATAATCTGTAATATTTCTAGTTTGATGACACCGTAATCACAAATGAATTAAGTGTAAACTGTCATTTTGAAGTCGGTATGCAAGGCCCTTCTTAATCCAATGGATCGTGGACTCCATAGGGTGGCTTTTACAGAATTCATTACAAGCGTGAAGAGAGCAGCTATTTGCTATTCGGATGATAGCAGAAAGGAAAAAAATAAACCGGTGGGAATTGGAACACAGAACCAAAGATGCATATTAGTCGCTATGTTTTGCTTTTGTATATTTTTTTCGTTTAGTTTTTTGGTCCTCCATAAGATTAACCAGTGGCCATCTTTGTTTTTCGTTTTGTCACCCCCCCCCACCCCCTGCATTCCACACATAAAACCTGCCTTTAAATGCTAATGACACCCTATAGACGGCATGATGCGGCTGCGTCCACTCAGCCACTTCTGAAACATCACTTTTCTGTAAGAAGAAAACAAGTGCAGTCTGCTCTATGCATTTTCAGAATGACGCCATTTAACTATTCGATCAAAAACAGCACTTGCTCTTTATTCATTTTGTTTCTTGTTTTTGTTTGATGACTTGGTGAAATGTGCACTTGAAGGTGGGCAGAGGAGAACGAAGCACAATCCACGAGCAGCCGGAGGCACTTTTCTTTGAACACTCACAAGTTCCATGTTAGAGACAGAATGTTTTCTTGCTCTTGTCTTGCCTTTTTACAACTTTGTAATGATAAAATTGACATGCAGAAGCAGCTGAACTGGTGGGAGACGCCCCCAGAGGATGGAAAAACCCTCCCGTCAGCTCGCTTTTTCTCTGAATGCGTTTGGGATTTTTTCTTCGTTTGTTCCCGCTCATGAGTTGCCCCTTATCTGTGTTTACATTCACATCAAGCATGTTTTTGTCAAGTTATAGTTTTGCCTTACTAAACCTTTTTTTTTTTTTAATGCCACACTGTTCTGGCTGACAGGTTTGAGTCGGTGCTCTAACTCAACTCGTACCTGTTACTCCAGCCTTATTTGTGTGGGTGACACATGCCCATACTTTGTTAATTTGGCAGTCCTGGAGTGGAATGGAGCGCTCCCACGCTGCTCGGTGTCCGAGTTGCACTCGCCCCTTTGTAAAGGTTGAATGTTGCCCCCAGTGTGTGTCTAACTTTGTACTTAAATATCAGTTGAAAGCACCTGCCTTTTCACACCCTAACTGAAATGCCTTCAACCACTATTGGCAGCCTGCATCTGTATCGGTCTTTGAACCTCTGCTTCCAGTCCTTTTGTATTCAGGATGTTGAGACATTTTAAGCACATGGCTGGCTGCATTTTTGTGTCCTGGATTAATTCAGAAGTTTGATTGTATGTCTTTAACACAATTATGTAGCCTCTAAGCTGCCATGTGGATTCTAGCTTCTTACGCCGACAAAGATAAGGAAAATGTTTATCAGACCCCTGGCTTCAATAAAACCAAGAATCCAAACTTTTGTGGGTTTCTTTTTTTATTGTATTTTTACTCATAGAAAACTGTATCACTGGACATCAGAGGACTACATGCTCACACATCAGTAGTCTTGGAAAAGTTTAATACCACCACAGGCCATGAGATGGCAGAAAGATGGAAGGTAGCACAGAAGGAGAAAAATTACGTTTTCCTTAAGTTTACTTTAAATTACCTTGAAATCTGCTCAGTATCTGACTTTTGCTGACATTTTTGTCTTGAGCACTCAATGATAGTGTTGTATTCAGGGTAACTTGTGTCATAGCCAATACAGAAATGTGCTTTATCCCCCTCTTTCAAGATAAGTGACTGCTTTTAGAGATCTTAGGGGAAAAAACTTAGATCTCACATGGCAACCGGCCGCCGAAAATCCCTTAAGAACAGCAGCCATAATCCCCTGCGGGACAGGGGAGCCTTTCCATGAGATCCAGAGTTTGGTTTCTAAAAACATGCTGCAGGAGCACATCTGTGGCTTACACCAGATCGAGGAGAAACGCGGAAGAGCACGGTTCTGTCGGCGTGGTTCCGGCTGGGTTCGCTTTACAGGCTGTTTGGGAATAGAAAACGGGCTCTGAGCCCACTCAAGAATGTGCAGTTTTTTTTAGAGGGGCGGGGACAAGCCTGCTCTCCATCCACCCACCGCGAGCGGAGCGGCGACCGAAGGCAGCCTCCCCTCCGCCGCTGCGGCTAAGTTTACAACCCGGGGACAACGGGGACCTCTCTGGAACCGTCCTGCTCATCATACGCGACTGTTTTTTTTTTGGTGGCGGAGACGAGCCGTGCAACTTGGCCCAAAAAAAATTGTTTTTGGTGGTCGTTAATCGTTAAGGAAAGGTAAGGAGACGAGCGGGGCTCGAACTAGTGACCCGCCGAACATACTGCAATCATAAGAGGCTCCCCGAGAGAGACGAAACACTACACGGAGACGGATGCCGGGGCCTAATTTTCCAGCTCGTCATGTTCAAGAGCGTCTACGGCTGCCGTTTCACCGCGGGGTGGCCATGAAAAGTGGACCGTCTGGTTTCTCCGGACGGGAGACAAAGTGAGCCCTCTGCCCACAAAAACCTGCTTTTTTTTTTACTGTTTTGAATTTTTGAATTTTTTTTTTTTTTTTAAACGTCGACTCCGGCGGGTTGTCAGCGTGCGTTTTTCTGTCGTGACGTTTGTGGTAAAGAGTCCAGCTTTCCCCCGAAAATATGAGGACCACCGAGGAGACGGAGGGCTTTGACGGCGAGGCCTCCAACACTTCCATGATCTCCGGGGCCAGCAGCCCGTACCAGCCCACCACGGAGCCCGTCCACGCGCGGAACGTTTTCGGGGCGATGAGGTGTGACCTGGAGTACCTCCGGTCGTACTTTGGGATTTTAAAGGTGGTAGAAGTGGTAAGTTTATTTCTTTAATTTTGTTTAAAAATGTTTTTTAACACATAAAGACGCGTGGCTGTATAAAAGTAGACGAACTTAAACAAACTATGACGCCCCGTCAGAGAATAACACAAACAGCACTATCCAGCCATTAGCTTGGATTGAAAAACAAACAAACTTATTCCTAGGAAATAAACGATTTTTACAACGTTTTGTAATGCTTCAGTACTCGGTGTAGGTTGCATAAGGAGCTTAAGTGTGACCATTTGTGATGGCATAGTAGTGTATCAGAAGATGTGGTCAAACATGAATGCCATACTGTCAGTAATGTGGGAGCTTTCCAAGCATCACCTCTCTCCCCTCTTCCTCTGCTTCCACTATCAGCTATTTCCACATTCCTATTCCAGAGATCCTGTGGTTTGCAGGCATGTTGAAAACAACTTTAAGCATACGAGTTATTGACATGTTTTGTATACTGCCTTTGCAACCAGAGAAACCTGTACAGACTGTTTTGTTAGGATCAGGTCATAGCCACTGGAAAACAAACTTGTGCCTCTCTGATAAATCAGTATACATCTGCCAGATGTTGGAGCTGGAACAAGAGGCACCAACTGAGAGAGAGAAAAAAAAGATCTGATAATTCTCCAGAGGAGGAAATATCTATTAAGCTCGAGCTATTTCTTTTCTTCTGGTGCCAAAAAAGCCTCAGTACAGGGCTGCAGACTCATGCACGTGAGGTGGTGCGTGTCCACAACAGGAAACGGGGAGTAGTCGTTTTCAGTGTTTATGGACGGCCCAGGTTGCTTAAAGATCCATACTCTTGCTGTAGTCCTCTCAGCTTTAAGTTTTGAGGGTCTTTTCAGGTTGTGTTTTTCTGAACAGAGATCAGTCGGCCTGGCCCGTAGCACACACCTGTGATGTTTACCTACCTTCATCTGGGAAGTCAGGAGAGGAAGCCATCTGCCACCAGTGTGGGAGAGGTTTGGAATAGGCAGTAACTGAGAAGATTCATACGCTCAGTCATCATCTTTACGGCAAATCATAGAAAATTTGTGAGAGATGGACTCTTCGGCAAGGCCAAACATAAATTCGTTCCCAAATTTAGATCGCTGAGATCATCTACAGATGATAAAACGTGCAACAAATGATGCTGTCATGCTTGTCTTGATAGTTTTAATGTATTTGCCCATAGATCCATCCTTAAATCAATCAGCATTATGAATAATCTCCTACAACACCAGGCCGGGTACCAGTCGTTGGTTATTGTTGCTACACGTTTTCTGACTGTGTGGATTAAGAAATAGATGTCATTTAATTGTATCTGTTAGAAATATTTCTTCTCCACCCCTGGAACCTTCTAAACGTTCAGATAAACGTAGCCACCATGGGCTATAGCTTAACTAAATTGTTGTCTTGCATCTCATCATCAATCTTTATCATTTGCAAAAAAGATGGTTCCTGTGCACTAATTGTGATTTATTTAATTTTTTTCCCAGTCGGAATAATCATATTTCTTCTCTGCCGACCAAAGAAAATCACCAATGAATGTCATCCAAGTTCATAGTCAGCCTGAATTCAGAGTAGGCCTCCAAAGCTCCCTGGCAGACTTTAATATCGTCTCTGGTTTTCATTTTTACTACTCTGTCCTCTTGTTATTTCACTAAGTGCCATCCAAGGCTGTGCGATGACCCTGTACAAGTAAAATATGACAGCGCAGTGCTGACTGCACGTGGTGTGCTGTAAAAGGACCCAATGTACCACTATTTCTGCATAGTCTGGAAACATTCCCCTGCCAAAGCGGCTCCCTGCCAGTCATTTGTATCCCCTTGTTTTAATGGAAAGTCATTCTGCAGCTGGAAAGGTGGCCGTCTTGTGTCGTTAATGAATAATCTTTGGACAGAATAACAAGCAACGATCACCATCACTGCGAATGAATGCACTGGCACCATTTCTGCGTCACTCCTCGACAAACTCTTCTCAGACAAATGGGGGAAATCTGTTTTGTTAGCTACGCATTCAGTGTAAAACGTGTGTGAGTTTTTCCAAGCATCAGTGAAAAGGTTGTATGATTTGAATGCCTCTCTCTCACCATCTGATCCCCTTTAAAGAGCCACTTCCTAATGACTTTTTGCAAGGAAATGTTTATTATATTACGCCTACACCCTGCTCTTGTTTGCACAAGTACTTACGAAGCACTCTGACATTTGCAGTGACCCATGATTGCAGGGAAGTTCTCTGTTGCCCTCCGCCAAACAAAGTGTCACCTTGGATTTCTTGAAGTATATCAGCGTCTTGAGCGGTTTAGACATCTTAGGATTGGGGTTTTCCATCCCAACAAGCAAAAGGAGGAAGGGGAAATGTTTTTTCTGACAAGAAAATGTCACAAAAAACCCCCAAAAGTCCATGATTTAGGCAAAACAAACATTTAAAGAAACATTTAACATTCTAATGTAATAAATGTGGCTTAAAGCTATTTTGGGCATGTGTTTCAATGGACTTTGATGGTTTGTTGTTAGATCCTAAAGCCCTCCTTGGAAGTGAGTTTAATCTTGTAGTATATGTGCGTTGGGAGCTAATAAATGTTGAGCCCCAATATTTAACCAGACATTACACAAAGGAATGTATACTTTGGAGGCTATAGTGTTTCCATCCGTGACCCTCTAAAGCTGAAAAAACAAGAAAATAGTATACACGCTACATTGACTCTTATGCTTTCCCTATGAGCAAATCCAAAATTTTTACAACCTTTTCCACTTAGCATTATTTCAGAGAGGCAGATTTGAGCAAAGAAGCATTGGTTGTAAATGTTGGATTTAAAGCTCCATCTTCTAAACCAAGTGCCACCATCAGAGGAGGGGAAGCAGATAGTCGCGTTGGTCTGAAGTGCTGATCGTCCCAGGAGTATAACCCTGTAACAAAAAGTCCACTTCAGTCATAGAGATGTTTCTCTTTTCTTGAATGACTATAGAAATGTATATTTTCAGTGTGTGGTATTAAGAATGTGAAGGTGGGTCAGACCTCGTCTAATGTTGGAACAGAGGCTCCACCTCTCCAGGAATTCTGTCCCGTTTACATGTGCTGGCAACGTTTGTTGTCTGGTTAGTTTTGGTTTCATTTGGCTAAAGAGTGGATGAGAACGGTAATAGAGAAAGAAAATGGATCCTAACAAGAGAAACTGAATTATGCTGCTAAAGATTCGGCTGGGTCAAAACCCTTGGCTCATGCTTCTTCACTTTGCTACGTCATTACTACATCTTGGGACTGAGCTGGTGCACTTGAAAATCCAAGGAGGCTCATAAGCAAGTTTTCCAGTGACTGTGTGCAAGATGGGCTAAAATACTCTGGTGTTGAATTGAGCTCCTGAGATGAAGACTCAGCCGACGTCTCTCTGATCAGAAGCTAGCCTCAGCAGGATGTAATCTGACCGTGTCTGTCCTGACAGCAGGTTTGTGTTTGTGTCTTTACTGTGACTGGGTCAACAAACCCGTACCGGCCTCCTGTCCGCTACACGCTGACGGGAATTTGAAACCTCGCAGGGCCTTCAAATAATCTCATCAAACTTTCTTTGTTTCCCAACGGGCTTTCCGCCTCTGCCATGAGAATATCTCATTCATAGTGGTGCGTGAAGCCATATTTCCCCTGTTGTTTTTTTTTGGAATTGTTCTAACAAATGGAGATTGTAGTTTTATGGTAATGGAGGGTGGATGTTAAGAAATGAAGTTACCAGATGCTCCCACACATCTTCCACTTACAGGGACCCCATACATTCATTCTCTCGTGATTGAAGGGTTACTTATTCAGAGCTTGAAGCTAATTAGAAAGACAACAAAGAGCTTGCACATGCATGCAAGGAGGCACGTGTGCTTCTGTGTGTGTGTATGTGTGGGTATGTGCGTGCGTGCGGAGACACAAGCTTCATTTTTCTCTGTGTAGATATTATTCTGCATTCAAGCTGCACTTTCCATCTCAAAGAGGAGTGTTGGCTCCTGCTGAGGCACATCCGACATGTCTTTCTTCCCTGAATTTCCCGTCTTTAGCAGAGGAGATCCGGGATCAGTATGCCATTAAAGATCACTAAGAGTGTGTTGAATCCAGAAAATGCGAACTATGGAGGAGCCATCTGAGAGTCAACATTCAAAAGGAACAGGTTGCATAGGTCTCAGAGAGATCATCCAGCATGGAGCTCGTGATGCCCCACCCTCTTCCCCCTGTGACTGCCCAGCACCTGCCTCACAGGGACCTGGTGGAAGCAATACGCTTTCCCCCTAAAGACAATGACATCATCTCTCAGCTCCAGCAGCCCTCCATTCCTCTTTGGGTGTAGCCCTTATGGCCGGTGTAGTCACAGGCACGGTGCTGTCCAACAACACCCTTAAGACAAAAGCTCTGCTAAGAGACGTCCTAACGAAAGCTGGCCCAGGACGTTTGCTTCATCTCGTCAGTCTGAATGGGACAGCTGGACACACTCGACTCTAAGGGGGTGGGGGGGTTAACCAGAGTTTTCTCTGCTCATATGTAACCAGTGCCAGTCACCAGACAATACCTCACTTGTCAGACAGAGAACACACCCTGCTCATTAAACCAGATAGCAACATTGTGTATTGGAGGGGGGGGGGGGGGGGGGTCTTTTGTTTTGGTTCATTCAACAGTGTCAAGCAATTACAAGGAACTAGCTCAACTAGAATAAAATCATATTCAGACCACACTTTATTGAGTTTTGTTAACACACTGGAGTCTTAGCTTTATAAAAAAATTCTAACTTTGGAGTTTTTTAATTATTGTACAATAAAGGCTCTGAGGGGCACACAAAGAAAGGGTCACAGCACTAACAAATAAAAAAAGTCTCCTGTCCAAGCTTTGAAAATGTGCGTCAGCCTTCATTTGATTTGCAGAAAACTCAGGCATCTGAGTCAGTTTTTGCATGCTGACAGTCTGAAGATTTACTTTTTTTTGTTATTTACAACCCGCCTGCTTTGTTGTCAGCCTTGATTCTGACGTCACTGCTGTTCTTACATTTGCTATGAATCTAAAATGCTTTGTGCACACATGGTTAAATGCAGTTCAGTGAATCCCCCAGGCCAGGTATTTAACCTTCCCCCTAATGCCTCTGCCACTCCCTCTAGACTCTTGTCTGATGACAAACAAGAAGAGGTCAGCATCCTGGTTTGACTTCGATATGGAAGAGTTTTATACATTTTGATATCATAAACTTGTGTTTTTTTGTAGCTGGAGTGTTTCATTTGCTGAAGTTAACCTAAGTGGATTTTTTTTTCAGTCGCTTGTCCTAAAGAAAAATAAATCTGTACAGATACCTGGTTAATAACTTACCGAAAAATAGGTTGGTTTTGTTTTATCTGCATTGCAAAGCCTGGAAATCATTTCCAAAGACGAGCCTTGACTTTAACCTCGCAGCAGCGTTCCCCTCCGCTGCGGATCCTGACTGCACCGTATTTTGGCGTATATTATTCCTCCGACGGCTGCCTCAGCCTGGACGTGTGCTGGAAAGACTTTTCCATCAATGGTGCGCTGCATCGTCATCATTGACTCCAAAAATGGATTTTCCTTTTGCCTGTTTCCCAAACTAAATAGAAAAACAGCTCATGCCTTCAAATATCTGGCTGGTGCTTATTGATCGGAGCCCCAGTCGGTAGTGATAGAATTTGTTTACTCCTCTCCAGCTCGTAACAGGCAGCCTACGATTGCAATGTGTCGGCTGTCGTTAAGAAATGATCCTTTTATTTTTCTCAGGCTGCGTTTGTTAAAAACAATCCGTTTGATATTCATGCTCACTCCCCATTTGTCACCAGGAGACGAAAATAATCAAAGCAGTGGAACGTCAGTCCTCTCTCACAGTGAAAACTACACCTAAATGCTTTTTTTTACCATGTAAAAGATATTACCTGATGTCTTGCTGTCATACAGCTACTTTTAGGGTCTAAATTAACATCAAGATCATCGTTTCATGCATCACTAACTATTTCAGAAATGTTATAATTATCAGTGATTCTAATACAACAGCAGTGTGACCAGGCTTAACTGAACCACCAAACCTTTGGAACCAGTTTAAGATTTCATTGTTTAGCTTTTGGATTCACTCGAGCTAAATGCTCAGTTCTTGAACTATTAACTTGATTCCAGTTAAAGGTCAGTGCAGAGCTGTCGTTTAGAGAACATGTATAATTATATACCTTACTTTGCCGTTAATTCAGAAATGCTGATATTTACAACTTGATTATTGTTTTCGCCACAGCGATTTTTACAGCTCAACAGAAACTGTAACAAATTCGAACAAATGTCTTTACTTCCCCCTGTCCTCAGAGAAGCTCTGTGATGAGTCAACAAAACATTTTGTTCCATCCCTCAGTTCCTCCCGCTTGGGCCGTGATTACATACCATCAGTTCTTTTTTTAATGTTTTTGAGCCATCAGATTTATTTAGCTTGAAATGACACTAACAGCAGTTGCCTGGAACTCTTTAGTTTTTTTATCTTATCTGGTTTTCTCATTTAAAAGTAGCCCATCAATTTGAACTCAGCTGATTTTTGGGCAGCACGAAGTCACAACGGCTTCCTCGAAGAACATTGCAGGTCGGTGGATGTCGGATGACAGCAAGCATCATCAAAGTTCACAGGAAAATCCCTTCGTAATCTGGAAAGTTTGGAATTTCACCTCCATTATGGAGAATAGCCGACAGCTTAATCTGAGATCTGAGCAATTTAACCACACTGCTGTTATTATATAATCTAACCAAGATGGATACAACTGTTCTCACACACTGTCCAAAAGTCAGAGCAAACTAGACTGTCATTCCCACCATGCTATTACCGCGTCATACCAGATTTCACATAAAGGGCAGACCAAGTTAGACAGATCTGACGGTCGTTTAGAGGAACACTGATTTGAATAATGGACTCTACCACTGAATAATGCATGCCAATTGTTCATGTTGACCTAGTTCCACAGGCAAGGGTGATGATTCACCCGTCAGCTGATCATGTAACTGGTGTCTGGCAAAGGCCTTTCTACACACTAGACTGAAACGTGTCCTACTTCTCTCTCCCTAAACCTGCTCTTTCTTGTCATTTGCCCTCTCACTGCAGGTCCTCTCAGTCATTGGCTTCATCTGCATAGAGACCATCATGATGTGCTCCCCCTGTAGCGGCGTCTACTTGTTTGAGTTTGTCAGCTGCACTGCCTTTGTGGTGACAGGAGTCCTCCTCCTGATCTTCAGCCTCAACCTCCACACCAAGGTTCCCCACCTCAACTGGAGCCTCACGGTACGTTCCAGGGAGGGGGGAAAAGTGCTGCTTTCTTTCAATTCTATGAGCTGATGTGCCAAAACACTGAAAGAAAAAGGAAATCTTTTGGCCTTTAATACAACTCAAAATCATTCGGATACAATCTCAGATTAACAGCAGCACATGACGCAGAGGAAACCTGCACACACTGTCCAGCCTGCAAAAAAACCCCAAACATTTAAATGCAACATTTTTGGCACTCAACCCTCACAGGGAAACTAACAAAAATAAGCCAAAATGCAAAACTAGTGTCCATCAAACTGTTTCAGCTGCTTGTGGAATCAGATTTTCCATGTGATGCTGTCTCCCGCATTGACGTGGAAGAACAACCGGTACTCCGGGATGAAGTTCTTTTATAAGGTCATCCAATGAATTGAAGCATCTCTGAAGCCCCGCCACATTTCAGCCAGGCTGAGGTCTGGCCTCGGACTCTGTCATTGAAACAGCTCCATTCTTTTCTCTTCAGCCATTCTGTTATGTCATCCTGTTATGTCAGCTAAAAGAAGGTTCGGTGTCTGAGGGTGAAAAACCAGCCCAAAGCATCAGCCCTTCACTACCATGTTTGTTCAGATTCAACTATGCAAATTCACCTTTTGTTTAAAACATAAAGCCACGTGCTGTTATTGCTTTTATTTATGCTGTCTGCCCAGAAGTTGTTAGAATTTAGACAAAGTTAACAACTTAAAAACACTGCAATCCCATCAGAGGATGCACATCCAGCTCAGACATCAACTTTCTACTTTTAAGAAGAGTTTTGCAGACTGCATTATGAAAGGTTTGGATAACAGCCACAGCCCAAACCGTCTGACTTTTCTCTCTGTTGTAAGATTTTGTGCCAAAGTGTTTCAGTTTCACAGTATTTGAGTTGTACAAATGCGAAACAGTTGAGCTCAGGATTGTCGGCTTCACTTCATGTCAGTCTGTGATTTGGAGTAGCAACTCATTCACAGAGGAAGAGACAATGAACAGGTGAAATTTCATGAATTTCCCGGAGTGCACACCAGTAAGCCTCATTAATGAAAAATTGCTAAGTGAGAATACTTTTGGATGGGATGTTTTAGATGTTATAAATGGCCATGATAAGATGTACTAAGTAGTAGATAAGTATTAATGTCTAAACAGAGCCTTAAAGAACATCAAAAAGTGGCTTCTCTCTCTAACCAAATGAATATTGATTATTAACCATACATTTTCCACAGAATGTGTCTGAAAAGGACCTTAGATAGTGTTCAGACATAGGAAGAAGTCATATCTGCGTCGTTGCAGATTAGCTAGAGATTTTAAGGTTTTAAATGATTTTTATGTTGCTTGAGATGACTTTTTATGTGAATAAATCGACAATCAGACGTCTTTGAAAGCTGACTGTGTAATTTTTTTTAAATGGCATTTTTTTCTCAATCACATCCTGCTCTTTATGGATAATGTTTATCCTTTTTTTCATTGTTAGCATTAGTATTATTACTATTATCAGCTCCTTACCAGATAACACAAGCTACAGAGTCTTGTATTCGTTAGCACTGTAAAGCTTTCCTCCGGCTCATCAGTGGGTCTGGAGCTGGTTGGAAGAACAGACAGTCTCAGGATATGCGTTGTCAGCTGTAAGTAAATGAGCTGGGGGTTGCTCTCTCCAGCAGATACTGGCTGCCTACCTACCTCTAGATTGCCTACGTACACCCACCCCAGTGTGCACACATCTGTATGGTTTTGCGGCCAGGGAAGCAAAAAATCGTCCCCGACCAGATTTCCACGGGCCACACAGCCTACAGTACACAAAATAGCAAAGCAGTGGATTTTAAGCCAGATGTCCAAATCCAACCACAGCTATCGGATTGCTCTGTGGTTTTCTCTGGTCGGCGTTGCACCTCAAACATGAAGAGACGGTGGGCCTCTGGCTTTTTCTTTTGGCAGCACGACATCAAATGGAAGCTTTTTACAGCCCTGGAGCAGCCAGAGTCAATTACAGAGTGCTGATTTAGGAACTTTTACCGGATACCTGTGGCCATAACAGTTGTGCATATGATATAAATTATTCCCGCTCATTCTTTAAGGAGCCATCCTTTTCTTCTCAAGAGTTCTGAAGAAGTGATAATTTTCCATTTTAAAGTGGTGCCTTGTATTGGGTTAAGGTCTCAGATCTTATGATTCGCTGGAAGAGATGAGATGAGATTTTTCATATTTTGAAGAAGATTAAATGTATAGAGGACTGTTTATGGTAAAAAAAAACAACAACAAAAAAAGCAACTGTTTCCCTTTTGGCCAGCTCCTACTCTCCCTCTGGACTGTTTTCGCTAACAAGCCCATGATGCTTGCTTTCGCTCCACTGTGTTGGCCCAACCTCTCGCTGTGGTATGTCTATCAAGTTCAAAGCACCTCCTGTCAAACCGGGCCCCTGGGAATTCCACCACCAGTACGAGTTTCACAGTGTTAAGCAAAGCGTTAAGCCTTCTGCTGATTCCATCCGTTCCACAGCTCCGAACTGGGGACTGACACCGACGCTGCTCCACTGTGGAGAGTGTTGTTCTGCCATCTGGTCGAGAGCCTCAGAAGAATTGTTTGTAATCACACATGAAGTGCTCCACGATCCCACTGCCTTCAATTCAGCCTCTGTCATGACTTTGGCCGCTAACGGGGAAAGCATGGGACTGGACCGCTCTCTCCCCTCTTTTACAAGGAACTTAGTTCAGTCCCCAGGACATTTTGTGAAGCATCTGGGGAACTTAAGGTGAACTGTGGAGTTATTAGGAAGCTCAAAAAATCCTCTTCATACTTCCTGTTGAGCACCAAACAGCAGATGGTCAAAGTTAAGATTTTCAAATCTATTAGTCACTGAGCAGATGTCCATATTCAGAGCAACAGCTGATGGTTACAGATGGGCATTTGGCATGTATCAAAACATGTTTCCACAAAAGATGCTTTACAGATGATAGGGGTGCAAATAACCAGGCTGCCAATGCAACTCAAAGGGACCATTTTAACCACATGTAGTTGTCAAATTTAGGATGGCTTCTGCATTCACATATTTGAACAATACTTTTTACCTTTGAATGCCCTTAAAACATCAGTTTGTTCAAGAATTTGACCACATAAAAAGATGTATAATTATGATTTAAGTTATCTTTAAGTATACTTTTCAAAACAAATAGGTAACAAAAAAATTTAAATTTTATTTTTCTAGATTTTTGTTACCGGTTATGTGATGGACTGAGTTCAAGCTGCCTTTCTGTTATTCGGTAGGTCCATGATCTAAACGTACAGGCTCATGCTCTGTGAACGCTTGTTTCTCTGATGACTCGCGGTAACTCTGCTGAATAAGCAGAATGAATAAGCTGGGCGCTGTGGCTATCATTAGTTTCTGTCATTAATCTGTCATCATTCCAGACCAGAGACCACTTGATTTGTGTCGTATTTACTCCACACAGAAGTGGAATCCGTTAAGAGCTCTCCGGATTTGGGAGGCTGCAGTTAACCACTCAAGCGTGCAGAAGACAGGAAATACTCTCCCGCTTTTTTCTTTGTCTCTTAAAGGATTTGGCCTAGAATGTTTTATTCCTGCGCGGAGCCCAGTGGCTCTCTGTAGCTTTCTGGTACTGTCGAGAGAATAGATTTCACTGTCAGCGTTGTGCCGCAGCCTTTAGCGGTTTCCATAGTTACCTTTCAAAGAGCATTTTCCCTGTCAAACTTGAGAGCACAGCAGAAAAACAGAGCAGCGTTCAGAGGCACAGAACTCCACGGTACAACAGAAAAACTCCCTCCTGTCTGTGTACAAGCGGGAGATATATAGTCGGAATATAATGTTTAGTGAGGTTTAACAGTGAAAGACTCCAGCAGGGGTGCAGGTGGGCGTGTGTTTTAGCTTGAATACACAGAGGAAAGTCTGGAAAGGCCTCTGACATGACAGGGTGGGCGTGAGGCAGTGGGAGGACGCCCACTGTCAATAGATTGTCTTCACAGGCAGATCTGAGGTAAAAATCCAAACCTCTTTCTGAGATTTCTGTTTGGAACACGCCCTCAAAGAAAAGCGCCTCACAGTCGTCTGTTTGCACTTCTGCCACTGGCATTATCCTTTAGGCAAACCGGTTCATCTCTCTGTTTCTATTTAAACAATTAAGCAAGAGCCTTTGATGAGCGAAGATTCACCTGACAAGCTGCTCAGCTCCCTTCTCTTCAGCACTTGAGATATTTTCATATAGAAAAAAGGGCGATGGAAAAAGGTTTTCCTTCTCTGGACAGCTTATTCCACTAATGCACTTAGTATAATAGTATAATCTGAAAAATTATTGTTTTAAAACTTTTGCAAAAAGATTAACTGTTGAATATTGTTGGTTTACATCCAAACCAGAAACCACAACTCTTAACCGTTTCCTGCATGCAGAAACAGTGGAGAGTTTTTATACGCAGAGCCATTGAAAACTGTAAACTGGAGCAGTCAAAGCAGAGGAAGGACTGCTAGTCTGGAGCTGGAGAGCCTGTGGTTTTGGTCCAGTGTGTGCTCGTCTTATTTAAGGTTTGCGCTGGTCTGGTTAAAACTGGGTTTGTGAGAGGAAGTAAACGCTGAGGGCCGAGTTAATCGGCCGGGGAACTGAATCAGCTGGATCCTGAGGGAACCTGCAGTCATGAGGCTGTGCAGAGGCTTTTGTTCTCACGAGAACAGGACACAGGGAGCTGAATCTGACAAAGGCTGCCCAACCGGTCTGGCAAGAAAGAGGAGGAAAGTGTGTGTGCATGCGCTCCGAGCTATGTTTGCCACACTCCTTCTGACCATGTGTAAGTCTGTTTACAGTGAGCTGGGTTAAAGATTAAAGATAGTATCACCAGTCTGGCGTAGATTGACTCGGTCAGTTAGTGTGGGTTCCATTTTGATTCCGTTTTTATCAAACTATCGATTCAACAGCAGAATCTGTGGAATAGTATCAGCCGTTTCATGCCCTGCTGAAGTGTGCGTTTCCCCGGTTGTGCATGCACTTGTGTGTCTGGCCACCGTTTGTGACTCCTCCATTGTGCGCGCCTCGCGTGTCATATGAGCGAGCGTGTCTGTAATGATTACAGTCATGCATCTGATCCCGAGGGCTGGCTCCTGCTGACCGCTCCTGTTAACCATTTCTTAACCGATCGGGCCGGTGACTACCGGGGGGGCGGGCCCATTTCTTTCTGGAAAAGGTGGGGGATGGAGCGCGCGTGTTTGTGTGCAGCACGAGGTGATACGTGACCCGAGTGTGTGCCGTTTCGCCCTCCTCTCCCCCCGTGGTCACAGGGAAGCACCAGGATGCAGTTAGGCTGGTTAGAGGGGCGGGAGCAAACTCTTTGTTTGTTCAGCAGGGAATAACATAAAACAGGATGTGTTTGGAAGGCTGATATGAGTTTAAGCTGCGTCAAAAGGCCATGAGTATTTTTAATTTCAGCAGAGATTAAATTTTCTGCTGCATTTTTTTTTTTACTGTGCTAATGTCACGGGAAAAAAAAAAGAAAACTGCATAGACATTATTATTTTTGTATGATGCACTTTGAGGTGAAAACACCTGGTGTTTTTGGAGCTGAGCTGTTTCAGCTTTTGAGCTCTAAGTGGATTCTGTCAAAGTGTTGAGCTTTACCTTCTTCATCTGAAGATACATGAATATATAAATAATTCTAAATATGAACTAATATAAAATATTTGTGGGGTTTTCCAAAACTAAGGGTAATCTTTAGCCATTTATCCATTTAAAGAGCAAGATCCAAATCTAATCCAAACAGAGGCTTTTTGTCCTAACCTACATTCTCCTTTAGTGAGAAATGTAAAAGATAGATCTTGAGGGAAGACTGACAGTTTTCCATGAGGTCAATACACTTAGAACTGATGGAAAGGAGGCAGAGGGATAAAAAATAGCAAAACTTAAGTGAAGACTCAACAAAATATTTCCATAAAATAAATGCATATTGAAATAATTTGTCAAAAAAAGTCAAATCATTTCAATGATTGTTTTCATACTTTATGTGCTTTGTTGCTATAAATGAAGGATTAGTTTTAAAAACTTGTATGCACAAAAGAAGAAGAAACAAGTGATGCAAATCAGTCCACAAATCACCAGGGGAAGCATTTCTATGTCTTCATATGCCACTGGTCGTGTAGTGCAGATCCAGGCTGCGTCTGAAACAGTCTGTCCTACTCTCTCTGGAGTCTCTTTTTATGCACTCGATCCTTCAAATGCTCCCAGCTGGAAGGCGATTGGGTTCACGTTACCCTTGTTAAACCAACAGAAATCGGGGGGGGGAGAAAAGGAGCCACTGAGCTCCGTAAGAAACAAGCCACACAAACGGGATTCACGTTGGCCATGAAGACAGGAAAAAAGAGCGACATGGGAGTGGCTTTTTGCTGCCTTTCGAATCCATGCTCTAATTGTTATGGAAATACGATAGATGCCTGGCGTCAGATGTAAAACTCATTTGTTGACCAGATCAGACAGAATATTCTGATCAAATGAGACCATACTGAGCCGATTAGATCACACAAAACAAGAGGAAGGGCCAAAATATCCTGGTTGTAGTATTGGCCGTTGTAAAAAGACGCTTTAATGTCCGATGATTGCATTTTTCTGTGTCTTCCTGCAGGACCTGGTTAACACCTCTGCCAGCACCCTGTTCTTCTTCTTGTCATCTTTGGTCCTGGCTTGCATCAACCACAAAATGGCAGCGGAAATAGCAGCGGTGGTGAGTAGTCTGGACCAGCCTGCCGCTTTGGCTCTGTGTGTGTGTGTGTGTGTGTGTGAGTGTGTGAGAGTTTCTGATTTGAATTTGTTCAAGGTAAGTCAAGCTCTGGCCTAGTTTAGACAGACGGATTATAAAGCGTCCACGTCACAAATGTCTTGTTATTTTTCTTTTGTTTCCCGTTCAAGTCACTGCATTATCACTGTGCTCCCGTATGCAGATCTTTGGCTTCCTGGTGACAGGTGTTTACGGCTTAAACACTTTCCTGGCGGTTCGGAGGTGGCGCCGTGGCAACGGTTGCCAGGGGGCCGCTCAGACCGGCGAGTACATCCGAGCACGCACGGCATCTCGCGGAGAGATGGAGGCACGGCCCGAGCTAGCATGAGGGCCGGCGGACGGACTAAGGGACGGCCACTCCTCGGGACACGGCTCTGCCTGCAGAACGGACCTGTGCTTCCACTTCTTCTGCTCCGCCACCCGATTTTAAGGCCAGAAATTAGCTCCTGGGCTTTGTTTTAGCAGCCGCTTCTGGTGTAAGTCTGAATCAGAATTGAAAATGTCCTCTATTAATTCTTTTAAAGGCAAAGTGAAAAAAGACTTCCGACGAAGAGCCACAAAAGATGGATCACTGTGCTCCAGCTGTGGGTCAGCGGCCGTTGTGCGGTCGGTGCTGACCTGTCCGAAAGTTTGGGCTTTCACTGTGAATGACGTGAGTTTGAAAAGAAGGTCAACTTTTGTACAGTTTGCTTTTGTCCTGCCGCTTTTTGTGAAGCCTGTGGTAATGAATGGACCAGGAGCAACATGCAGAAACCTGCAGCACAAGTCCAAGCGACAAAAGGGCCACGGCCGGATTGTTTGTCACGTTGACGGGACAATTAGCCCCTTTCTTTGATGTGTTTAATATAAGACTCTTTTTTTTTCTTTTTTCAGCAGCGCAACGATACAGTGACAAAAACAGAATGAATGAATTCTCTATACTTGATTCCATCTGTTTCAGCCTAGGCTGTACTCAGACAGTCCTAAACTGACTCTCCATAGTCTCTTTCCTTCACAGTCTACCGGCCAAGCTTTGCTCGAATTCAGAATGCCTGTGGCTACGTTATTGGATTTGTTTGGTTCGACTCTCGGGTTGCCAGGATAGGCAAATAGTGCAGATGGCTGTTGGAAGGCTGTTGAAAGATACTCAATAGTTCCTGAGTCGAGCAAAGCATCAAAATGTTGAACTGTTCCGTTTTAAGCTGTGATTTACTAAACAACAAAATGAAGTAATATCAGTGTTCCTTCCATAGGTAGGTCTCCTCTAGTGTGTGTGTCACATAATGACAGCTCATGAGTTCTGTGAAGTGGAACCCGGTCCGGACCAAGCAAAACTCCAGCAGACTGCCCTCAAACCATGTGAATGTCAGAACTGAGTCAACACAATTGCTTTTTATTTTCTCCACTGATAGAAAAACTCTACAAGAGGCCTGATGGGCTCTGAAGTTGTTGAGCTGTTTGTGGCCCTTAGTTTATATATTGGATTTGTAACCCTCAGACTCTCACTTATACAGTTCTTTATGATTACTTTTAACAGCTAATGTAACATATCTTCTGTTCAGTTAATAGAGCTTCCCAGAAATTGTTTTGGCATCTCTTTGATAGCCCAGAACTTCTCTCAGTTGCTCTAAAAAAAAAGTTTCCATATTGAGAGAAGTGCTTTAAGGCAGTCATATGAATTCTACCACACAGTGACAGGCTAATCTGTACCATGTTCCATTTGCACATGTCCTTCCTTGGCTTCAGATTGCACAAATTAACGTCAACACTAATATTTTGGATTCAATGAAGCAAACATTAGCCTGCAAAATATATCTCAGGTATTTCCACTCTCTCCCTCTTTGATCCTTTGAATCTCCTGAAATTGAACCACAGGGTGCCTCGACCTGAACGCTGTACCCTATAATGCCTTCTGATTATCAGAGCAGTCATTCAAACAGATGAGAGAAAAGTTCGATGAAAACACGGTCAAATTAGCATCTGACTTTATTTGCTTGAGCTGAAATGTTTGTATATCTGTACATATAGTGTATTACCAACCAACCCATATATATTCTATCTCACTCACTCCTCTTTGCAACAGCTCAGCCGTAAGGAGGAACGTCATAGGTTCGTTCCTAAGCTGTTGTTTGTGTTTGGCCTTCATACCTGCATCCAGCAGGAAGATGATTGTGGAGGAACTGCATAATCTTTTCTTTTTAAGATGAAGGAAGAAACTTAATTTCTGATGTCTTACTGTGTTTTAATTGGATCTCCACTTACACCTGATACCTCTGCAGGCCTTGGTCATTTTTTCCTGGGTGCGGCATCCAAACAGACTCTATGGCTCCATCTCCTGGCCTTTAGCTCAAATGTTTTTCTTTTAACTGGAGTGCAAAGCTAGATACCTACAAAGGTGTGTGACTGTTGATTTAAATGAAACATGAATGCTCTTTGGCTTCATAATTAGCCTCAGCCAGCTTGGTCAATCAGGCATTTGTTACCTTTTAATGAACTCAAAATGTGTGTTTGACTATTCTCTTGCTTTGGTGACTGGACTAGTTGTATAAAAAGACAATCATATTTGTATTTATGTTTGTAGCTTACATTAATGGATTTGTTTTTGAGTGATGCTATAAATAATCAGACACATACAAGTGCATAATGCTTTCTAGTTTTATAAATTGAGCGTATATTTGTAAAAAGCTACCAGATTGCAGCCGTATCTCTTTCTGTTTAAAGATGTGTGCTGCGTTGCAAACCATTTGTATTTATGAGATAAAGCGAAAAGAAAAATATGCCTTTCCAGATTGCACACATGCTTTTTGTAATGATTACACCAAGGTCTGTCGTGGTTTTATTTTTGTGTCTGAAACCGTCAAAAACACCTTACTGTCAGTTTTATAGCGACGCTTTGAATAAAGCTACTATATTGAAAAAAAATTTTATTCAAGAAAAACACACACAAGATTTCACATTCAGCTTTTCAGAAGGGAGTCTCATGTATGAAACAGTTGTATTTAACAGGATTGTGTTCACAGCAACAAAAAAATAAAAAATAAACGGTGAACACAGTGACTTAAGACAGGATTGACACTTGTCCAAGTCTGCCTTACAATGAAAAAGTTACAGAAAAGTGCCCAGAAATGTAGGGCCCACTTAGTGGCAGTGGCAGTTCACTTTCAGACATAAAAGTGAAGAAAAAAAAAAACGTGTTTACCAGAAACAAGACATCTCACAAAAAAACAGCAATGAAAAACACTGGAAGAAGACACTTTGGTGCTTTTCTGGAGAAGAAGCACATACAGCAAACTCAACCAGGACAGATGCTCTCAAGGTTTGGCTCAATGAAATGTTTGATAGTGTATCATCTATTCTGTGGAAGGAGCGCCAAAAATGACACATCTGAGTAAAGTTAACGAAATCACAAAAGCCTGTAGAGGAGGTCAAACAATGGAACATTTCATTGGATGTACAAAGTCAATATTAGAAGAAGAGAATCACAACTGATTGTTTTGTTTTTTTAACTTTCTGAATTGTGAACGTTCTGTCTGTCTACGTTCCAAAGTGTGCATAAATGTTTAGTCCAACTTAACCAACAACACATTAGTTTACACGCCATCATTCAGCTCATTCATTAAAAGTTCTCACACTCCCAGAAAACTGATTCATCATATTTCAGCGTGTTCACATTTCTGCTAAAGTTGGATTCGGGAAAGAGGTGAACTCACCCGGATGTGAACACACATTGGGTGTGAGTTTTTTGGAATGAAAAAGGATGTCTTGGATTATTATTATGAAGAAAAAAAGTTGCAATCTGAGGCTTCAGACCTCAGTAACATCAGCTAAAGGTTTCATCGAAAAGTTAGGAAACTTATTCAGTGATAATGGTTTCCTCCTTTTTTTGTTTCGGATATTAGCGTAGAACTGCCCAATAACTGATCGGACTTTGTTGTGATTTGTGTCATATCATATGTCAGTGTGGAAAACTGTAACCCTTTCGGGTCTTTGCAGATGGCAGCTGGGCTTTTCCCACAAAGGCTTAGAGGACGCACATCTGCCGGCGGGGATCCCTGCGGTTTCAGTCCGAGTCCGAGTCGGAGAAGTCATCTGGAAAGCAAAAGTGGCAAAACATCTGTCCGTCATCTGCTTTTTCGTGAGTCGGATAAACAATGCAGCGTACATTATTCGTATTTAAACGACTTCATCTAACTGTGTGGGTGGTAAGATGAACAAACTGCTGCATCAGAGTTTAAATAATCCTAAATAATGCCCTCTTGTGTTGTTTATGGTGCCGTCCGTTACCTCTCGGGCCTGACGGTTCTTCGTTAGCCTCCCCTCCTTGCTTTAGGAAAGCGGCCAGCTCGTTGAAAATGAGGTAAAAATCTAACGCGAAAACGATGGTGGCGATGAAGCCGAAGATCTGCGGAAAAGAGGGATGTTTGACGTGAGCGCGGGGAGAAACAAGCGGCCACTTTTAGCCGTAGTTTTTGTGCCGAGCGTTAACGTTACCCCTGCAGCCTTGGAGGAACCGTCTGGGTATTTGGACACTGCCATGATGGAGATGATGAAATAGATAATGGAGGCCGTCACACATCTCATGAAGTCCTGCCAGCGAAGACACACGAGCACAGTTTTGAGACCAAACTGTAGGCTGTAGTACACTTAATGCAAAAATTAAACTACTTTTTTTTTTAACTCACCATGAGAGGCCAGGCGAAGCCTTTAAACCTCTCGTTGAACTTGGTAGAGTAAGCGAACAGCATGAAGATGGCGGCCAGGAACTCCACCAGGGGCACCGTCACGAAGGAGGCCGCCGCCGAGGCCGCGAAGCACACAAACGATATGAAGGAGAGACCCTGGAAAGACGGTTAAAGACAAAAGGGGAGGGGGGGAAACAGCTTGCTCAGGTTTCTGTAACCAGCTGCACACTATCTCTGAACTCAAATGGAAAAAAAAAAAACGAGCCTCTGCCTTTCAGACCTCCCCTCCCGAGATAAAGCCCTCCGGCCTCAAAGCTGAACGTCTCCAGCTCTGGGCCCACTTCCTGTTGGGAGACGCAGCTGTGGAAGACGGCGTCTATTCCTACGCTTTTTGTACACACGAATCCCCTCTCCTGGTATCGTACATAAACTTGTCTATACACCCGGTGAGGTGATCTGAGGAGGCCTCAGGTGGAGCTGATCCCTATGCGAGTACGCTGGGATTGTCAGATCTGTGAAGGCTTCCATTAGAGGAGGAGGACACACCGTTCGGGAGCAAGCAAAGGCGAGCTCAGGCGCCGTAATCTCCCACAGCCTCGGCCATCTTGTCTTTGTCTGAGTCACTTATCCGGCCGTGGCCTGAGGGGAGCAGCCCCCTCTGAGGGAAAGCAAGGATTCTGCTTCAATTCAACAACCCCGGCTAACCAAATCAACATGAAAAACAACAACACGATGGAGGAAAGAAGAAGAAGAAGAAGAAAGACAAAACAGCTGACACTCTGTCAGTCCAACGGGCCACATGGCAAAAAGTTTTTGGGGAGGAGGAGTTATGTGAGAGAGAAAATCAGAGCTGCCGTCTATGAGGAGGAACGATTCATTTCCAGTTCATTCTGTTCATCAGAAACTACATCCGGCCGTAACGCTCCAGAGAAAAGACCATATTTGAGGCCGTTTCTGACCGTGTGACCAGTCACACAATACAACGCCATACTTTTACCCCCTACAAATGAGTACAGGTTGCATTCCAGGCTCAGAAATCTGTTTCAGTTTAGGGAGACGTTTTTACACAGTTTACACACTCAGTGGCCTCTCTGAGTTTCCATTTTGAAGTTCCACATATGTGGCAAAGAGTGTTTAGCGTCAGTTATCAGCTCTTCTGCTGACACTCGTGACAAATTCACGGCGGTGCAGAACAGCTTTCTCAGCAGGATGTGAATCTGACTAATGCGCCTGAGAACGGCAGATCTGTGATCTGTCCGCTCCTCGGCCTCCATCGAAGCGCCATTTGGGAGAGTTTGGGACGCCCGTGAGGTCTCACTAGTAACAAGATATCACAACTGTGACAGTTTACTCCGCTGAGACTCCCCCCCCCACACACACATCATTTGGAGTGGAAACCCCTAACCCCCTCATTCAAACTTAAAGAGCTGGTCATTCAGAAAATGACAACAAATGGACGCAAAAGCAGCTTTTTTTAGATGCCACTGCAGCACACTGTCAGACACACAATGGAGTGATATTGCTTTGTGTCCGGTCTTGGTCTGGGGCACGTTCAAAAACGATGACTGACCGAAGCGGTCGGACAGCTGAAAGGATTCGTTTCCTAAACAGATTAGAGTCGGCGTCAAAACGTGGGAGTGGTGGAGCTCAGGTCGCGCCGTTTCTCTCAGGAGAGGGCCCACCGGCAAAAAAACGGCCTCACTGAGCATGGGATCATGGAGTAGCCGGTGCTCTGTCAACTCCTCAGGCGTCCTTTAACCTCCTGAGACAACGAGCTTTCATTCTGTGTGATTTTTTGCTTATTTCTAGATCTAAGGGATTCGTAGTACCTAATAAGTTTAACCTCATATGCGGACATTGCATTTTTGCCTCTCATTTTCTTTTTTTCTTTCGACTTTGACCTCTTGGCCTCTTAGTAGACGCTATCTGACACTACCGTTTGAAATTTAAAGTAAAATGGTTTTATACATTTTTTAACCAATCATGTTATTACTGTGTAATAAAAATTTTGTAAATAAGCAATTTGGACTGTCAGAGCCAAATTGCAAAAACATTTAATCAAATATGTAAATGCATAGTTTAAATATATAGATAAAGCCACTGAGCCTATATGGGGAAAAGCTACCATGACACAGTTTAGTTATTAAGTTATTACGTCTAGTCTAGTTAATAGTTATTAAGTTATAAAGAAGGGTGACAGACATGGGGGGGAGATGAGCCGGAGTCCCAGCTGAAGAGGCTCTTTCTCTGTGGACAGAGGATGTGCTCCGGGCTAAAGGTGGGAGCAGGAGGAGTGAGGAGTGAGTGGTGTGACTGAGAGGAAGAGGCCTGGCCTCTCACAGCTGACACGAGCTGAAAGTCACATGACACAAAGCCTGGAGGTTAACCTCTGAATGGAGTCTTTGCAAGATAAAAAACAAACAAACAAACCCTTCCTGTATCAAGGCTGATGATGATCCCTCCTCATCATCCCCACCCAACCCCCCCTCACCCCACCCCACCCCCACCCCCACCCATCAACACCCCCAGGGTCCTGGTGCGTTTACGTCCACTTCACCTATACAATTAAAATAACCCGATTAAAGTGTTAATCCGCATTCATTGGCTCATTCCGTTAGGTGGCTTATTCACAAGACAGTTAGGCGTTGAAGTTTCTAAACTTTACCAGAAGTGGCAATAAAAAACGCCCACTCTTCGGAATCAAACAGAAGTCTTAACATTTTAAGCTTTTCTAAAAGTTGTAGCAACCCGGAGTGGAAGTATCCAAAAAACGCAGCGTCTTTTTTTTGGGGGGGGCATTGCGTTTGAGTTGAAAGCACGGTTGCTGGTCATTTTTCTTACCACTTCAGCAATAAGCAGCATTCCTTTCCTGGATGTGGCGAACTCTTTGCTCGGCAGGACGGACAGCAGGACGCCCGGACGCGGACGGCTGGAGTCGGGAGCCTCGATGTCCCCCATCGCGGAAAGAAAGACTCTCCGTGAGGTCCCCACCACAGCCCCGGACGGGTTCGAGGCAAAGCAAAAAGCAAACAGAACAGAACAAAACAAAACCAAAAAAGATGTGGCGGTATGTAGCGGGCGCGAGGCTCCTCGGAGATGGAAACGGAAATGATGACAGCGCAGGAAAGGCTGCTCCGAAAAGGCGCAACATCTGCGCCCTCCAGATGTGCAACGCCAAGCCCCCAGCTGCAGGCAAAACGACTCTCAGGAAACGTGTGGCTCTTGGAAAGCTACATTTGTATATGGCTTTAAAAAAACTAGCCCTAACTAACTAACCCTAAAAACTAGTTTTCTGTCACTTTACGTGGTTATTGTACCGCCCAGTTTTTTCACAATCTTTTACGAAAAGGATCAAAGATTTGACAATTTGTATTTTTTTTGCACCAGGAAGGTCGTTCTCAAATAGCTGCTGGCTGGTAACTTGGCCTTGTAAAGCACTTTGAGCGGCCGTTGTGTCAGAAATGTGGCATACAAATAAGACAAATAAATTAAGTGAATGTATCCCGTGGGTTATGGAAAAGAAAGAAACAACAGGTGCAGATCACATACATTTAGAGACCTAAAATAAAACCCACAGCCTTGAGAAATAAGAAAGGGATGTAGTAAATACCTGACAACACCTGAGAGATTCATTCATGGAAAGTTGGGCGGGACACAGGGACAAAAGACTGAGATGTGCCAAATCACATTAGGACTGGACGAAAATGGAGTGACAAATCCTTCCCAGAGCCTGGAAATGTTAGATTTTAGAGGCAGAATGGGAGTACCCTTGACAAAGAAAGAATATCTACACATATGTTTGCATGTGCTTTCTTCTTAGCAGATTGGAAAAAAACAAAGCATGACTCAAGATTGACACAAATTAGGGTGACCACCCACCCACCCACCACCAGCCCAAAAACCAGACTCAGTCCTTGCTTGCGTTCTGCACTCAAAGGCTGTTTGAGTGGTTTAGAGTGCTTTATTTTCTCATTGAAGTGTCTCTTCTGTTCCACTTCTGGGTCTGTTGAACGTGATGTTTCTGGAGAGGGTGAAGCTGTCGACACACAGCAGCCCGGCAGACCCCAAACACAGAATCTGAGAAAAAACAAGAGCAGACATCAGGGTAAATGCGTCAAAAGGCCAATGTGTGCCAACACAGCTGCGGTGTGGGCGCCCCGCTTCTAATCCAGTTACACGGTCACACTAAAAAAAAAAAAGCAAGCAGAGACATTTTAGAGCACAGGTTAGGTTCAGGGTAAACCTACAGGAAATGACTCTGGGGATGAAGTAATGTCCAGGGGAAGCAGTTTATGTTTGTGTGTTTCGACGACTAAAAGCTCCATTTAAATTGCAATGTCACAATTCATACATAGAGAAACATTTGGCGTGCGTTTTAATCTAAACCAATCCCATGTCATGGAGCTCACACTGGGTTTTAAAAAAGGCCGTCTCACCCCTCCAGCCAGTGTGCCCGAGACAGTGTACGAAGTCATAGCCATCAGGCTGAAGACAGTAAGGTAGACGGCTCCAAAAACCGAATTGAATACATCCTGGAAACGACACAAAAAAAATGCACCAATTAGGACACCGAAACTTCCAAAGAAAGGAACGTCTATATCTCTTTCCATTGTGCTGCTCAACATCACTCACAACGAGAGGCCAAAAGAAGAAAGTCATCCTCTTGTTGAGTTTCAGGAAGTAGAACAACAGCAGCAGGGATGTGATCAGAAACTCCAACGCCGAGGCGGCCGTGAACCTCGGTGGCGACCCCACGACAAAACACACAAATGCAACAAACATTGTGCCCTGGAACAGAGAAAGACATTGGAAGCATGGGGGGAGATTTTTGCCAACCCTCCAGCAGAGGCTGCTCATTCGCTCACAGCTGTCTTTATTCAACAGGCTGCAGAATTCAGCTAAAGTTTCTCCTTAAATCAAACTGAGCTGTTAGAGTTAGTGCCCACTGGGGCAGTTCATGTCGGTCAGTGCCATCAACAAAGTAGCACTTAGGACTTAGCACTTAGGTTCATACACATGTGATACCATGCTGTTGCCACACACACTGTTTCTCTTCCTCTTTCTGGTACGCAGAATGCAGTTCAGGGTCTTCTTAGCGGTTTCAGATCTGCAGCAAAATGCCAAATGTCCACTCAGAATGATAAATGAACGCATCTCACCATTTCTGAAAATTTCACGATGCCCCTCCTGGATTTAAGAAAGGCAGTGTCCACGTCCATGGTTCCACCTTGGCTTCAACTCTCTAACACGATTCTATATGAAAAAAGGCAGCCCTCTCGATCCGTTTCCTGAAAGATGCAATTTCCTTTTTCTCTTGCTGTAAAGGAAATCACAACTGTTAAAATTGTGTTGTTTATTTTTGAGCCTGCAGCCACGTGACACTTTGACTATACGAGTGGCATGCAGCTAATGAAGGTCTGCTCTGACTCTTGCTCAGACCAGACTCGTAGGCAGGGTTTATTGAAATAAAGCCCTTTTACGGTTTAAAGAAACAGTGGCTCAAGTGCAAATCTTAAAGCAAACATAAGCACGATGAACTCCGGAGGAAAGACAAGGCGAACCCTCTGTATCTTTTCTCCACAAATGCTCTTTCAGTTTGGCTGAGCCTGCACTGAGGACAGGTGCAGGAGGGTGTGGTTCACCTACACCACAAAACAGGAAAACGTATCCTAAGCCAGCCCGTAAACTGTCCAACTACAACTGTGTTTCTGCAAAGACTAAATACCTGATGACCAACAAACCTGTCAACTTGAAAGGCCATTAAAGAGATTTCTCATTTATTATTCTGAACAAGTTTTTATTCCTGAAATCATCGTTGTGTACTTTCTGCAGTAACAATACATTTGTAATCACCATTTACACCCCAGTTTGAACATGGACACAGTTCCACACTATGTATGGGTCACCTCCGCTCATCAAGCAGAAGCCTCAGCCATATAAAGTTCTCAGTGATTAGTTTAGTTTTTTAGTACTAAAAAAAATTTAGCTTAAGTTTGAAACCAGCACAGGGTGAAAGTCACTTTACATGAAGAGATTTGAAAAACAGCACGCTTTATATTTGGTGAAATGCTCCCAATCCAGGGAACCAACTTTAAAGTTTGTACAATATGTTGTTGACATGGTTAGGGACTTTACGAATGACGGCTGTTATTTTATAGACTTTGTGCTGTCAGTCAGCCCGGCTGGCAACAAAACAAGCACAGAACACAATGCCTCACATTGTCTTTGGAGCTGAATGTGTTATCTACATTCCTTCATTTTTAGCATTCTAAGCATTGTTAGCATCACCTCTAAAGCGTCCCTGCGTTTTTGTTTCTGTCTGAGATCTTAATTTTGGGGTAGACACTTCTTTGCTGGAGTGAAGTCTTTCAGTCCGACCAACGACTTCTTGCTTCCGGGGTTCCTGAGTTCTGATCGTCCCAAAAAAATCGGGGAAAGAGGCTTCTCTATCACTAACTTGTCGTACAAGTTGTTTTGTACAAGCAGTTCATTAGAAATGTCCCTTGTAATAAAAATGGACTTGATCTGGGACCTGTCCAATCTACTCTGCTGGTTAATGTAATGAGTGTCAATTGACCCTCTTGGCACAGAGAAGCAACAAGCCGTAGTAAATCCTGACCACTGACACAGACTGAAGAAGTCTTGGCAACTCGAAAAGGTAAAATTGGAGCGTTTAGCACCACAGAGTCTATACTCTCTGCGGGTGTTTGTTTTCATCATTGGGCCAATTTTGGTAAGTGTAAAATAAAGTGAAATTGATACGAGAGATTTCTCTTCATATTTCCATCAAAGATGTAATGTAAGATCGATCTGCTGCACAAAAAGAGAACGTCAAAGAAAGGACTAGAGCTGATTATTGCTGAATATTATTCTCCATGAAGACTTAGTTTCTGTTCAGAAATGTTTCCCGCACACACTTCCCCAAATATTCATCATACAGCAAAACTTTTTGCCTTAACAGAATGCGAATTTTGTGACTTTGTATAGTTTCTGTTAGCAAAAAACAAAAAAATTTGCTTTCTACTGTACATCATCAAGATTGACCCAGCCGAGAACTTTGAGTCGAAACAGAGTTTTAAAAGAACGTTAATGATTGTTGCTATGGCAATATGATTCCCTTGGTTTGATCCAATAACTTCTAACAATGTATAGAAAACAATTTGTCAAAGATGTAAAAACCATGTCCTTTAGAAAAAAAAGCAGCCTGGCTGTTGTCTGTAGGAAGGCACATCTTCAGGTTTTGCTTCCTTATCTTGTCCTGTGTCAGTGTGGCCAGTCACACTTCAAGGGTTGAGACTTGGGCCCTTTCAGGCACTTTCCTAATTTCTCACAACCGGCAGGGGCCCAGTTCTGTAAAAAAATGAAAAAATAATCAGTTATTAGAGGGGCAGCACCAGTTGATTTTGGTTTCCATCCTGCACATTGATGGAACATCAGGTGGCCACACTTTCCTGTTTTTGTGTCCTTTAGGAGATTTATGTGTGGTTCTGCCCCAAGTCTCTTCCTTTGGTTTAGTATAAATCTGTATCCTGTGCCAGTGCTGTTGTCCCCATACGTGCATCCCAACCCAAAATGGCTCCTCTTAGTGGAAAAATAATTGGGAGGTATATTTACCAAATGTGTTTTTCTCAAATATTCATGTTCGGGTTCACTTTCAGTTTTTTTGCATGTACTACTTAAAGTAAGCATATTTTTCTGAACTTATTCCCAAAATAAAATGACTGATCTCAGAGTAATGATGATTCACTCTGACTTTAAGTGAGGAAATCCTCCGGGAACAATTAGAAAAATGTTGACCTTTTCTATTTTAAAGGTGATGAAATACAGATATTTAAAAAAAAGAATTGGTAACTATTTGGGTGAGGTCCCTTTTTTATGTAAAAAATATTCAGAAGTCAGTGAGAAATGGCCACTTTCAGGGTAGAATATAGATGTTTCCATAAAACATTGCTCAGAAAATATGAATTACACATGTACTGGCTTACAAAAGTCAACATATAGTTTACACAGAATCTATACATCTATGTTAAGATGACACAAGAGACACAATCATTTATATAACAGAGAAATATGATCAATTTTCACACTACCTAAGACTAATTCTCTTGTGGTCCACAAGGAGGCACTGCTACAACAAAAATGAGGGAACAGTTTATAAGTGTGTTGTTTGCCTTTTTGCACCCAGAGGAAGACACAGGACACCTCAGCTGTGATAATAATCCAGATAATATCACGAAAATGTATTTCTTATAAAGCCTTTGCAATACACTTCGGTACTCAGGCATTCTCCGCAAACTGTACGGAGCATTCCACCCCCTCGGGACACACTAGTCAGCTGTCACACACACCCAAGCTGCACGTGAAGGGTGATCTGTTGAGCAAAACTAAGATGTGTTTGTGTTTTTACCATCACGGCCATGTCGCACATGTTGAGCTGTGGACTGCCGGGCACCAGAGTCTTCCTGTGCTGCTGCACAACTCCAGAGATCCTGGCCAGAGCATCCTCGTACTCCTCGGTCAACATGCTGTGAATAAATGCAGTAAACTTGAACAGAGGGGCGTTGTAAAGTATGCAAAGTGTCCGTGACCATTCCTCCCGAAAACCAATTTGACACGATCGAACGTCCTGTTTTCTCTGCAGCCAAAACTACAGCGCAGATGAACAAGATGTGACAAAGCCAGAAAACAAAAGATCAATCAGCCGTCCCATGAGTCTGAAAATCAGTTTTCGTCTGGATGTTTTTATGATGTCAGCAAAAATGACCTCATTTCACAAAAACACATTTGTTAAAGGTGCAAAGACACCTCTGACTCATTAATATCTTTAGCAAAACTCATTTTAATCTATCTAACTCTGATTTAATCAGTGTGGGAACATGCTACAGAATCAAAGAGAGGAAACACACACACACACACACACGCGGTCGGTACACTCCACTTGTGATAGAGCACACTCAGCAGGGTGAGCTGTGTAACCCCCATCCCATCCCCTGTCTCTCAATTACTGCTGTCGGACACCAGCTCGCCCCAGCACCTCTGCGCATTATTATATTCCGAGTGTAAAACACAGGGGCCCTGAAGGCTTTCAAAGGAACGCCACTCTCAATAGGACCTGTAGGGTTAATGGGCTGTGCGCGTGTGTGTGCAGGGGGGAGTGGGGGGGGGGAGTGGGCGTCTGGTGGCGTGACACAAGGATAGACAAATATCAGCAGTGCAATTACACCCCAGATACATTCGCTGGCAGCACCTGTGCCAGCCTTCCATCCATCCCTCCACTGCAGAGCCCAGCCTCTGATTGGCCTCTGGGGAGCATGTGCATGTGTGTGAGGTGAAGTGTCAATTAGAGTAATAACCTCGGGCCCTGTCCAGCTCACACCTACCCTCCCTCTTAGATCTCCCACCGGGCAGCCCGGCTTCCTCCATCAGCCAGCACCTGCTCCTTTTTCTTGATACTCTTTACTTCCCCTACAATTATTTTGACTGGCGCTGTGTTGACTGTATTAGTTTTTTTATATATATGATGTGATCTAAACTGATAAAAGAAAATAGTTCAATGTAAGACATTAATGCCGAATTGCTTTAGCTATTGACAAAAATAAATAAATAAAAATCTTCTTGTGCACGATCTTTCTGTGGCTGCTACTGATTGTTGCGCCTCATTTTGTGATGAAGCGGCTTAACACGAGTAAATGTGAGGTAAATTTATCAGGCCTCTGCAAGTCTTCCCTTTCTGCATGCGAGGGTGCAAGCAAAGCATGCAGAAAAGCACCCAGAAAGTTTCCCGAAAACCAAACTTTTCCGTTGTTTTGTTTATGCACTGAAAATCTTACAGTGCGGACCTCTAAATCAAAAACTAATAATATCATTTGTTTATGCCCCCTCTGCAAACAGCTAATGAAAAGCTCACAGTCAGCACAGCTCATTATCATGATTATAACCCTTAGCTTACTTGTGTAGAGGCAAAATCTGGAATAATAAGCAGGCTCTATGCAAATGGAGTCTTTTGATTTATAATGTATGGCACCCAAGGGGGATGGGGGCATTGCTCAGGTGTGTCACCACTCTGATTACTGATTCATAACACTATGGCTAGAACACACACCCGCACACACACACACACACACACACACACACACAGACACGCGCCTTTCCAAACAACCACACAGTAGCAGAAGGTGGGGGAATTGTGGAGACAATCAAATACATCTGTCCTTCCAACCCCTCCCCTCCGCCGTCTTCTCCACCCCGGTGGAAATTGAGCACTTCAGTGAGGACTATTGATTGGAGGCGCGGGAGGCTGGTGGCAGGCAGCAGATGAGGCCAGACTGAGCAGGGCTGGCTGCGGTGTCGGGGCTTGGACTGCGCCGGGGATGAGCGGGGGGGGGGGGGGGGGTGGGGGGGCGGGGGGGGGGCTCTTGGGACCTGAGCTGAGGTGGGTGGTGAGAAGGTAGGATGTGTTAATCTGAGAGCGTTAGGTCAGTAAAATGTGCAGCTCCCCCCCGTGTGTTTGGTAGCTTCATATCTGGGTGTTGTCTCTAGGTCACCCAATGTGGATGGATTTGGGCCTTTACGCACTATGACGGCAACACTTATTTCAAAATAGCTCAGCCACAAGCCAAAAAAACTCCCCAAAATTTCTCTTTAGTCGCGTGACGTTAATAAACACTTCTTTTATTTGGGCAATGGTGCTCGACTGGGGACTTTTGTTTGTGTGTGTGTTCTTTGCTGTATCACAGCCTGCGACAGTAGTGAAGGTATGTGCGCAGACAGGCCCTACATCATCTTAAGTGGCTCTTTAGGTGGTGACAGAGATTAATGACGGCCAGGCAGCCGGTCCAGCTGGGGGACCTAAGAGCACACGGACAGAACGCACACAAGAACAAATGCGCACACACACACGGGTTCAAACGGAGCGGAGGAGCGCAGTCCCAGCGGACGCTGAGGGACATAAGGAAGAAGAAGGTAAAACCTGGGAAAAGTTACTCCAGAAGTTTGGAGACGACGGAGAGCTAAAAGTATTAAAATAAAACCAAATCGAAAGGGGATGGTGCATAAAAACAGTGAGCGGACATGCAGGGTGCAGGAGGCGGTAACCTTGGAGACAAACTCATGCTCACCTCTCTGCAGGAGTTTAAAAAATAAGAGGTCTGTGTGTGTGTGTGTGTGTGTGTGTGTGTGTGTGTGTATACACAGCCATCACTCAGTACAACACATGGCTGCATATTGATTGGTTCTTTGCTTCTTTTTTTTTCTATTCTTCCAAGTGAATAGCGAGGCTAAAGGGTGGGCAAATGAAAAAAACAACATTAATGTTTTATCATCCAATCTCACTGCCAAACTGAGAGAAGTTTGAGGCAGAAGTGCGAGAGGAGATGAGGCCACGGAGCGAATGTGGAAAACAGAGCAGCAGAAGGCAGCAACGAAAGGTCAGTGGAGGAGGCTTTACGCCAGGAGAGAGTCAAAGAGTACAAAGCATTCTGAGATTAATTGAATGTATTAGTCATGGTGTGAAGCTGTCCTTGTTTGCACAAAACGACCATGTTAAGAGTGCGTATTGACAGCGCGCAGTAAAAGACGATGCACACTGTTCCAGTAAAAGTCTCTGCTCATCCTTGGCTGCCTGTGTGTTCTCTGGCATCGCCCTCCTCTTTGAAATTCTTAACTCTCCTTGGGGTTGACTCAGAGACACACCGCACACATTAAACAGCACTCGCTCTCAATTTAGACCCAAACAATTTATCTTGCAATTTTAACCTGCAGGCGGTCCGCCAGAGAAGGGGTTGAGGGCCAGATAGCGATCTTTAAGGAGTTGTTTGCAATCACAAAGAGGAGGGTGTAATGATGCGCGCTCCAGCTGAGTGGATCAATCCACCATCTTCTTTTCATGCCGATGAATCTGCATTGATCTTAAACACATTCTGTATTACGGGCAAACAACCCTCTGATGCTTACTCCTTTACTCTCTTTATTTTTCCACTCCTTTCCCCCAGCATTCTTCGTTCCTCGCACCCCGGTTCATTCCTGTTTTATGTAATTCTTCTCCTAGACAAAAGTTTCTATTCTAATCCTGGCTACTGACCTGAGTGGGAACTTTTCTCCAGGGTCCCGCCCCAAGTGGAAAATGATAGGCTGCAGAGTGTGCTCTTTTTGATCATGAGTTGTAACACCAGGAACCTCCTGACCTGGACAGAAGTTTATACCCTGCAAAAAGAGGAAATACAAAGAAAAACTAAAAACAGAGCGGACATGATATATGCTCCTTACACTCAATTCTTTCCCCAACAGTTATAAATAAATCAATGGAAAATAAATAAATAAATAAGGTCATCGGTGCTTCTCTGCTCCCATTTTAATGATGAATAATAAATGTACGGATAGCAGGCAGCTGTGCAAAAAACCTACAGAGCACAAGTTGAATCCAGCAGCTACTGTATAAACCCTTCTACCCCATCGGTCAGTGTTGCTTGCTGGATGCACATTTTGTGTGCTCTGACATTGCTGCACTTAAATGTCCCAGAGGGGTCTGTGCAGACCTCAGTAAATTAAGACAATTTACATCAGTTGGATACAAAAAGCATGGAATGGCTTTTAGGAGGCTTCATGCTAGTCAAATCGTATAAGCGAGTCTGCAGATTAAGGATTTTACTGTGATTGTAACTGCACAAAATCTAAGCACAGTATATGCTGCATTCAGTTTCAACTTTATCAGTCCTCAAACTGAATGCAACATAAAGAAATAGAATCTAAAATAAGTGAATGAGAAATCAAATCAACAGAATAGACAAACAAAAATCTGACAAACAAAGAGTGAGAGGCGAGGAAACATTCAAAGTAACACAACAGGTGAATGACTTTATAGAATCATATGGCTTTCTCCATGTAATTTTTCACACGAAAAGCTGCATGTGCTCTTTAAACAGATCCCCACTCAGCCTGAAACCTGTCAAAGGTTCCAGGTCACTGCCGTGTTCTGGTAGGAGACTAATCTCCAACAGAAAAGAGCAGCACTGCCCTGTTTAGGCTACAAAACTTTCATAAATCTAAAATGAAGGTCAGCCTCTCTACAGAGAGACGCAACACAACATCTGAGGTCAGCCCTGCAGGCAAGAGAAAAGCAGATTTGTTTCTACTCTTTTGTGTGCCACACAGATGCAACCCAACAACCGCACAGAAAAACAAACAGCTTTAACCCTTTTCCAGCAATTTTTCTATATTCTATTTAAGATAGAATACATTAGAATACATTAAAACAACGTCCGCCTGAGCTTTACAGCGCAGTGCACTGAGCTCTTCTGCAGTGATCCAACCACCTGCTACCCAGAGCATTCATTTTCCATGCATATTTTATTCCGATGCATTGTGTTATTCACACAGCTACTGCTTCTGCACAACGGTTTTTAAAGTCGCTCAAATAACAGACGACTTTTTGCATCCTCCTCTTCGTTTCTTTGCTCCTGCTCTATGACTCCGTCCTGGGGCGGCTGGGAGTGAGCGGCCTGATTGAGTCATACTCCTCCTCCCGAACCCCCTGGAGAGCTGCCCCCTTCTTCAACGTGCGTACACAGACACATTTTTTGATCAACACAACTAATATTGAAAAGCATTCATCTGTAAGGTACTGCGGCTGCCCCCCCTCTGAGATCACTCGTCGGAGCACCTAAAATACGTTCAGAACAGAGAGAGAAAGCGGGAGAGTGAAGATTGATAGCCCCCCCCCCGTCCCGCAGAGCTTTCACTGATCCAGACTTCTGTCTTTTGAAGCCGACAGCTTAGAAATGCAGAAAAGGTTGAGGGAAAAAAAAAAAAAACTCATCCCAGAGGAGCAGCATGAAAGTCCTGCTGTGTATATCTCCACTACTCTGTCTCTCGTGTCCAAGATATTACAGGAAGAACTCCGTATCTCACATGGCATTAACAGTATGGATACAGTGAGGCTGCTTTCAAACTGGAGCACAGCAGTCGTGACAAGATAAGATGGGGGTACTTCCAGGGGTGGCAGGAGGATTTTGGAAAAAAGGCTCTGTGCCTTTCTTGGAAAAGGAAATCCATCACTTTGAAACACAGCTATGTGCAGGCACAGTTTTAAAATATTAGTTAACAGTAAAGTATTTTACATAAATGATCTTAACAACCCTAAATAATAGCACGTTTCAATACTTAAATGGATAAAAAGCACAACTTTCCCTTTTCTTCACTCCACCCCAATTAATCATCTCACATCCCTGCAGATTTATCTTGTGGCCACTGTAGTTCAGAAATACTAGACCCATTGCCTGGCTTTCAATACCAGATTAATTAGTTCCAAATCAGTGAACAGTGAAATGGAACTATGACAGTAAAAGTCCTTTTCCTGCGAAATGGAAAATGATTAACTTTGGTTAGAAATACTTCAAATGACTGCAGGAGTGTTTTTTAGATTACACCTTACACTTGTTGCCAAATACCAGCTTTAATAGAAAGCTAATCCTGCCAAGCTAACCAATTCAATCCAAAGAAAACGATGGAGTGGTGAGAAGACGCCAAAATCCGAATCAGAAAAGGGAAAAAATACTTTTTTTCAGCAGGACTTTGACGGCGTGGCTTTGATTTAAACTGCTACATTCACATTTCTGATTAGGTAAAGCCTCTGACTGCCTCTCGTCCCAGAGTGGGCTGTCGTCCTCAGGTCAATCGGTCAGACAAAATATGTATTATAATAATATTCATGCTTGAGTCCTAGTAAGGAGTTCAGCAGGAATAAACAACTCACCCCACAGATGACAAATAGGTATTTCGAACACAACACCCTCAATTTGTATTCAACATCCGACAGACTCCAATCCACCAAATAAGATACAAAGGATCCCGCATCATGACAGGCTAGTTTTCAGCTTGTCATGATGTATGGCAAGAAAGCACTGCCTCCTTTTGAATGGACCTTTGACATTACCCATCCACTAAGTGTAAGTACATCCTTATTGCTGCATCATCAGGTAGTCGGAGGGAAAAGGGAGAATGCTGATCAATGCATCTGAAAAAGAGTATTTAAAAAACTGACTTATACTTTGGCAAAGCCAAAAATTTAAATCCATAAATAATCAATATTCATCAAAATGATAATCCAAACAACATAAAGAATTATTAATAAAAAAACATTAAACAATATGTTCAAATTGCACAAGTTGTTTGTTTATATCTATTGTATATCTGTAAATGTATCTAGCATGTGTAATATACCTTGGGTGATACACACACATACAAAACAGTTTAAGGGTCTAAGAATAATGACACAAAGCACACCTGAGAATAAACTTTCCCTTGCATAAATTCCACAGTAGTCCACTGGGCCCCACACGCACACAGCCTCACACCTCTGTATGCAGAACTGAAGGTGTACGTGCGTGTTTTCCCTTATGCTTCCCCTCTTTCTCGTGTCCGCACACACACACACACACACATCGATCGATAGGCAACTCACAGGCAATCAGATGCCATTATTTGTGAAGTTCCACTTCAGTTCACATGAGTTGATAAAGGAGGCTACTATTGATTCAGCTGTCTTGAAGGAGAGAGCAATTTAAGCGACCGATGGGGCATAAAACAAACTGGATCACAGGAAAAGCAAAGGCATGGAGGGAGGACAGGAGGACATGTTATTATGGACAGAGGAGAGACAAGAGCGAGAAAAGCACTGTACTCTCTTGCTCTGAAGGTGTCAGATTTCACATTTCTCCTGATACATTTAATGCACACTGAGCTGATGTAATTATGGCCAAGCTCTGTGATGCTAAGAGAACAAGCAGGGGATGACGATATGCAAATGGAGGGGAAAATTTCCACCAGAGTTTGAACAAACAAGTCAACTGGTTGATGAATGATGCAAGTTCGCTCATGTTGGGGTTCTTCATTAATATTCATTACACTCTGATGTACACAGCAGTCAACTGATGAGCCATTTGGAAGATAACACCACCAACAACCAAAGTGTTTGTGTGTGCGAGTAAGATTAGGAAAGACAAAGGGCCAGGATGAGGCAGTGAAAATCAAGAGCTGAGGAAATGGAGATGGAACAGAGTTGAGGTATTAAATACGAATTTTACACTTTTTAACTCCTCCCACGAGTTGGTCCAGGTCCAGAAATGTGCCTTGTATTGCCCAAGTCTGACAGCCATCAGCTCATTCCCACGGTAAAAAAATATTGGCCTGTTGAAGAATCGAAGAAGGACAGACAATGCCCCAGATTAAAGTCTTTTCAGATAAACTTGCATCAAAGTTGACATCTAAAAAGGATTTTCAATTTTATGCACAGTTTTCCCTCTCACGATTTGTATCCAACTTGCTTCTGCTGTTCAATATGGCTAAAGTGAGCATTAATTTAAGCAAACATTTGGTTGAAATTTTATCAACTGAACAAGATGAAAAATTTATCTAGGGACAGCAAGTGATCTAACAATTGGTTCTGCTGATACAGATCATAATGACTGTGGATTCCACAGTTCTATGTAACCATTACAACGTGTGTCCAATAGAGTCGCAGCTCTTAAAACAGCAACATCACCTTTTATAGTACAAAGAAAAACATCAGGGCACCCTTAAAATGCTCCGGTATGAACAGTGATCCCCTGCACAACAAACAATCCCTTCAGGAAGTATTGAAATAATCTAGTCCAATGTGCAGCTGTGAAACTCTGCTGTGACTTTTTTAATGATTTTACCACTTGTGTGTCTCAATTGAAATGTAATTAATTCAATCAATGTAACTTTTCTACATTGTTTTTAAAAGGGGCAGAGTTTTCTCTAGAGGAATATTGCAAACGCATACAATACTGACCTCACTTCTAATACTATGTAAAGATTCAATTTTAAAATGCATAAACAGCTAGCGACCAGGCTCAGCTGGCATCCAACTACATCCAGTGTTTGCCAACAGACTCTTCCCCCAAGGCCTCTCTCCAGAGGCGGGTCCCGGTTTCAATTCTATTCAACTTCTTAAACTTAAAGCGTCAATTGATATTATTTAAATGGATCTTCAACCCCCAGACTGGTGTACCATAACAGACCACTTTGCCAGATATCGTGAGTAGAGCCCCTGCTTCACCACGTGGAGAGGAACCAGCTGAGGCGGACTGAGCACCTGATAAGGATGCCTTCTGGGCACCTGTCTTCAGAGGGTACCAGGCATGGCCAGACAGGGAGCAGCTGTGCATCACTCAGGGGACTCATGCAGAAGTTCATTAACATAGGAAGGAGAATTGAATGTCTATACTCGCCTGCTTTGGGGTGCGAGGGAGCGACTGAACAAGACCGGCGTCAGATCCACTCCATCCAGCGTCCGGTCATCTGGAGGACTGATGCCGGCCAGGGCCAAGCTGGTGGTGAACAGGTCCATGATGCTGGCGAGCTGGAAACTCACCTGCATTGGGATAAAAGAACTCGGATTAGTAACCATTAGTAACACAACTCATTTCATACAAGTAAAATAAGTTTGAGCTGATGGTGCATAGCATTTGTCCTATTTTTATTTTAAAAAACATCCCAACTATAATGGACAATCCTCACACAAACATGCATGTCTGTGATGGTGTTTATCTCTACCACAGGTTTTACAATTTACCACTTGATAACTTAACTCCATGATATTAGGAATGAATTGTGGTAACATGCTAGCATGGTATAGAGATGATAGCCCGCTTACATGTGAATCTGCCTGTATATACACGCGGGAGAGGAGATGCATTTCTCCAGTCTCTTTTCTAATCTCTGCATGCAGGTTTATTATCAAAACTCCAGAATGCGTTTCCCCCCCTAAATGAGTTTTTTTGGGGGAGGGAAAAGGGAAAAAGGAGTAGCGACATAAAAAAAAAAAGAGGTAAAGAAATAGGGATAGGACATGGCCCGGGCAAGCAGGCTGCAGAAGCTGGAGCTGGTGTTTTATCTCCCTCTCCCAGTCGCAGTGAAAAGCTTTATTTTATTTATAAACTTTGAACTATTTTCAGATAAAATGCCATTTTTTCGCTGTCATCCTTGATCTTCCGTTCCATTCTCTCCTGAGCGAGCCTTAGAGGGAGACGGCACGCTCACAATCAGATAGTGCTATCAGGCCTCTGCAGCTGCACCGCCATGTGCCGCTGTGCTCCTATCGGCGGCCAGCACACACATAGTAGCACACACACTCTCCTAAGCACTGAAATGAATTCCCTTTTCTTCTGTATCCACAGAACTAGCCACAGAAATGGCTCTGCAATGCATTCCATGATCTATCTGCACATCCAGACACTTCTCTCTCACACGCACCAACACTAACAGATTCAGTCTTTCACTTTATTTCTCTTTTAAAGCCACCCTCCGACAGACACACACACACACACACACACACACACACACACACACACACACACAGACTATTAAAGAACATAGGACAAAAGCAAGGCAGTGAAGCAGCGCTGACATTTAGTCGGTAATAACTTGCAAGACCAAAAACCAAAACTTTCTAACTCAGACTGGCCTGACAGAGGACTTTATCTCCTGAACTCCCTTTTTAATGTCCTTCCAGTATTAGCTCTGCCCTCTTCTGCAGTCTGCACTGAACTTGTGTCTTTCATCACCTTTTGTTCCTTCCCTTTTTTTGTCCAACTCATCGTGCTCTGTAATGTCAAATTCTCTTTCATTCCTCTCTGTGTTGCATTGCTGGTTATCTGTGGGTGCAATGCTTCCATCTCCATTTCTTCCACTGTGTGTCTGCTGCCGATAACCCAACAAAAATGATTGCTCAACAATGTTGTGGGCCTGAAATACCACCCATCTCCATACCTTTACACCTGAAACCACGGTCACTCTTCATCCTTGCTCCTTCACACCCGAGGAGAATGCCGAATGATCCCAGCAGGCGTCCCTTCTAACTACATATGAGGATCTAGCTATCTAAAACTACTTTTTACAAGTTCCCGAGTAAAAAAACAAAACACTCCAGACCATTATCCTAAAATTGATACTCTGAGGAATCTGTGTCAGGAAAACAAACCTGTTGAAATCCCTTTTTTCACAAAGGTCTGCGTGGCTGTTATATGGTGCCAGAATTTTACTCCAAGAGATTATGAGACTTTTCAATGCACAGAGCGGCAGAGATTTCAAAAGACAACAAAGTAAGAGAGGGGGCAACCTCGTGTCTGGTTTGTCCTCCTGCTAAAATAACATAAAGCAGAGCTTTTTGAGTAAAGTAGCTGCAACAAAGCAGCTTTGTCCTCACAGCCCCAGAGAGCATCATCCATACTCTAGACACAAGAAAACAATGTAAGTGTTTTGTGGCCAGCTGCATAGATAGTGATCAATGGAAGTTTTTTTGTGCCATGCTGGAAATAACTCCAGGACTCCTGGACGCTCTTGGAGAGACAAAATAAAAAGAAATCAGTCGTGACATGGCATCGATAAAGCAAAACTCAACGAGCACAACTGCATTCTTCATCTGTGTCTTTAGCACTGCTCCTCTTTCTCCATTTTTTTTCAACTTCTTTCCATGCTTGCTTCTTTGCAATCCTACTCTACCACCAGCCCCCGTTCCCCCTCGCCCCCCTCCTGTTCCTTTATCCTGTGCGGCTGGCATATTCAGATACTGAAGTCCTCATTACGGCTCAATCCAACCTCAGCAAACACACAAACAGATTAGCCGCTTAAGACGCTCCCAATCCCCCTCTCCCTCGCTACTCCGCTGCGCTATCAGGCCCCAGCACAACCCTGTGAGATGAGCCAGGGGCAAGGCTTACTGCAGACTGCAGCCTCCGCTCGCTCCTCCACAAAATCCCTCTGCGTCACAGCCCCGTGTCACAGCTGCCCCTAATACAATTAAAAGTCATTTGCAGAACGCACAAGCTTAGGGGATCACAGTGTGGGTGGGGGGTTAAATTAGGGAATGGGAAGGAAAAAATTATAGAGATGGGGCATTAATTCTAGCCAAAAATATTTGAGGAAACAGAGGAAAGATCACTACATCCTTTGTGGCTAGAATAACAGAGTTTGTCTGTAAAGTTTCCAGAGTTCAATCGCTTGGCAGCAGTCAAATGTGATCAAGATGAATTGAACCAGTGTATCAGAGTGTGTCTATGTAAAGTGGTGAATGGCGCAGGAATGAAACAATAAACAACAATCATTTGAAGGAGAGGATTAGCAAAACAATTATTCATTTACTCTCAACCTAATTCGCAATACACTGCACTGCCTGCAGCTTTTCACAGAACCTTTCAGCTCCTGGTGCAGTCTGACAGAAAAAACACCAGGCGGCAACAATGCCGACAATAAAAAAACATGTCTCAGTCTAAGACTGGGCTATTCTGAGGAGAACACACATAGGATTAAGGGAATGATCATGTTTTTTTTTTGTTTTCCTTTTTTTTTTTTTAGAAGCTTTAAAAGAAACAGACACTCTTACTGTGCCTGCTTTGATGTGTCCAGGCCACCAGGCAATTGCAGGCTCCCTCATCCCACCGTCAAAGGTGGTCTCCTTCCCACAGAGGAATGGCCCATTGCTGCCACCTGAGGAGTCAGAAACAAGAAGTAACATTTATGCACGCATCACGAGACAGGAAGTTAATCAGGCTCTCACGAAACGTAGCCTCTAGCGAAAGGAAAAGCTGTGGGACTCCATTTCCTACCTTCATTTGAGCCGGACATTAACGCTGCTCCGTTGTCTGAGGTAAAGAAGACAAAGGTCTCATTTTCGATGCCGAGGGTCTGCAGCTGTGACAGGATCTGACCAACACTGTAGTCCAACTCAATCACCGCATCTCCGTAACTGCAGCACACACAGGATCACGGTTTACGTTACGAAGCCAGTTCACTCACAGCGTATCCCCCCGTGCCTGTGCGGGACCGTGCAACACCAAGAAATAAAGGAAGGCTAATGAAGAAGCAAATCACCTACCGGCCTCGTTGGCTCTTCCCTAAAAAGCGCTTGGAGGCGTAGACAGGCGCGTGGGTGGCATCAGGTGCCCAGTAGAGGAAGAATGGCTGCTGGGCTGTGGCCTGACGAAGAATGAAGTCAAGACCCTCCTGCGGAGGCGAGAAAGGAGGTTACTTCACTTTAAGTACAGATGTCAAATACAACTTCATGCAAACCAGCCTCAAATGAAGGTAGACAGTCCCCCTGTGACTCAAGGTGATGAGGTTCAGTTATAAGTGGAACTTGTTTAGGGACCCATGGGTGGGAATAATGTTAACTATGAGTAGAATTGAGGAGTTAAGTGAACTAATTTGAACTATTTAAACGTTTTTGACCTGATGTGGTCATGACTGAATCTCTTGTGTGTGCCTCAAAAGGTCTAATTCACACCAATTATTGATGTAAAAACCTTCAAAACAAGATTAACAGACCATCCACTATTTTTGAGTCCCGAGCATGCAGTGACTCTCAGAAAGCTGATTTGATCTTGTTAAGAACATAATGGGAGTTACTGATGACCTGAGAGATGAAAAATTTGATATTCCACCTGTGCTGGTAAAAAGTCCACAATGATAAAAGTGCCTTTAAAAAAATCACTATATCTTTTGGGGCCTTTGTGTTTTTTCGAACCAAAGAAACATCTTCACTCTGGTCGATACTAATATTCTCTTCAATTAACTACTTTACAATAGCAATGGTGAACCATAATGCAGTGTAGCTCTGTTCCACTGAAAAGGCCAGATGATTGCTTTGGAAATGCGTTTTCACTTACCATCAAATAGATCTGTGTGAGGTTTGACTCTCCTGTTTTTCTGTTAATCTTAAACTCCTCATAGTATCTGGAAAACAGTGGTTGGCATGTTTTACAAACCATACCTTCAGCTATAGAAAGCCAGTTAGGTCAGACATCTGCTAGTTTTTCATCTGAATTAAATTGTTTATTTTCAGTGCCCAAAAAAGTATCATCAAGACTTGAAATCTACTTGTAAACTGACCTAAACTACCACACACAAAGAGATAGTAAGACGATGGAAGAGAAATCCCTGCTTGGTGACTGCGTTTGAGGGAAATTTTGCAGAAAGACATGTGGGAAGTCTCGCCGAAGCAGAGCAGAGGGAACTGTTATGAGGTGGTGCTGAAGCGTGGAGCGGCGAGTGGAGAAGCAGTGACAGAAATTTCTCTCTCACGCTTCACTTCCTCCAGGTGTCTTCACACGCAGACAGCACACCCTGCTGTCTCTTGAGGGCGCGTATGTGTCTCTGTTAATGCGTGCCTATCAGTGTGTGTGTCTGTCTGTCCAGGGCCCAGGTATGCTGTGCTGATTAAACCCACTGCTAAGCGAAAAACATGCCCGGCTGCCAGTTCCAATGACCCTGAATACACATATGGCTGTTTTGAGGAAAACAAATGGGCGGAAAATGGAATACACAAGCACAGCTGGTACAGAGGAAGAAGAGGGGGGTGGGGGGGGTGTAGCCAACTCATCCAAAGTAGCAAACAGATAAAACTACAGAGCTTTTTCCCCTCTGTCTGTGTGTCTGTGTACATGCGAAGGTGGCGCTACCTCCCGAGCATCTCTGAGTTGTTGTAAACAGGAATGTTGGGCCTGATGGTGTTGTTGTAAGGGCCGAAGTGGCAGTTTGGGGCACCAAACCATTCGTCAAAACCATGCTCCAGAGGAAGGTATTTTGGCCTGTGGCCCAGATGCCTACAGAGACACAGAAAGTGCATTCAGCTGCTGCAGGATTTTTTTTTTTTGAGGAATTCTTCAATGTTTAGCATGCATTGAAACTAAAACAATAAAACAAACATACACAGTTATGATGTTTAACAACAGCTCTGTTGCTTTCGATTATCCACATTTCAGCTCGGCCAGTCATTATGAATAATCACTCATACAATTTGAAATATTGGATATCAATTATAATGATAGCAGAAGTGCTGTGAATAAAATAAATGCTTTCGTCACTAGTATGAAACTGTTAGGTGGAATTTCTTCATTGTTACACAAAGGGCATTCCTGCCACCTTTTGATGATGAGGTCTAAAATGTTGTCTAACTTTTATGCTTTTTGTGCATTCGTTAATATGTGGGAATCTATAAAAGTTTAGGAAAAATTAACATAGAATGACCATTTAATCATTCATCAATTAAAAGGAAAATATGCATCTGTAAGTAAAGCCTGTAACTTCACCTACAGTGGCTTGAAGCTTGTAAATAAGATATACTCATATGTATTTCTGTGTGAATCACAAACCTTTGAGAATTGTTCTAGTCACTATGCTCTGTAAGAATGAAATAGTATGGCGGAAATAATTCTATGTAACAACTAGTGAATATAATAAGCAACACAATGAACCGGTTAAACATCCAAGCATATAAGAGGAATCTTAAACTGTGGTAATTTCCCCAATTTCTATGCCTTTATGATGTGGCATTGCTTTTTTTGTTTTTCTTATTTATTTGAATATTCGTTCTAAAATTCATCATGAACAGGAAAAATAAGCTCACCACTTGCCAACTATTTTGCTGACATAACCCTTTTTCTTCAGCATTCGAGGTAGCAAAATCTCATCTCTGGAGATTCCTCCGACTATCTCCTGCGGTGTATATGCTTAAAAAAAAGAAAAATGATAATAACATTAATGCTTTATCTGAAAATCTTTGGGTGTCTGAACTGTCAGTGAGAGCATACCATTTCTGGCGTGAGCGTTTGTGGTGTAGAAACCATTTCTGACAGGCAGCCTCCCGGTAAGAAGTGCAGCTCTGGCTGAGGAAAGAACAAAATGTCATTACAATTTTTATGCTGTCTTTTCAAAAGCTATTTTGTGACATGTAACTATGTCTGGGCTCTCCTCTTTGCCCGCACAAAACATGTGAGACAATTGTTTGAATGCTTAAATAACCAAATTCAGTAACTATTATGGCAGAGATTTCTTAACACTCCTAGAAAGAGAAATTACAAACACAACAAATACGCTGTTAAAAATATATCAATCAAAATGAGAACATTTCTTTTTGAGATCCTCAGCAGTGTTGCTAAAAGAAGAAGTGATTTATCACTTTGACAAAGACGTTCATATTTCTATCTTTTTTTAAAACATGCAGTTGGCATCTCATTCCAAGGTTTTAAAAAGAAAATAAAAGATTTGTCACATTCAAAGTTTGTGTACTGTTGTAAACCGGTTGCAGCATTTAAAAGATTAGCAACTCATCACATTCTGGGTTTATTTGATTACAAGCTTTCATGCCTTCCTGCAACATTTTGATTTTTATATCTAAATGTGGTGACATTAGAAAAGTGCTCTGTACGTCCATGCCATTAAATAATAATAAGGGGGCTGTTCTTTCAGCATCATGGATCAACCCAAACAAAAGCGCAACTGCAGAAAACCAAAACGAGAAGATCCATCCATTCATTTTCTATTACCACTTATTCCAAAACAGGTTTGGCAGATTCAGTTATTTTTAATACAGGAATATTTACTGCTGACTGACATGGAGAGCAAAGCGGGTTGGCGGTGTAGAAGTTTGGAAATAACATTCCCTGAGCTGCCATGGCATCCAGATTAGGGGTCTCTTTAGAAGGTTGGCCAAACACCCCCAGGTCCCCCCAGCCCATCTGAAAAGAATAGGAAACCACACAGTTTATAGGATGTGATGCACAATGAGACAGCGTCAGTCAACACAAGCAGAAAAGATGCTGATGAGGCGTGAGTTTACGGGTACAAAATCCAGAAAAATTAAATTAACTTACGTCATCCATGAGCATGATGATAATGTTTGGAGTTGAACCATTTGAAATGCTCTCTGTGCGGACACAACATATGACCACACTGAGGACAACTAGAGTTGGAGCAGATACTGTTTGCATTGCCGTGCTGCGGTCATGTGAGCACTTGGTGAAGAGGGTTGTTGCCTTCCTGTCCTGTCCTGTCCACCGCTAACACAAATGAAAGAAACCAGCTAACAAAGCGAGAAATATTGCCGTTGTTGAAGTTATTTAAGAGTTATAAAGTTAATTTCGTTGTCACATCGATAAGGTTTCAAAACGTATTTCTCGATTAAACTTCCGTGTTGCGTGATGCATTCAAGTATATTTGAAGAAACCTGCAAACATGATATTATACAAGAAATCGAAAAAGAACACAATGATGGCTATCTTTAATTTTTCACCAAATAGCTTTATTACTATTAAATCTTAACATGTTTAGAGCAAATAATTTTTTATCATACATAAATAGTGTGAAATACAGATTTTGCTTGACTACGCTTCGTTTTCCATCAGTACTTTAATGTAGCGTGATCACGTGACACCAGCTGACAGATCACCAACATGGCGGTGTGCATAGCAGTGATCGCTAAAGAGGTAATTCTTTGTATTAAACCATCCCATTTTATGATATTATTCGTTTAATAGTAATACATATTTCATGCGACTATAAAATGTTTCAAGAAAACGTCAGATTCTGTCGTTTAAGTCACATGTCCAGGAATTCACTACAACCGAGCTGATTTCAGCATAATTTTAAGCTAGCTACTGTAACATTATGTCAAATACGTCAGCAGATTTTACGATAGCTAGAGATCGTGCTTTTAAAAAAGGTGCCTGTTGATGTACATTTTGGTTTTGTTTTTATTTTCTCAGAACTACCCGCTGTATATCCGCAGTGTGCCCACTCAAAACGAACTGAAGTTTCACTACACAGTTCACACCTCTCTGGATGTTGTTGAGGAGAAGATCTCAGCAGTGGGCAAATCACTGGGAGACCAGAGAGAGTTGTACCTGGGCCTGCTTTACCCAACTGAAGACTATAAAGTGTATCCTTTATTTTTTGTGGGGTATAGTTGCGGAAAGCTCAGAACATAACTGATCCATGGGCAGGACTTATACAGCATTTTATCGAAATCACCTGTTCAGTTAAACTGTGATTTTAGATAATCCTTTATTAAGCAATAGATAACATGTGATAGTAAATTCATATCGCAAATACATATAACTGTTACTGCCTTTAAAGAAATAGCCTTCCCATACATACGACATTTCCTTACGTGTAAACATGCATTTCTCCCTCATTTGAAATTAAATGGGGTATCGCTAACTTAACCTCTCCATCTTCAAAGTTTTTTCATTGGAAGATTTAGGGGAAAACACTTGCATTAGAATCATGCAGATGTGCATATGGATTTTAGGAGTGGTTCAGTTATTTTAGTGGTAATAATGAAGTGGAGAAAGTGTGTTAAGAATGCCATAAATTAATCCTTTACTTTGGGAAAATATTACAGATACGGATATGTTACAAACTCAAAGGTAAAATTTGTGATCGTCGTGGACTCCTCAAATACATCACTACGGGACAATGAAATAAGAAGTGTAAGTTGACTGTTTAAACCTATTCAGAGCCATGTGAACCAAATTACTCTACCTACACACATAGGCTTGGTTTACATAATTTATCATTTGTACCTTAAATGTGTTCTGGTTTCAACAGAATGTAAATATCCAAGGATGTCATGAACGTATGGACCACTTAATGTGAAATGTTGGCCGAATGATCACATTTAACTTCCCTCATCACTTGATCTTTTACAGATGTTCAGAAAATTACACAACTCTTTTACTGATGTAATGTGCAACCCATTCCACAATCCTGGGGACCCCATTCAGTCCAAGTAAGTTTCTCGTTATACATGTTCCTATTAAAAGATCTTAGCACTTTTAAGCATTTAACTTTTATTGAATCATTTTCCAGGGCCTTCAATGGGATAGTTTCTGGAATGATGGTGCAAACTGGCTGACATCCTTCTCTTGAACATCCACTGTATATATCTCCCCATTCTTTTGTTTACACGTTGTACTGATTCCTGAAATGCAAGATTATAATTAAACTTTGAAATTCTGTGTGTAATTTTTCCCATTTTTATTTATTCACTTAGCAGAGAACATAAATTAGACACTGGTAGGGTTTATATTTTACAGGCAGCAACACAACATTCCCAAAAATCTGTAAAAACACTTGAAATGGCATAACAATGACTGTCCCATACAGTCACAGCAGTATGAGCTTATGTAACACGGACCTCCATCTGCTTCCGTCAAACTTCAGCATTCAGAAGCTGCTGCTAGGACCAGTTCTGTACATCACAAAGTACGTAAATCAGTAATGTCTGGAAGGATTTGTCTTTTTGAAAAGAAAAATCACAATCTACCCACCCACGGGGGCATGTAGGCTGTGAGTGGTGCTAGCGCTGATGAGGGTAGTGCTGTCCACTCGAGCCTGCCCCCAGCTCCTCCGATGGTGGCGTAATGAGAAGGAGACACGGGTACCGTTTTGATGTCTGTTCATGGTAGTCCATGTGGCCCTGTCTCTTTCCCCCTGAGGGTCCTCCATAATAAGGATGAGGGGACTGGTGAGGTGGTCTCGTTGATTGGTACCGAAATCTTCCCCGTGAACTGTTTTGGTATCTGGGGGGACGGTATGCACGGCCTCTGCCTCTGGAGTGGCCTCCTCTGTGTCCGCCCCGGTCTGTGGTACTGATACCTGGCATGTTGGTTCTTTTAGGCATTACCTGAAACAATTTTTTTTTTTTTAACAAAAAACAAAACAAGCTTACTCAGTGATGAAAGAGATATAAAAACCACTTCCCTTTAATGAGCAGCACACAAAATGACAAATCACAGTTTAGCTATAGTTACTAAAAGACTTTACGATCTACACAATGATCTTTGACCTTTTGTGGGACCGTGAGAGTTCCTATCAGTGATCCTCAAGATGCTTCTGTAACTTTTACCAGTCAATTGGTGTTCAGATTAGTTCAGGATACTTTAATGTAAACTAAGCAGACTATAGGCCACTCGATTGAGGGAATAGTCAACCAAAAACCAGCAGGCCAAAAGTCCCTGTAGACAATTCAAGAGTTCTTCTGAGGAGTCAGTTTTAAAAAAAAGAGGAAAAAAAAAAATTTCTACCACAGGTTAGTCCTCGCTAAAAGGAACCCAAGCAATTTGGATCAACATAAGCAACTTAAACTTAGACAAAGAACAATGCATTGACCAGGGGGATTGAAGTCAAGCATTGAGGACACTTTACGAGCTGCTGGTGTATTGTGACTGTAATCATGCCGAATTGTCCAGCTCAGCAATGTGTAGACCTTAAAGCTACAGGTTGTAACTCACATCAGCCCCACAGAGGTTTGACTGACACGAGAACAAATGGAGACTTCTCAAAAACCATAATGTAGTGGGTTTTACCTTGAGGACTCTTCCTCTGAACAGCGTCTCATGCAAACCAATAGCACTCTGCACGGAGTCTCGATCAGAGAATTCAATGTAAGCAAAGCTGTGCAGGACAGGAACAGGACAGAAAAGCATGTTAAAGATGGACGCTAACGCCTGTGTGCTACAGTCAAACAGACGGGTCTTCACCTACCCCTTGGGATGGCCAGAGAACCTGTCACACAGGATGGTAACTCTGTTGACGGGACCACAACCGTTGAAATGGATCTCCAACTCATCTGCAGTTGCTCCATAATCCACCTGGGATTGTTTCAGAATGGGAGAGTCAGAATAGAGTCGTGGGGAAAACAAAAAAATGTATGTGCATATATGATAAAAAATATACATCTTACATTTCCAACATATACTGATCTGTTGTCTGCATCTATCCTCTCCTCAGGGGTCATATTGTAGAAAGGTCCTGTGGTGAACACAAACATTTACACAATGCTGTGCATATGAGAACACACTGGCTTTTCCTTACTGTTGAAGTTAACCTTTTTTCCATTTCTGTTCTTGCATCATGTTTGACAAAAATATAGAATCGGGCACCCCTGTGATTACATCCCTGTTCAAAGGGAGGAACAGAAAGGAGCAGAGAGAAGAGGAGAAGCACAGAGGCAGAAAATAGCCACAGGCAGAAAGGACACTTCTGGCTTTCTGGGGCCCACTGCTTCGTCTCATTGGGCAGTGATGAGGCACATGTGAATACTGGAGACCACAGTGAGGTGTCCCAGGTGTTAGACAGATGGTGAGGAATGCTGTTACCTCACCTGCCTGGAGGAGATAGTGAGAGCTATACAACTGACTAGGAGAAGAAGGAGAAACCAAAAAAACTTTGCCACTCCCAGAGAGCCTAGCCAGTTGTTAGCTGGACAACAACAAACCATTTGCTGGTACACGGGCCGTCTCACCAGGCCGAGGGCTGTAGGTCAGGAGCTGCATGTCCTCTGCATCACACCTCTCGTCCTCCTTCAGTCTTTCCGACTCCTCTTCCATCTCTAGCTCCTGAACCCTGGCCTTGATGGCCATCAGCTCCTGAGACACAAAAATTGTAACCAGGTCTCAAACCAAGTGTTGCCAAAGCTGAAATAATGCATTAAAACGCTATAGATGTACGACCAATGAAGGGGGCGAGTCTAAATACAGGTGTTAAAAGATGCTTAAATACAACTTGAGTTAGTAAATTGCCAACATACAGATAAAGTGGACTGCATTGAATGCATGTTGGCCCAGCAAGCCTCAGAAATAACTTACATTTTAGTCAATTTAACTGCCTTCTAGGCCAATAGTTGCTTGCTTTTGTGGCCATTATTGAATTGAATATGCATATTTCATATAAACATGAACTAAAGGCCCAAAGGCGGATCAGTTAGATCGTTTGCAGGTTTTTTGGAAATCCTTCAACCCAAGCCTCGGGTGTTTTCTTACAGGAATAACCCCCACGCCGCGTAGGCCGTCCACAATAACGCCTGCGGACGCTCACGTCGCACCTGCGGGGCCCCACGGCTCCGCGTCCAGGGCGGTGTGGCTAACAGACTGCTTTTTTACCAGACGCTGGATTTACTACGACACCGCAAAGCGTCTGTGCATGCTAGCTTTCCCACTCTCCTCAGAGGGCCCCCCCAATGACCGACGGGCGTCCGCAGACACAATGGCGACTTACCGGATCCTCGCTGAAATGCTCACCGATGGGCTCGCCCTCTAAATAGCGGTACTCCAGATGATTTTCCGCCATGCTCCCAGCTAAGGCTTAGCATCTGCAAAGCCCACCGCAGCGTGCCAAAAAACCGCCGCGAAAATGTACTTCCAACCGGAAGGGAAGGGTTGACGGTGAGCGGACGTGATAGCAACGGCATATGAGTAGGATAATAGATATCACCTGTGCCACACAGCCATGACGCGCCGCACTGATTGACACACAGGAGCGCACGTGAGCGCGATGCTGCAGGAGAGCGCGAGGGGGGGCGAGTTGTATGGGGCTTCCTCTCAGGGACGTATCCAAATGATGCCTTAGCCCCCCTACCTAACCCCCAACAGAACATTTTTAACATTAATGAAATAAAATATAGTACAAAGCATAAAATACCTGCTCGAATTTATTGCATTCAATTTGATCAGAGTATGTTGCTATTATGAGTTGTATTTTCTAATTGGCTCTTGAATTTTTTTATTTTTTTTATTGTATCTTTAAAGTGTCTATCTATCTATCTATCTATCTATCTATCTATCTATCTATCTATCTATCTATCTATCTATCTATCTATCTATCTATCTATCTATCTATCTATCTATCTAATAAATAACTGAAACTTCAAAATAGACTTTTCCCCACACAGGATAACCTGAAAGCCTAATGTTTTGTATGGTCTTTATTGGTCCTAATAACAGTTTACATACATCTTTATCTACTATCTGGCATATCCTCTTTAAATTTAGTTCCACAGAGTTTCCAGCTGTTCCCATGGACTTCCTTTGGATTAAACGTTAGTGCGATCAATCTCTGAATCTATCAAATCCCACATGGACTTCCCCTGTCTGTTATAGTGATCCATCTGTAGGATGTTTGCAGGTCTGAGTAATGGCTTCTTAGGAGCTATCCTTTTCTTTAAGCCTTCTTTCTTTGGTTGTATGCTTGTGGTCAATCTGATTACTTTCTCATACATATAAAAGCATTAATCTCTGCCAAAAGATCCACAGAGGTCTTTATTCTGTCATTGGTACTTCAAATCCTGAGGTATCTGATATCTGCTTCTATTAACTTTTGTTTCCTGCTTCTTTTCTGGGTCATTGCCAGTCTCTGTAATAGACTTCGATGGTATACTGACCACACTGTCTCAATCGCTATCCAGCATCAAGTCAGTTCCTTTATGCCTCTATTTGGAGTACTAATATGTATATATGTTTTATGGGGACTTGAGTGGATAACATTTTTCCATGTGCTTCAAAATTAATTGTGCTACATGTTACGTCATCATGGGTTTTTTTTTTATAGTTAAGACAAGTGACAGAAAAGGCCCAAACCATGGCACTGCCACCACAGCTTATTCACAATCTGAAAAGTTTTATTTTTAACGTTGTAATGTTTTTTTCCACTTTCCAAAGAAAATATTTATCATACAAACCAGAACGTTTTCTCGTGGTTTCATCTGGTGAACCTTTTTCCAGAGCGCCTTCCAGCATGGATGTGGTCTTTAGTGCACTGCACACATGCATAACGATTCTTTCTTGAGGGGTGTGTGGGGACAATATTTATATCTGATGAGATCTCAAATAAATATCCACTAGTTTGGAAAATGTGCAGGTCCACATCATATATTTGAAAACTAAAAATAGAATTAGCCAGGAAGTGAGAAAAATATAAAAGTTGAATGTTTGAGAAAAGATTAAGGAGTTACAGCAGTGTAATAACAGATTAATTAACTATTTATGTTTAACACACAGTGGATGTAATTCTTATATAATTGGTTTAGAGGAAAAAATATTACTTGAGAATAATATGAATACACATTGAGGATATTTGTCCATTTTTGTTTGGCATACGGTCATGTTTTCTGTGTAAATACCTGCTGTAAAATATCTGACCTTTAAAATTGTTTTAATATACATCGATCTGCCGGTCTCATTTATCGCCGTTATTGGATTGAACTGCTTGAATTTGACTGTTTTAGATTCACAAATGTTGGTTTGATTATCATTACAGATTATCATTTAAAGGAGAAAAGAAACCAAAGGGATGAATACATCATTTCATGTTTTAATTACACAGTTACATTGTTCAACACAGACAATAACCTGAATTAGAATGTTTTACAGCTTCACACATCCAACAGAGCGAACAGTTAAAGAGCGGTATTAGCAACATGGAGGAAAGCATGCAAGAAATAAATACAAATCGAATTTAATTCTTCTGGCACAGTTTACTTCTTCTAAAAATGGCAACAGGACTGTCGAAAGAGGAAAATGAAACAAAATGGGAAAGATCTTCAAAGCGGCAAACCTTTCCTACAGAAACAAGATTTTTCTGTAATAATGTATTGCACAATACAGTATAGAATGCTCCCCTACACATTAAAAAAGCATAAACCATTTTCAGTTTATGTTAAGGTAAAAACAAGACCATCCTGAGCCACAGCTTATGGTAAAACAAGTGCTGAATCCATTGTTTGCCACCTTAGCTTCGGAGTCATCAGTGCCTGTTTCACAGGAAGGACATGTCACTATCACATCTGATAAGCTTTGAAACTTCACTAGCGGAGTTTACTGGTTGGGACGGACAGGGGCAAATGCCAGCCTGCCGTTAACTGTGTTTTGCTCATATTAGGTGGACAGCGACACAAATCAATAACTGGTGGATGAAACATTTCAGGAGACCCTTGGATGGTATTCACAACAGCAGAGCCCTTATGTGTTTGCCATCTATAAAATCTGAACGGAAAAGTAAACGACACCACAGCACATACTGCAAACAGAACATTGCTCTGATCTTTTCCGACCTGCCACTCAATGACTCTAAGTGGGGGTATCTCAGTGACGGACAGTTTGCTCTTTTCCTCTACAGCTCTGTTTGTCTGTGGGATTGCAGCCTTGTAGCCCACACAATCGAGCTGAAGATTTCCACTGGTGGGCAGAACAAAGAAACCTTCACAAAAGTGAAACCTAAAGAAGAAAGCTGCAGCTTTTGGTTGTATTTTGGTCATCTTTAAACGGTCTATTGGGTTTGGCTTTGTTTAGTTTGTCAGAGGGCTTACTCGCAGACAAAGAGACGCACACATAGCACTCGGAGTTGAATGGAACTGTCATCACGGAGCTGTTTTTGATGTAGATGCCGTGGACTTAACTGCACAAAGCTGCTGCTACATTTTGAGAATCAATGTGCCACTATTGTCTGTCTGGGATGTTTCATTAAAGCTCTGAAGGTTTCAAGTAGTTTCTACAGAGACACAAAAAAAAAGTTTTTTTTCTTTTCCTTTTAAATTCTTTTTTTTTTTTTTTTTACAAAACACAGACTCACCACACACACACACAAACACACACACATCACACACACACAAACCCAAACACATTCATTTTTCCCTCTGAAAGACTTTGTAACCGTATGAACATGCAGTAATGCTTTTTCAAAGCAGATGCTTTTGTTGTTTAGTGAAGCACTACTCAGTACGGAGTCAACAAGCGCTTTGATTGCTTGAGTAAGAATTCCACACATTGAAACTCATCCGGTTGGTTGAGCATGCTTTTCACTCATGTGCTCTGAGTGTATATGTTTCAGAACCTTTGGTTAACTGGTGTAGTGGAGCTCCAACCTTCTTACTAGTGTTCTGTTGTTCTACACCATGTCAGAGCATACAATGGCAAATTAGGAGTACTTTGGTCTGTGCTTTTATTGGTTTTGGACAACACATGGCACATTGTTTCTGTGTTCAGCTTGGTTGTATGAATTACTGAATATACAGTATGTTTGTGTCTACTACTAAATATTACAGGCATTATTTTTCATGGCCGGTGCACAAAGTTGGAATCTAGTGATTTAATATTTTGCCTTATGATCGGTAATAACAGTTCCTTTCAGATTCATATGATAACTTTTCAGTGCGAGTGTGTTTGTCTGTGTCTGCTCTCAGCCAGCTTTTCAAAGTCCAGGTCAGCCTCTCCTGGTATTTAGCTGTATGCCTGCAGGAGGTAGCAAGTTTAAGAGGAAGGGGGTGGGGGTGTTGCGAGGAGTGGTCTGTGGTAGTTGCGGAGGACATTAAGGGAAAAGAAGCATGTTAGTTGAAAATGAAGTCAAAACTTTAACACGGTGGTTATTCAACACTTAAATGCTACACATGGATGCAGTTGTACCTTGCAGCTTATGTCAAATCGATGTTCTTGATTACACAGCAATGTATTTTTTTTTTGTGTTTTTTTTTCTACCAAGTTTGGTCCAAGTTTGAATGAGGCCAGCCATGTAAGGTTGACAGTGATCAATACAAAAAGGGCTTGAATCTGTTAAATACCCTACATCATTCAGTGGAGTTTATGATAAAGGCATAAAAAACTCATGGGTGTGATGATGCTCTCTTGACCTGGAAATAAATATCTTTGTTTGAAATATGCATCTTAGGCTCAAATTTTATCTTCACAAATAAGCAATAATAATAATTTCCTAAAAAGACACGCAATTTTTTAAAGATTGGGTGCTGAATTTTGCTTTGATGTTAGCTTAACACTGGTATGCCACTTATCAATGTGATGGCTTGTGCTGCACGTTGAGAGAAACATAGCGCCCTTAACAAAGCACACAAATGAGGACTGAGAGAGAAGATCGCTACAGAAAGCACAGAGGCTCTTGTGCCTCAACGATGGTTAAAAAAGAACAGAGTTGGAGATTTCCTAAATCTAATGTGAATCAATTTATTTCAAAATGAGCCACCACTTTTAACCCTGTTTTACTATGGACTACATTGGGCTTTTCTATTAGTAGAAGTCTAAAACACACAGTAAGTCAACTCCTGCAGCATAGAGTTACTTTATCTCTTTTAACGGCTTCCCCACGCAGGAGCACACTTTGATTTGGGTGAAAATTGAAAACATGTTTGACTTCTATGAGTGAGATAACTTGAAAAACATAAACTGTGAGAAAGTCATATTCTGGACATTAAACTTTAAAGGTTTTTGTTATTTGGCAAACACATTTTTGGACCTTTTTAAATACTATGTACATTCACATTAAGTTACTGATGTTACTTTAAATATATCTATATGTATCTATATTATATGACACCCTATGGGCAGTTGCTGAGGTTCCATTCAGTAGCTGAATTCTCTTCATATTGCACCTCCGTCCTCTCACTGTCTTACAATGCGAGCAATACAAAATATTCTACACGAGGGGTTTCATCTCATTAATATAGATACAACAAATCAAACAATAAGTACAATGTGGGGCTTCCTTTCATAGACCTGCACTCTTACTCTGCCTTCACTGCCCAGCCCAAACGTAAAGAGGGAAAAACAAAGGTAACAAACCCAAAACAAAGTCCATCTTTCTGGTTATACACAAAGGCAGAACATATGGACATCAGCAACAAGAGTCATTATTGAAAAAACAAAAAGAGGAACGATATCTACAAGCAATTCCAACCCTCCCCATGTTACTGCTTTGTGGCTCTGTCCAAAGCAGGCTGGGCAGACTTGAATCAAGTAGTAGGGCAAAAGTGTAGAAGGGAGGTGTGGGGTGAAGGGAGGTAGAAAGAGAGGAGAACCAAGTTTACACCACCCTGTACAAGACTCTTTCATCTGTTTGTCATGCTTTGGAAAAGGGGGGAGTGTATGTAAAAGGTAAGAGCAATTCCTTGAAATATCTCCTCGCTGTTAGATTTAAGAAAAAAACGCACAATCGTCCTATACGTCTCCACAATAAGCAATGCCTTCTCGGACAATGTTTTCAAGTTTGTGTTGAGGTTTTTGGCAGCTCCTTGTATCTTCATCTCCTTTGAGGCTGTGTAGCACTAATTTCACCTCTTTTTGTCCTCTCTACCATTCACACAAGAACCACACTGTGGCAGGGTTTCCATCAGTTTTATCAAGTCTCTCTTATAGACAAGTTCACAGCTTTGTCCATATTCACTAGTCTGGGCCGTCACTGAGGAGTTGCTGTAGTTTTGTCCCGGACTGCAGGAGGCAGCTGTAGGTCAGAGCGGGCCAGGGCTTTGTTTCTAACGTCTCTGGATCCTGCTCTGCAGCTCTTCCGCAGCCTGGTCCTCTCAGGGCTGGCATATTTGCTGAGGAGGTGATGTTGCTTTGCGTTTGGTTATGAGTGCTTCTCTTTATCGCTTACTTACTCACTTTGGCAGTGTAATACAAAGGTTTGGATCATGTCATTTTTTTCATCTTTGAATTCATTTGGGTTCGTAATGGCGCAGAGAGGTGAGTCTGGTGTAGATTTTCTTGGCTCGCTAGCAAGGTAGTTAGCAGTTTAAAATTCATTTTCATATCATGAGCATCGTCATCACTCTTATTCTTTATTTAGAATATTTGGATTTTTCTGTATTTATTTCCTTAAAGCCAGAAAGAAACCTTTAACAAGTACTAAGCGTGTTTACGAGGAACAAATCACAGCACAAGTTTTACTCCCTCCCTCACACATTTGAAAATAAAAGGTTATGCTCCTTAGATGTCTCCATTCGGAGACAATAGAAGTGCCACGTCAGTGAATTGTTAGTGCACGTCTCAGGACTGGTAACCGCTTCATTGGTGCTAAATTAAAGGGAAATCCCATCCAAGTGCTAATTGGCTTGTCATCCCCCGTCAACGCTGTCTTATCACAGCCCTTCTGTCCTCATACGGACCATTTCTATCAGGCTTCCGACACTGAGGGCACATATTAAAGTCAAACCTCATATTCGCAGCAAGCGTGTCTGATATGTTTCTATGCCAGAGAAAGGAGACACTGCAATATTCATGCTTTACACTAAATTGAACCCCTGGCTGCAATCTTTGTATCTGTGGCTGTGGTGTAAAAGAGAAGAAAAGTATGACCGGAGGACGGTGAGAACATCAGTCCGTTTTCAGAAGATTACTTGAAGGGTTTGTGTTTGGAGTGGGGTGGGGAGGAGGATTGTTAGCAGGGCGGGAGGAAAGAGCAGTGTGCGATGAAGATTCCTCAGTTTGGTTTTTGAGTGGAGTGTGGGCACTGTCACTTCAGCATCCCCGGGAAGGGACAGCGGTCAGCGAGAGGTGGCGTCTAGTAGAGCGGGAGTAGCTGGAGTCGTGGAGCGAGAGGCACTGCTAGAACTGCTCTCTTTGGGGCTGGCGGAGACACTTCCACTCCCACTGCCAGCGCCTCCCACAATACCGCTCTGGACCGCCAGGGAGAGGGATCCCGGAGGAGTGTTCTCCGAGTGGGTCGGGGGAGCGCCGGAAGATGCTGACGAAGCGGAGGAGGAAGAGGAGGGGGTGCCGAGAGGAACACTGCTGCCCCCTGGTAGCCCCTGCAGGCCCTGTCCACAGACGTGGTGGTGCTTCTCCCAGTCTTTGTGTTGGCAGAAGGAGCCGCAGTAGCGAGCCGTGTTGCAGCCGCTGCACGTCTCACTGGCCTTCCTCCCGCAGTTCCAGCAGCTCTGTTGCGACAGTAATGAGAGAGTGGGTCGATAGAAATAAGTATCCTTTGTAAATGAGTATCCTGACATTTTTTCTCCGTTTAAAGAAACACATGTTGGGTCTGAAAGTAAGCCATTTTCCAATCATGTTTTGTGTTTGATCCTTTCTTTTTTTCCTTTCTTTGTTTTGTTTTATTTGTTTCACTGTGTTGTAGGATCTGGTTGCAAGGCAACTGGTTTGTGTTACCAGCAGGTGGTGGTCAACTGCTCTGTAATGGTTTCATCCTGGCAATCTGTTCCAGCCATCTGGGTCTGCTGGCTTCCAATTACACAGAAAAACTGGACCCTGCGTTCTGAAGCGAGTTCAACATGCCCAGGATCTTTTCATTATTTGGCTTGATAAATTCTAACAGTTGAGATCATACAAAGTTGTTATGACACTGGTTATCATCTCAGTGAGTTCTGGTTTTATGACTCAGCCCAAAAGCATCAGCTGGAGGCTATGTGGAGTCAAACAGCATGCTGGCCGGAGAAGATTAAATACAGACTCGTTAGTCAAAATGGTCATTTTTTAAACAACATATGGTCCATGTATGTTGACAAAAAACAACAAGTCTGTGATTTTTAATTCTTTTTTTTTAAAGAACTGTTATGTGGATGTCTTAAAATCAACATATGCACACAATAGTTCAGCAGCATCATGAAGACAGGCCAAAACAATAATGTGGAGTATGACATGCGTTCTTGAAAAACTTACAAGATTAACAAGTACAAATTTTCTTTAATCAAGAGAACCTTAAGAAGGAATCTGACTACTGAGCTAAAAAGTGAATGTTTAAGTTAAAGACAAAACATTGGTAAGCAGGGGTTATGTAATACTCACTTCACTGGAATCTTCTTGCTGGTTGATGACTGTTAGTGCATCTTCAGAGGCTTGCCTCTTGGCCTCGGCCAGCGCCCTCTCCATTTTAGATCGTTCAGCGGTGATCATCTCGTGAGCCTTCCTCTCAGCGTCAGACACTGCCTTCTGCAGCTCCGACATGGCTTGCCGCTTTACCTCGTTCACCGCCTCTTCTGAGAAACACAGAAGAAGCGACAGAGTGGTGTTGGTGCTCACGGCTATCGTCTCGTCTTTCGTATTCTGTCATCCTTTCACTGGGCTCTTTTAGCATCCATATTGTTGCGGTTCAGCAAACATATGCACATCATCCAATACTGAAAACTTTCTGCCAGAGAGCGAACGAGCCAGACTTGAGTAATTAATCCAAACATATCTGGTCTCATAATTTCAACTACTGACAGCAGCAGATGTCAGCTACATGGAAGTTCACAGAATACTCTGAGATTCCATGTTGGTGGTTGTCATTCTGCCATAAGAATGATTTAGAAAGCTGTTGCTGACAGACTTTACAGCAAAGAGTGAAAGATGTTTGGCTGAAATGAGCACTTTTGCTGCAATCTTCACTGTGTATCAGAGTCTTAGCTGTGATTGACCGGTGACCTGTCCAGGGTGTACCCTGCCCCTCACCCAGTGGCAGCTGGGATGGGCTCCAGCACCCCCACAACCTATACCGAAACAACTGGAGATAGAAAATGGATGGATCTCCACTCCACTGACTTTGAGGTGCACAAGACAGGTTTGGTATCTGATTTGTTTTATAGGACTTACCTTTGAAAATCATTTAGCAAACTGTATACTTAAAAAATTAATCAAATCATAATGCCACATTTGTATTCAAACCATGAATTAATTATTTTCTTTGTGAGATTAAAGCAGCCTTTTTAAAGCTGAAGTGATCATTCAGCCTTTCTCCAGATTCAAGACGTCTCAAAATAGAATGAAAATTGCACACACACAAGAGGACTGCCAGGTGTGTTGGAACAAATAAGAAGGGGAAGGACTGGTGCCATTCTCATCGCGGCTTCCCATTTTCTTTACTCCTTTTTTCCTTGAGAGGAAACTCATAAATAACGGTCATTTTTACTTGCTGCTCCACTCCACTTGTTTCAAACCACTGTGTAAAAAGATAGGCAGTGGGGGAGCCTTATCGTCAACCTGTTGTGTATCTGCACGTGGCTGTGCGCTCATGCATGTCTGTGTGAGCTTCTGTGCATGTCTGTACATGACTTCTAAGCTCATATCCCCAAAAACGTTTTTTTCATCATTCATGTAAACACACAATCACACATCTCAAGTCCTTATGCCAGCCTTTCGTTGCCTTTGCCCTTGATTTTGTTTCTCTCTCTCCCTCTCTCTTTCTCTCTCTCTGTCTCACACACACACACACACATCCCTTTTTCTTTCTTTTTCTTTTCAAACACTATCTGCGTTATTCCAAGGTTCTCAATTATCTGGCCTAATGCATGCACCGGTAAGATTAGTTTGCAAATTTAATTAATTCTTATCAAGGAGACTGCATAGCAGATGCTGGGGCAATTAGCACTTAATGGAAAACACGGGGGCAGCAATATTAACGTTTTAATTCCACAGGGATTTGGCAAGTCCCTGAGACGTGTTATTTCTGACTACTTTTTCACACTTCAGATCTTGGTTCTCTAAAGCTCTTCTATCTCTCAACCTGAGTCAGACCAGAGGCTGCGTGTCTGGTTTTAATTAAAAAGCAAGAGATGCTGCAGCTAGGCCAGGCATCTACTACCGTAGCCTACCCGGCCTGTGAGACGGAAGTGACAAACATATATTGGCACACACATGCTAGATGTGAGATGCTGAGAGTGAGATCTGTTACTCACCCTGCTTGTTTTGGAGGTGCTTTAGAGCTGGGGAGAGCGGGATGCTTGTAGTACCTGTATGAAAAACAACTGCAATTAAAAAAGCCTTTTCTGCTGGTGAAAATGCAGCCCAGTATTTTGCCGACAGCAGCAGCATCTTTCCTCCACAGGGTATAGGAGTATGAGTGCAGCATAATAGTGCTGGGACTGAGGTGGAACTAGGGCTGAGCCAGACTCTTGGGATGGGCTCCATCTCGCGTGCAGCGAGTAAGAAGGGCCCATGCGATGCAGCACTTCCACCTTTTGCCCTTTGGCTGCAAAAGGCATCAACGAAATGACAGCATTTTAGATTTTCTGAAAATGCGTTTTTGAATCTAAGTTGTCTGCATTTAAAATCCGTTTACGTGAGAAAAAGAGGACAATGGAGCCCGTTTAAGCTCCACCCCGTCCTGCGCTGCTGTGGCCCCACCGTAGGACCGGTGACTGCATTTTCACTGCAGCTTTAACTGCAGTGGCCTTTCATAGTGGTGACAGATGGAGGACATTTAGCCCTAATGACACAGAGGGCCTCCAATTCTCTGGCCTGATGGACCTATGGCTGTAAGGCCTCTGTTCTGCCTGTCTGGATAGCAAGACTGATGATGTATGTGCTGTTAGTCTGTGTGTGGTCAGTCATGAGCACAATGGTCAGAAGAAGGTATTCCTGCGCTTACCAGCTTTCCTCCAAATTTCTTCGGGCAGATATCCTGAGGGAGGTCTGTGTAAGAAGTCTCTGTGGATCTCTGAAATACACACACGTGCGCCCACCTTGTTAGACTCAGTCAGTTTCAAACTCTTCATCATCCACCCAACCTGATTCAGTTTCAAAATTCTGTTCTTGGGAACAACAGACAACAATGTGTGTGGCAGCACAAGAAAACAAGGAGATAGCAGTGAATACAAATGTTGACAATAATACGAGAATTTAAATAACTCTTTCTGTCTAGATTGATACATTAAGGCATTTTCAGCCTCCCAGATGAGCCCTACCTTTCTCTAAGTGTTTTGCTTTGCCAAACATACCCTGTGTGTGTTTGTCTACCTGTCTGTCTGCCTGACTGCCTTTCAGCAGCCGAGGGAGTTCCTATGGGCAGTGACTCGCTGCTGCTAGCTGTGTTGGAGGAGGAGTTGTGATGAGGAGGAGGAAGAGTAGGAGGAGGAGGAAGGCAGTGCTGTCCGTTGCTCCCACCTTTTTTCATCTCCTCCACGTCGCTGTAGCGCCGTATCCAGTGATTCATTTCCTCTCGGTCGGCCTCCTGGCAGCGGCGGAGCACAGTCAGGGAGCGCCGCGTCTTCTCTACCATATCCATGATGCAGTTCAGAAGCTGAAAGGCAAAGAATTGAGTATGATCATGACATATACTTTCAATATTTAAACAGACACAACCACTAGAGGATATATATCTGCTTATCGAATTTGTGTCAGTCAGAGAATTTCAGTGTCACAACAATGATAATGGCATATCCAGGCTACTGATGAGAAGGCTGAACCGGTTCCTTACAGCCTTCTTCCCTATTCCCAGACAACCCAACAGATTTCTTGTCTTTTCTCTCGGGGTTGCGAACAGTGTCACTTTCATTCCACTGTGCTCTGTCTTTTCAGACCCAGAAACGTCTACGAAATGAGTTTAGCATGTTTGACATTCAATCGATATCATTATTCCCATTCATCTTCTCTGTCTCTGTATCCTTTCCTCCATCTCTCCATCACCTCCCCCCCTCTGTGTGAGCTATATTTATTTCAGTCAAGTGTTTCTAATTTGGCAGGGGTCCAGGCCTGGATGGTTCTCTCCTCGACTGCAGCTCTTGTCTCAGCTGCTCTACCCAGCTGGAGCTGCTCTCTGCTGGGTTCTGAGCTCCATCTGGGGCCCTGTTTCTATCTAACACTCAGTGTGTGTGCATGCATACTTGTGTGTCTTGTGTACATGATTTTTTTCTTCGTGGAGTTGGGTGCTAGGAATCCAGATAGGTGTTTGTCAGTTGTTAATTTACCACACTGACACAGACCTCCGGAGGTCAGCTGTCAGTTCGCTGCTTACTCAGCTGGGATGAGGGCTGTTGTCAACAGTTCCTGTTAATGTCATCTGCTTGCCATCTTTAGCCCTAAAACTGGCTTTAATCACCCGCTGATCTCGTCACCCTTTTATCTCTCTGCTGCAATACTACAGAAACAAATGCATGGTCTGCAGTAAACATGGCTGCCATTCTAACACATACATTATCAAGATGTTTCCATTCTTCTGCCCATTCTCGATCTGTAAGACGGTGGTCAATCACCTCCTCTTGGCGGGCTCCATGCACTGCTACATACAAAACATATGGGACATCTCTGTTAGGGATTTTGCAGTACACGCACAGTAAATACTGCACCATCCTGACACACATGTTTTTTTCTAAACTTTTTTATTCAAAAATATGATTTCAAATTGGCCAAAGGGCTCTTTCATTTATAAAGAAATATATAATTATAAAAATAATTTTCATCATCAAATTATACATGTGCTTCTCATGCCACTGCTAGTTTGCAGAAATCTATCTAAAGACATCAAAGAAAAAAAGTATTTGCTATCTGAATAAAATTGAATTTTTAATACCATTGATTATCAATCAACTCTTTGTTGCTGTCATTTTTTGTTTTCAATACAAAACAAATGTGAATGTGCATTTACGGATATACTCCCCCTTCATCACACAACTCCAGGAAATGAATACATTTCAGATGGAAGTAAAAATGGTTACCACAGTTGTCCACATGAGCCTGTATGGCTGTGGTCTTAATATAGAGGCAAAGCCAGAAGGATTATCACACTTCGCTGACAACTGGCCTTTATTCTCTACATACATCCGACAGATATTACACAAGCTATCCGAATCCTGACCTTTTAACAGCAAACCGAACGACTATCAAGCCGCATGAACGCCCAGCAGCTGCTGTACCTGTCTGCCGGTGCCTGTCTCTGACGTCGCGGTGTTCGTTATGTCTGTACGCGTCTCTGTACTGGTGTGCCAGAGCCATGTCCTCCAAGCGATAGTGCTGGGGTCCCACTTGGGGGTTGGTGGGGTGGGGCAGGCCGTTGGGAGGGTGCGAGGGGAGGCCGTTGGGAGGCGGGTGGGTGGGGAGTCCTGTGCTCGGGCTGAAGCGTTGGCTGGGACTGATGGTGCAGGGCCTCTTGGCCAGGTGCTCTGGGTGCAGCCCGTCCCTCTCTGAGTTGTCTTTGGTCCTGGAGGGGTGGACATGGAAGTGAGCATAATTATTTCTGAATGTCAAAAGACTCAGCTGCAGCCAATTAGAAAGACAGATTTTTTGGGAAGCACAAAAAAAGAGTTTGTTATGAGGAAGCAGACAGCTACTGTGACCTGTAGTTTGAAGTGCAGTGATAACCAATACATGCTAAGAGTCAATAAAGCATTTAAATAGCTTCACAAAGTCTAAAGGCCAATAAACAAGTGTGGCATGAATTATAATCAACTACGAAACAGTTCTTTGTAGCTAGAGATACAGATGCTTAAACACTTAGAAACTGCTGTATGGAATTAAAATGACTAATCTTATTTATTTTCACAATGCATGTATAAGTTCACTTTGACAAGGCTAATTGTTTCGGCATGTTAACATCTGAAAGAAGAGACTACTTGATTTTTCTCCAACTAGTCTCTCAGTTGCTGTCCGAGATGAGTAATGAGAAAACCTATTCAGGCTGAACATACACTGTTTGTTCTATGAAGTAATACAAGGGCATTACCTCATAGTTCAAGATAAAATTCTTTTAAAATCTTTAAAAACTCGCTTTTATATTTTTAAACAAATACATTAGCTAAAAATGGCTGATTAAAGTATCCGGTAAGGTAACCTTTCCTCTTTGAGAGGCTCAGGCGAGACACAGAAATATGTTTCTTTTTAGTCCACAGACTCCCATATGGTGTACGCAAACACACTTACTCACGCACATGTGAATGAGAGCCGCCTCTTGATCGGTTACAGTAAGGCGCTGCCTCTCTAAAGCTTCCGCACAGCTGTACACCATATGTATCAAACAAACCAAGTCCAACTGTACACCCTGCGTCTGAAGCCCTTAATCTGAATATCCGCCGTGCCCTCTCTTAGATTGCGCGTATTTCTCCCTCCCACCCTGCTCTCTGGCTTAAGGGGCAATGGGGGCTGTGTATCTCACAGATGTTTAGCTGCACTCATTTCTGTCTGCGTGTTTTGTGTGAGTGTGTGTCTGCGTATGTGTAAGAGAGGTTGTGTTTTCAAGCCATCTGGACAGTTTAAATGGGAGTGTTGATATTTATCTGTTTAGCTGGATGGCAATAGTCAAGCATTCAGATGGAAATCACTCTTTATCATCACAGGGATCAAAAGCGAATAAATGCAATGCCGTTGCCACATGTAGTGGTTGTGAGCTCGTATGTTTGTGTGTGTGTGTGATCAGTCAGTGTTTGTACGTGCATGTCAGCTACACTCACACACATGTCCGGCTGTAGTAGCCAGCAAATCAGAGGAACAGCTGGCTCAACCTTGGCAGGGCCCCAAACCAACCAACTAACCAACCCCCCTTCTCTACACACTGTGTATAAGCCAGAGTTCATGAGGCTGAGGTGTTTGGATTACAGTGGGAATTGCACATCCAGCTTCCACCCCATGTCCATTCCTATCCCGACCACCCCCATTCACCTCCCAACACCCTGCTCAGAACGTGCTCGGTGTTATGGCCAGCGCATTACCATCTGGACACATCCCCAACGTGGGGGCAGCTGCTGGGGCCAACAGGTCAGGCAGACGGAGAGAGGAAAAGGGACGAAGAAGAAATGAAAAAAGAAAGACAGAGCCAGAAGGAGAAGAGGGAAGAAATGAAAATTGAGATGTACTATTTTTTTGCTCTCTGAGCATAGCTGGGGGGAGAAATGTGTGGAACAGGGAAATAAAGCTCCATTATATCAGTCTTATGTGCGCTGATGCCATCTACTATGTTTAACTCCTAACTCTCTTTTTCAGCTTTTAGTTTAGCCTCTAACCGTTTTCTTTATTTTCACACTCTGCATTTATCTCCCTCCTCCCTCCAACGCAGCTGGTAGAGCCAGTCTGGCATCAGGGCTGTCCAGACTTTTGCCCCCTGCACAGCGGATATATAGTTTCCGCTTGTCTCTTGGCATTAAGAAAAACACTAAAATATCGAATTTATTACAGTCTATGTGAGGGTCTGCCAAAGCATGCGGACTGCCGAGGTCTGCATTTCCCCGCGTTTCGACGAGAGGCACTACCTGTCAGGAGTCCTTCTCTTGCCATGCTCGTTCATCTCCAGCATGATCTCAGACGAGTCGAGGGGTGAGCTGGCGTTGGCGTCCAGGAGAAGCTGCTCATGTTGGGCCAGATACTGAGCTGGAGTCTGTTTGGCCAGCCGGGCGCAGTGAAGCAACTCTCTCTGCAGCAGGGGCAGGTTTGCCTTCAGTAGTTGAAAGACAGAAGGACACATCTTTGTTTAGGAAATGAAATAGTGAAATATGTCGTAGGAAAGGACACAGATTTGTTCGACTTGTGTTAACATGGGGAAGAGAGTTAAGTGAACAAAAAGGAGAGCTAGAAACTCATGGGGGAACACTAGATAGATAGGGTGAGAGTGAAATAATGCCAGATTAGGCTGAGAGGGAAAAAAAAGTGAGTGATAGATGAAGCGACAGGATGAGATAAGACAGGTCCTTTGACACATTCCTCTACCATGTGTCTAAATCTCGTTGGGGTTTTCTGTTGTGTGTATTATATCTGTGTGAGAATGTGTGTGTAACAGTGCTGTCAAATAGCTCTCTCAGACCTGTCTGGTTGATATAACACAGCTATGGCTGCAATGTCCCAGATGTGGAGGATCACTGCACGCTAGGAGGTCTGACACGCTCATACACAGTTTCACACATTCTCTTTCTAACCAATTATTTATATGCACATCCTACCATTGCCAGCATTTTTTTGTGGTGGCTTGTTTTGGCAGCTATGACTAGGTTTCACCCCAGATATTTAAAGCTTTTTTTAAGTTTTGAGACAGATCAGAGGGTGAAATCAACACATAAAATAAAAAATTGGAAAGAAAGTAAATCAGTATCTCTTTTGGAAATATATATTCTTTCCATGTCATTCTATCTATCCAACACTTTTGAATGTGTCTTATTTTTAAATGGTGATACACAAAGTAGAATATAACAGTCTATAAATCCAGTTCCAACTTTATTTGGACTGTAAATAACTGTACATTTCTCATTATTGTACCTTTATACTAAAGCGTTTTTCAACCAGGTTTCTTGTGAATTGTAATTTGAGTTTTGCTGAAAGTATTGACAGCAAACATAGTTATTTACTGAAGACAACTTCTTTTGACTTCTCTTTAATGAAGTGTAGATGTGACAACTTTTCCCTGATGGCTAAAAGAGTGTTACAGTTTGGGATATGCCCAAGCTTCAGGTGAGTAATAATCATTAAATAACGCTAAATGAGCTATAATTCCTAAGTGTGAGGAACTACAGACCAGACACACCACATTGTCTACAGAAGTATTAATACCAATTCTGTGATGTGAAAAGAATTGTGTTTTCTGGCTTCAGTTTCCTTTACTATCGCTGGAATCTGCCATACTGCTTGCTTTTCTACTTTGCCTACACCAATCCCATCTGAACCTGGAGTTAGTTCTAGGATTATGGGAATGGGATCTATAAAGCCGGAGCTGTCAGTTCAACTGATTTACAAACTCTGGATAAGCAGGATTCCTGCAGGATTTTCTTGCTTTTCTCTGACAATACATTTCAATTATACAAACACATCATAAGAACGGCTCTTAAGTTCAAGTTAAACATTTTTGTCATTTGCCAAACATTATCATCGGTAAACCACTTTTACCAAAGTAAAAGTAAACAATGCGATCAGTTTATACCCTGTAAAATGCAGACATCAGTTTCTTTTTAAATTTCAAATCAAATCAACAAAAAAACAGTTACCTTTAGAAAAGGAATAACAAAAGGTCTCAGCGGGAAGTTGGTGGCCTCGTGAAGTTTGGAGTGAAACTCTTCAATGGTTAGAGTGGAATTCTGTTCAGGAAAACAGGACAGATGTGACCAAGAGACAACAGAGATTTTAAAAATATATGAAGTACACCAGAAAATAACAGCTGAGTAGCTATGCGTGTGTCCACTCTCTTCTTATTGGACATTTGGTAAAAGAAAGAATCATAGCATACCACCAGGCCCAACACAAGGCTGCGAACTCTCTCTCCAATCTCGGGTGAAATGTCATTGCCAAACTGCTGCAGAGTGGTCAGAAAGCGCTTCAGCTTGCAGAGCTGCCGGGCACCACAAGCTGGCGGGAGCTGCTGATTGGACAATGAGGCTGTGGAGGACATGGCGGGTCCGTTACTGAAGCCGTTGGGAGTGGATGGAGCACCGTTTAGTGATGTAGGAGAGTGGCTGCTCCCATTCAGCACTGCAGATAAAGAGACAAAAAGGTTGACACTGTGAGAATTGGGTCAGTAGTTCTGGAGTGGCCTGCGGGGCATCTGGCAGAACCCATGAGGTTAGTGGCCACAAAACACATCTGATTGAAAACTCTATGGCTCAGATTAAACATAAGGAACGCATACTGGACTCCAATTGGAAGCTTAAAGCAGCTGAAGTGCTTCTATTTTCTGTAAGAGTCTGAATACTACTAGTGCAGTAACTTTAGCCATCTCACAAGTGCTACCATATGACCTCTTTAAGCCCTTCTATCTCCCCTGTATCAGTATATTCCTTCTCACTCACTCACTGGGACACAACTATAAGAGGAACTTGTTAAAGAGAAGCCAAAAATAGTCCTGTGGGCTGAGTTACTTTTATTCCAGTAGCAGGTGTGTTGCTAATTCTGGTCCTGCACATGTCCACCAGCTGAAAGTAGATTTGCAGCTTTATGGTTCAGAATAGACAGCATTCATACGCATATATAATCACTCGCATATTTCCCTTAATGTTGGCACAAACAAACTCATAAATACGGAGGAGCAAACACACACAAACAAGTTTGACCTTTCCCCTGAACTACTCTTCATTAGGCCGCCCTGTCTCCTTGTAAAAAGATATGTGTGCGTGTGTAATTAAGTATGAAATGATGCTGTTAAGTATGTTATTATATATCTACCCTATTCTTAAAATGCTTTTGAGGAACTCTACACTATCATAGTCTTCATCCTTAATTAAAGGCTATATGCTGTTTGGTTGTTTGCTGGTTTAGGTCCTGTTGTTCCTCTCAGGCATGTTTGTTGCTCTAATCCATGGGTTGAGGGGCCTGAACACATACGGAGTAACCCATGTGATCCCGCCGGTCGGTGCCTGTGTTCTGGGTTTAGGGATAGCGAGAGACGTGGGGAGCGCGGAGCTCTGCCGCCCGCTCGACACGACAGGTGAAACAACACGGCCTGTCATTGCTATATAGGGAAGAAAGTAGCCTACATACTGCAGCCATGTCCCCTGTACCAACCGCCGCCCGGCCAGCTGATAAACAACAGAGACACACACACACATGCAAACACAATGGCACACATGCGCCCATAAGACGCTTGTCCCTCCAGCAAGGGCATTATTCAGACGACAAGACACACACATGCCTGGAGGGACACACACCTGACACACAAGTGATCACAACATTTGTTCGCCAGAAGAGGGAAGAAACGCATATTTGAAATTCCCATCCCTTTCCATAGGCACACAAGATAACAGTTGAGCTAAGAGGAACAAATGGCTGCGTAGTTCATGGATTTTAAAGCGCTGCAGATATTTTTTAAAGCGGGAGTTTTCTTTCAGATCCGTCTATGAATAAAGGGATTAATGCGGTGGCCCTGAGGTGCAAAACACCTAATTTAGCAATACATAACAACAAAAATGAAAGCGCGGCGCACACGCAAAAAAAGAAGAAAAAAACATTTCAAAGGACATGATGGTTTGGAAAGCCTTTCTGAAAAATAAACGATTTATGAGATGAGGGGGACAAAAAAACAATAACAGCGTCAAGAAAGACAACAGCATTTCAGAACAGATAATGAACAAAACACAATCTCACAAATGACAAAACAGAGCAAATTAAAACCCACAACACAATACCTGTGTTGGAATCACAAAAGAAGACGCACCATTTAAAAAACATTATCTACTTTTTGTAAAATATTTTCTCTTGCTCTGTTCAGTGTGGAAGCCTGTACAGAAACTTAACTTATTAATGCATTAATGTAAGATTTAGTGAGAAGCTACAGAAATAAAAAATATTTGGATGTGGACTGTTGAACGTCATGAATAAAAAAAACCTAACCTACAGTTACCAGCTTGACTTTAGTTACTGTTTTTGGTCCGCCCATGCTTAGAAATACATGACAGCTCTCAGTAGAAATATAATGTGAAGTGCAGTTCACAATCACACTCCATGCTTTCTATGAAATGAAAACTTAGAGCTTTGTCTTCGATGGGCCACTGATACGGCATGCCTACCTCACTGTCTTACACCCACCTGCTTGGTTAACAGCCTGCTGACATGGCACTTCAAGACAGCATATATCTCACAGCATGTGAAGTAACTGTAGGCTACGCACAGTTCAGCCCAATCGTTTATGGCTAAGAAGTTAGACTTGTGACAAGTCTTGTGACAAGCGGTGAAGATTGTCCTTTTATGGTTTAAAAAAGCCGCTATTTTTCTCACAATGATATGAAAAGCCTTACTTGATTTACTGGTGGCTGGGGTGAAGGAGGCATTGCGACTTGTTGCTTGGCTGACAGCCGGGGGTGGAGGAGGCATGGTGGGTGGGGTGGACCTGGGCTGGGTTTTCACATCCACAGGTGAATCTGGCATTGTTCCAACCCTCTGCACTCTACTACCTGCGAGATCGCATCGAAAGCAAACACAGAAAAACAGAAGCGGTTATCAAGACGTGAAAACAAAAAAAACAAACATCATACTTTCAAAGAGAAGATAGCCACTTAAAGAGCGGAGCGCTGACATTTTCACCTGGGAGCCATCGATTGTTTCCTTAAACCAAAAGCACCACGTACAGGACTAAAACAAATCAATGCTAGGAGTGGAAATGAATCCAAACTTGTATTGTCTTTCTTGTTAGAGATTCATGGGGCCTGGGAGACCTACAGTAACACCTGCTCTCTCGCTCAGCTGCCGCTGAGTGAGATCCCCCCCCCACCCACCCACCCCACCCCCCCACTCTTCTCTCTTGCTCTCTCCTTCACACATATACAATCCATGTAGCAATGACATCCCAATCAGTACCCCCCCCCACCATCTCACTGTAACCTCCAACCCCCAGACACACACACACTCACAGGCACACACAGCCTCCCGCCTGTCCCCTGTCGTTCCACAGCTCAGACAGCCGGCTTGACAGCCAGTGACAAGTGCAGCTGGATCTGCTGCTGTCCATCACTGCGCCCTGGCTCTCAGCAGAGCCCCGTCCCGCTACCGCGCGCTTCACCGTCCTCTGCCCAGACGCCGTGCCAGCACCAAACAAGGCAAAAGCCGAGCCCCGCGGCATTCAGGCAACGGATGGAGAGGTAAAAGACGCGGGAAAAAAGCAGGGCATGGACTGGGTGTGGCAGACCGCGGCCTTCTAACGTGTGCTCGCGGGAAAGAGTTGTATTCAGTTTCCATACACAAAAAACAATGCCACGCGCAATCCCGCATCCAAAAGGTTCTGCTCTATCTATGGGGTGTAGACTGAGTCCCTGCCTATGTGTCCGTCTGTCAGTGCAGCTGCTGGAATTAGATCCTCCCGCAATGTAAACCTGAGCTGAGAGTGTGATGACTTTTTCAGCCTCTGAGAAGATAGCTTTTAAGGATGTGTGTGAGTGTAACGGCCACAGACTGCAAGAAATATGCACTATCCAGTGACAAACAATGGAATAGATATATCAGATTTTGTGTATTTACGTGAACTTATGCCTTTCTGTCTTAGTGCTGCACACTTTTAATGCCGGGTAGGTATTCAGACAAATGAGGGTTACCTGCAGTTTTGATACTGCTTATCTCAAGATCACAACTTGCTTATTTTGTTGCCTGTTGATAAAAAAATGAATGATGTAAATTTAACATATACGCATACACTATCACTAAAAAAACAATCTTTGCTATCTCGGGTTATTGAGATATGAGGCATTCAAGTCCTTATCTTGTTATCATATGAAGGAAATTAAGCATGGTTTCCTCAGGTGTTGTAGGATGACTGAATTTTTCAAATTTATAATTCATGGAGTGATGAAAGACATTTTAAACATCTTAAACATATTTTAGTCTATTATGTGGAGAATAGAAACATTTTTCATTTATTTCCTGAAGTGTTGGCACATTGTTTAATATTTAAACAGTCAAACTTAAAATTGAAAACAAATCTGTCGTTTTATAAACCCTGAATAACTTTCTTCTCTGCAAACTTCACTAATTACACAAAAAATGGTTGTCACAAACCTAGCTTACAATATGAACCTTTCAAAAATGTCAAAGTCCTTATTCCACAGCTTCAGACACAGACTGGCCTGTCAACGGAGCCCACTTAGCTGTTAAAACCTCTTAGCGTTAATCTCTCGCACTTCCATAAACAAAAAAAGAGAATAGAAACCCGATCAATGCCACATTTTTATAACCGTCGTATTACATCACCATCACAATGTGTTTTTTCATTTCATGTTAACTCCACAAGACCCTTGTGACAGTTTGTCACGGTACTTGGTGTGAGCCTATTTCTGAGGGCTTATGTAGAAGCGTTCAACAGCTGGTGTCTGTATTTAAAGAGCGCCACACTGGAGTGTGCGGTACGAGGACCATTGACACAGTGATCCTCATGAACACGAGGAGGACTCTGCTGTTTGCTCCGTGCCAGACGCTCTGAACATAAACACACAAGACAGAGGCGGCTGGTATAAATAGATGCAACCATTCACCTCTATAGGACGCTAAACATTTGAAAAAGCTCTCCATGCTTTGTGGTGTAATTCCAGGATGGATATATGCATTTTCTGTTCTATCATATTTACAGTGATTTAAATATATGTAATGAGGAGGGGACTTGAGGAAGATAAGGGGACCATCCTGTCTGTCTGCTCCCACCGTTGGATTATAGACAGCTGTTTAATCTGACCAGATACAGGGACAGGACACACACACATACACACACAGCACCATGCTCTGGATTTTACTTTAATGCATTAGGAAGTCTGCTTGGTCTGCAACCCCATCTGTGACCATCTGTGCTCCCATTGTGCTTTGTGTTTAAGGACGAAACATGTACGCCAGAAGAAGTAAAAAACAAAAACCTGCCATCACAGCGAACCTGTTTTTAAAGTACAAGGTCTGGATCGTGCATCTGCTGCAAGCTGCTGTTTCCCTTCCACATCTGAATGTATGAGAAGAGCCACTTTTGAAACAGCTGAAATAGCTGAAAATAGACCTGCTCAGATATGTTGCTGTCTGTCCTAAATACGACTGAATATTACTCTGAAAATAAAACAGCATGACGCGATCATAACCCACCTTGCCGTGGATGCCGGTGTGTGTTTGCCTATTACTGAGACTCACTGAACAGCTGTACGTCTGCCTGTTTGACGTAATCGGGGCTAAAACATTGCTCACCGTAGAAAAAGTCTGCAGCCTGCGTTCTAAAAACGCTTTCTGTCTTCTGCACTCCCCTTGTGCCATGATGAAATGAGATGAAAAACAATTTACTGCAAGACTCACAAAACCGAACACAGCATGCTTTACAACTGCAGATGCGCCTTTCAGTGGCTTGTCAAGTGTTCCTAAGTGTTTCCCTTGTCTCGTCAAAGACTCAAGATTGCACAATTTCTTTCACCCCCTTAAAACAAACATGAACGTATAAAAACTACCATTCAGTGACAAGACATTAAACAATCAATCAGTCAATCAGCAGCTTTGGTCTCATTTAACCCAGGCATCTGTGTGTGTCGACTACATGTACTGTATATAAGTATGCGTGTGCAGTTGTACTTCCAGTGGAAATACAGCTGCAACTTATTAGCTCTGGCTAACCACCGCAGAACAGTCCCCTTAAATCCCCCCCGTCTATTCAATCTTTCATGCTCCACAGAGACTTTCGTCAGTGACCACATAGGCCTAAAACTCCGTCTCTTGCTCCCTCCCTCCCACTGTAATTCCCCCAGTCTCCAGGAATGCTGTTGTTTTTAATTTCTCCCAGCTGCTCTGGCTGACTGCCCAGCCGCCTGCATTTCCACATCTGTTCCCTATCAGGCCGCTGTGGAGTCCACACAAACAGAGCCTGAGCCTCTGGCCCCCGGCCCCCCCACCAACCCTTTATATCAAAACATTTGGGACTGCAACCCCATGGCCTGGACATAAGACCGGGATCATCCAGTTTGATAATGCCTGTGAAATCATTTTAAAGAGAAAGACACCATTAGCAGAAAAAAAAAACGATTTGCTATCTCACAGGAGGAAAGTTCTACACTTTGAAGCGTTGCCTCGCTGTCAGAGTGAACTTGTGTTCCATCACAGGTAGGACAGGAATGTGTGTGCCTATGTTTATGTGTCAGCACAGAGGCTGCTTCTACAGAAAGATCCCAGACTCCACTTCATCTTGAGCTGATTTGGAGTTCAGAGGCTTTAAAGCCCTCACTAATGACTGGGTGGGAGACCAGTGCGATACATACACACACACATACACACACACACACACACACATACACACACATACATTTGTAATTCGGTCTTTGAGGGCTCTCACTGACATAAGTCTTGTCTTTTGCCCTGACATCTAACTTCAAGTTATAACTTTGGAACTGGTGTTCACAGAAATGTCTGAGAATTAGAAGATGGAGTGTCTTTTCTGTCAAGAAACCTCCTATAATTTAAAACTTAACTTCCTCATGAGCACAGAGGCACACTATACAAATTCAGACAAACCCACGCATTCACATATGCTCACAAGTTTGCAGAATGCATTTTTCTCATGCTGCAGACACAAACGTGGATATTTTCCTCTTTGTTACTTGGGAATCTTTGCAATAGTACGCATGCAGTGCCGGCTGAACAAACACATTGAAAACAAAAAAAGAGGAATGGAGGGAGCGAGAGGGGGTCACTGGCTCTGCCTAACAAGCACTGGAAAAAAAGCCATTCTGTCTTTGATCAGATTACAAGATAATTGTTGACGAGTCACCAGCTTTCTTAACGCGAAGACATCCACATTTATTTTTAATGGTTAATGTGGCAAAAAATTAAAAGTTGACAACACGCAGGGGGTGAAGACGAATCAAAGACAATTCATCTAGGGCCAGAGGTGTTAAGGTTAGAGGAGTTGTATTTCTGTCTCTCTGAGCTGCAGGGACCCCGGCATACTGAGCTCATATCTGTGAGAGCTGTTGATGTAATTGTATTGAAGTTCTAGCGACCATCTGTTCTCCGTTGGGAGGGCCTGGCTCCTCTTGTCGGCAGTGAAGTGGTTATGTGCAGCATATCACTGCTGCCGACGTGCTCGCAGAGAAAAAACTTCCTTTTCAGATTTTCCCAACGGCTGCTAATAAAATCCAGATGCTAGACTGGAGCAGTTTTTGCCTCCCTCCCACCTCCTTTTCTCCTCCCTCTCCATCTTCTGTCCTTCCACATCTCTTCTCATGCCCCCCCCCCCCTCCTCTCTGCCCTATTCTGTCCTTCTATGTTGCTAATCGTTTATGCTCCTTTCATCTACCTCTCCTCCCATTGCTCCTTCTCTCAGGCCCCACCATACATCCATCCATCCTCGCCTCCTTCCTTCTCTCCAGCCACTAAACCCAGAGTCATTCCTAAATAAAGGAAAGTATTTGTGACATTTGGCCGAGGCAGTCGGTGCCAAGAACAACTCCCTGGCTAGCCATACACATCTGGAGTGTGTTAGGGCTGCACTGGGCACTGATACCGACACTGGCTATCCCACCGCATATGCGTTTAAAGAAAAATAGTCCCAAGCCTTATATAATATATGAGAAACACAAACTGGACTGGACACGTTTTCACCAAGCTTGTTGTTTTCATGTCCTACTGAAAACTGTAATTCTCACCAGACCACCTGACAGCTGCATGCCCAAATTCTCTGTTGTACTTGTTAGTGTGTTGTTTACACTTCCTCAGCAGCAATAGTCTAATATTCTGTTGATATGCATAAAACTACAAAAACAAAAGCCACTTGCATGTATTCTGTGCATGCACGTGAACTACATTTGAGTGCACGCTCGGGTCCTATTGGCTCTGCATGTATCTCTCTTTGTGTGCCTGTGTGTGTGTGTGCGTGTGTGGCTCCAGGGTCCCTGTGTGAGAGGAGCTGAACACCTGAACATCAATAACTGTCATGTGGGCCACCTGGGACCCCACAGCCAGCTTGCACCATGGGCACACAGCCATCACCAGCACAGCTGCCACACAGAGGGGAGGGGGTGAGGGTAAAGACAGACAGAGAGAGCAGAGACATGGGAGTGGGCGTGTTTGTGTGTGTGTGTGTGTGTGTGTGTGTGTACGAGTAAGTGGCTGTGT